ACTCTTCTATAGTAATTTCCTAAGGTTCTTACTATATTAGTATTAGAATAAGCTAATATCTATTATAATTAGGGGTATATTTACGAGTTTTATTAAATACTATATCCCTAATAGGCTTCACTTTCCTATTATACGGAAACTAGATTTTCTAGATATTTAATACTATATAGCTAACTAAGAATCCGATCTTAGCTCGTAGGTTTATTTTATTAGACTAGACCTATTTATCGATCCTATAGTATACTAAACTTCTATATAGTTTAATATTTAATAGGTTAATCCTCGGCGCTTATAGTGCGAACTCCTTCCGTACCTCCTTCTATAGTATAACCTAGCGGTTTTCGGTAGTAATATATATTAGTGTATAATTTAGTAACTATACCGTAGCGTTAGCGGCCTCTAGCTATAGATCTTTTAGGAGCTTTCCTTTAAGTATAAGTATATATATATAGATAATAATTATACTACCGGATCTTTCGGTATAACTATTTATTTCGGAATACCTTAGGGGGTTATAATATATAAGGATACTATTAGAAGTAAGGCTATATTCCGTAGGTTTTCTAGCTAAGGACTTATTATCGTATTAGAAGGCTTTAATTAGTAGATCCTATTAGTTTCTTACTAGTTCTATAAAGTGATTAATCGCTAGCTAATATTTAGGCTTTATTTTATAGGTTATTAGCTAATAAAACCTAGGACCTTCTAGGTAAAAATAAGAGATCTAGCGGTGCTTATTCTCTACTAGCGGTAGCTAAATAAGATTAAAGTGCACTCTTCTAAATTATCCGAAAGTGTGTCTAACTACGCGTCTTAATATCTATCTTAGTATATAACCTAGCTAATAAGTCTAGTATAATACCTATATTTTAGTAGACTCCTTTTCTTTATTGTTAAAAATGACTCTATCTACTATAGTAGCGAGTTTTATAGCGCTTCGCTAGTTAATATAGGTAAGTCTCCAGTACTAGATATCTAATAAGGCTTTTAACTACTAAGGTTTTACTAACTTTCTCTCTATAAAATAGGCTTACTAGGGCTATATTTCCCTAGGTCTATCGAAGATCTAAAGGTTAAACTAATCCTAAAGATTTATATAGATAACTAGTCTATTATTAGGGTCTCTAATATAGTTTATACGCTAATACTATATCCCGCCCTTCTTTTTTAGTATAGAATAGGATACTAGGTTTATATAGAAACTAGAGGAATAGAGGGTATCACTAAGTGTGATCTCTATTTTGCCTTTTACTAGATATCTACCTACTAGTCTAACCTTCCCCTTTCCTAGTACCTAGGTAGTACTATCTCCTATCGTAAGATCCGAAATCTAGGGTATAAAGTCGATAAAAAGGTCTCTATTATTATAGATATAGGTACTAGATCCTATATTAAGGATCTACCTATCTTTTAAGATAGGTTCTCTATTTTTAGTAAGTAAGAGGGTATATTCACTAGTCCGAGCTACCCCCCTACTCTCTAGTATAGGGCTTAAGGGTGCTAATATACGGTATAGGGGTAGTAGCGAAGCTCACTTAATTTATAAACTCTTCCTTTTAAGGTTACTAAGTTTACTAAGTTTACTATACCTTTTCTACCTTCTTTTCTACCTATTTCTTTTAAGTAGGCTCTTTAGCGAGTTTTTACTTAATCTTTTCTAGCTTTCTAGGGTTAATATAGGTCCCTTTAGGGCGGTTTTCCTTATTAAGATACTAGTATATTACTATTTTATATAAATAGTAGGGGTTCCTATATAGGCACCTCCTTTTTTTAAATAGGATCGGCTTCTTAGTTTAGGACTTTAATTCTTAGTGCCCCTACTAGGTTAAGAATACCCCTTTTAGAGATATAGTAGATAATACCTTTTATACCCCTATTTCTCGATTTATTACGCGGAACGACTCGAGGAGATCACGGGTTTAATAGACTTTCTTATCTATAACGATCTCTTAATATCTTTCTTACCACTAAATAGGTAAGACCTCTTTAATAGTATATAGGAAGTCCTTATTTACGTCTCCATTATTAATACCGAGGCTAATAGCTTACTTCTTTAGGGTATTCTATTATTTAAGCTATTATTCAATATCTCTAGTCGGCTTTTAGATAGCGAAGACCTTCTACTTTATTCGGACTTCCTCCTCGTATATAGTCGATCTCGCGAAGCGATCTCTTAGGTATACTAGTCTCTTATATAGGGTCTAATAGTCGGTGATAGCGGTATAGTGGATTAGGTCTAGGAAGGTATAAATATAGTTATTTATATTAGAAAGTCCTTTTATCTCCCTATCCTATTTCGATTAGTCCACTTTAAAGATATCTATTTCGTCTCTCTAATCTCTTTTATCTAATTCGGTCCCTCCGTAGGGGTATTCCGGCCTAATAGGCTCTTCTTTCCTAATCGGTCTCTCTATCGGGGGGGTATCTAGGTTATAGTGCTTCCAGACTTATTTTTATATCGTATATAGCTTTACCCGGGCGAACTAGGTGCGCTATTGGGGCGAGTCCTTTAGTTTTTCGCCCTTTATAGCGGAGAGAATTGTTGATGCTTCCATTGTTGGGTGCTGTATAGCCTTAGCGGGCTACTGTGTAGCTTTAGAGGTTTTTAGGTGCTGATAGGCGCTATATCTTATGAATAGCAGCCTTATTTCGTGCGAACCGGGCTTATAACTGTCAACTGACGTGGTATTCAGTATAGTAGGGGTCCAATCAAGGGAGTTAAAATCTCTGTATTTCTGTATCCACTATTCTAGCAGGAAATATGACTATCTGACTAATATCAAAAATACTGCGTAGACAGGATAAACTAAACTTCCGGTATGCCGATCTCATGCTCCGACAACCGAGGCTTTCCACTTTTTCTTTCGCCCCTTACTGTGAATGTGAGCCCAGCTTGAACCAATTGCTTCGCGCATAGGACAGATTTTCAATATAGAGGACCTGGAGCGCTGGATAGATTATCGCTAACCTCAATCGACTCGGAGATATTGCGCATGCCAGCGAGGCACGCAGTCCTCCCTAGATAGGGACTATTCGCTACCGTGCCAAATAACGATACAGGTTCTCTATGTGATCTCCCTGACTCTTCCCAGATATTCCCAGGATTCCTTACCCTCAGCGCAAGATACCGTCCAATTTTACACTTCTGGCGCCGAGTGCTCTTCTATTACATCCCATGGAATCGGAGCCACCTTTCGCCATGCGCTTGATCACAATAGCTTCCGGTCGCAAAGTCCTGGTATGGCCACATACCCTATACCTTGATCTTGGTTGATAGATTTGGGACCTTGGAGCCACAGATCTCACCTGAATCGTCGCAATGTGTTCTGAAAGCCGATCTAGAAGCTGTTGAGAAACTACTTAGGCCGTTTAAATAGACCTGTTGAAAACAACTGCGCACCTGGGCAAACAACCTTAATCGCCCCATCGCCGAGCTCCTATACTCGGTGCCTACCATAACCCGGCTTTAAGTACTTCTAGGCAGTCATCGCTCCTTGTAGGCCAGTGATTTGCTCGCCTAATATTTGAGCCACCGCGCCATGCTTATATCTAAGCATAAGACGGCCAGGGGGCTACTAGCACACTAACAACAAGAGCTAGGCATATGCTTCCTGTTCTCTCAGTGCCTAAGTGCGGTATATGCTGAGTAGATGTCTCCGACGCTTAAAGAAGAATCAGCACAATCCGAGAAAAGCAAATTTATTGATACATGTCTTTAGAAGATTGCCTGGAAATTAGTTGCTCATTACCTGCTGGCACAGCCGCGGGTTGTGGTTTCCCAAAGTTCGTCGGTTTGTTTGACCTCAACTTCTCGCTGCCTGTGAATACCCCTCCCCCTCGTTTTCTTTTCTTCTTCTCTTCTTTACAGGCGAGGAAGTGTGCCGCCTGTTCATAACCCTCTGATTGAATAATATTGCCAGGCAGTATTTTAGTCATCCAAGGTCAAATGCCTCATTTTGCATGGTTTATGCCCTGAATATGCCTGAATATGCCTGGATTCTGCCTGAATTTCGACTGGCATGAATTAAGATACATGAATCACCGACAGAGGGCTTAATAAGCAAATTATCTAAGTTCGATAAAATGAAGCTATTCCCACCATACAAATGCCCGTATACACCTATTTCCTGGCGTTAAAGCCTTTTCACTACGTAATCGTCCCCCTCTCTTCTCCCCCTATCCTCTCATTCCCTCCTATAAGGGCAAGTGGGCCTAATACCACTTCTATAAAACCAGGAAAAATAATAGTAGAGTATTTACTAAAAGAGCTATTATAATAACCAACTAGTTATCATTTTAGGTTTCCAACTCAAATACCCCCATCTTAAATACACAAATACAGGATAAGACGTACCCTTAATCCTAGGGTCGTGACATAAGGCGTCTCCTTATCATAAGGGATTCAATAATAAGGCTATACGTAACGCGTAGACTGGTATATATAGCATTTGGAGACGCGCCGCGTGAGAAAGGAGGGATGGTCTTATCTTTACGGGCTTTGAGATCAATGCTTGGTCGCACTATTATGGACTGTGTTGGTGTAGAAATGAAAGAGAAATTGAAATTGTATAGGCTTCGAAAAGCGGTGGTGAGTGCGGGGATATAGCGGTGAAAGAATTATCCAATGAAAGGGTTATGGACAGGGGGCACACTTCGTCGCCCGTACTTCTTCTTTCCTACCTCCATACCATCTCCATCTTCAAGAACATTTCAACACTCAATACTTTCCATCGTGAGTTTCTGTTTGGAGTCAGTCGACTCCTCCTTCCTTGCCGTGCTATAAGAAGCTCCTTCTTCCAGATAGTTTCCTTCCCTTCTTCTCTTCTTCAGACGAATACAGGATTTCCAGTCTCTCTCTCTCTCTTTGTAGCGTAGAGTCTGGTCCTGTCTCTCAGTTTCATTGAAAGATCTCTATATCCTTCGAACTCTAACATCGGTCTCCATATTAGGCATCCTCCACTTGAATTCTGCGACAGTGAAGTCTCTCACCCACTGCCAAAATGCCGGCCACCGACTGCCTTCGTACGTCCCCTTCACATTTGTAGCATATGATGACAAGTGCCATAACATCTAACTGCCACAGAGCCACCCCTCACCCCCGCCGAGCGGGCCATCGTCAAATCCTACGGTGGCTGGACGTATTTCCTGAGGAGCTTCGGACTCAAGCCTTGGAATACGGAAGAGGCCGAGGAGGGAAAGCAAATCCTTGAGGCCTTTGCTCGTGCAGATGATGAGGAGAGCGCTTAGTGAGGGCTTTGAGACCGGCGGTGAGCCGTAAGAGAGATACCGCAGATGAGCGCAACGGACTCTGATAGAACACTCGTGGAAGCTTTTTTGACTTCTTTTGACTCCGATGATTTTATTCCCAGCTTTTCCCAATATAGTACCTTGAATATAGATCTCTAAGCATGTTCATCTTCGGGGCTTACCTTCGGGGGCAAAAAAGCAAGGCTTGATGTCTGACTTGCAATCCAGAGTCATATGCTTAATGGTGAAGTTCAATTGCTTGAGTAGAAATACGCCAAATTTCTGTTCTTCGACGTTATCGATGGCATTTTCAACGCCAAACAATTACTTGCACTGCTCTAGGTGCTCCCTTGATTCTTCTGTTCCTTTGGGGGACATATCGATAGGTGTGGATGCTTGAACTTGTCTGGTAATGGACGACTGGGATGCGGGCTTTAGCTACATGAGCTGAGCACAACTGGACGTAGATCGGTTTTGAGGGCGTGGACTGGATTTAAGACAAAAACGGATAGCTGCAGCAGCGAAGTAGATCGAGTGGTGGGCATTGAATGGGGGCGATGTGGAGAGCTTTGAAGGCCTGGATGCCTCGGGCCGACAGCACCCATCTCAGATACATCTTTCTCTCTGTGTCCCTCTCTCTCTCTCTCTCTCTTTCCCCTTTCCTCTCCTTTCCAGCTAGATCAATGACGCATAGTTTCCTGCTAAAATTCTTATTGGACTATTTCCCCTAGAGAAAGTGATGTTGCGATGTGGCCGGTCCGTCGCCAGGCGACGCGCCAAGACTACCGGCGGCTACGATCAGTAACTGACCCTAAGCAAACCCTCGTTTCGCCAATCTCTGTTATTAGAGCGCATCCTACAGAGTGTCCTTCTTTGGCTCACAGAGTTCTGAAAAGGTACAAATTCAAGAATTGGTTCTCAGTTTTAGAACCCTCATCACACTAACCACGCTTAGATGGCAGCGATTGAAGCTGCTTCGCCCGACAGCAAGACCCGCTTTCTTGTTCTAACCGATACCTACGGACTCGAAATTCTACCCAGAAACAGTCTTGCACCAATATGCAGACGTTGCGACTCACTGCAGCGATCTGACAACCTCATCTGAACTTGACGAGTATAGAGCCTCCATCCGCTTGCCCCAGGCTCTCAACGCGGCTCTCTTCAGCCTATCAAATAGAAGGAGTTGCTTTCTATGGGCGGACAATCATGCACATAACTCCATAGCTTAGCACGTCTCAATACCCCATGGGAGGTAGCAGAGGCACGGGCTACGCCCATGCCTCGACGGAAGTTAAACTAATACAACAACAACGCGGCTCTCAAGCTTGTGATAGCTGGAGGTCACGATTTCACATTATATATCCCCTTCTTCAAAAGGAGAGTGGCCGAGGCTCGGCGAACGATAGACCCGACATTGTTTCAACCAATCATCGGTCGCTATGGAGAGGCGAGAGAGTTTGTTTAGCGCAGAAGCTGGGATCACCTTCGTCGACCAAGCCATTTGTTCCTTTCAGCCACAAAATGGAGCGCTTTTGGAGATATGCGCTATTTCATACACACCATCGTTTGGTGATTGGGCGCTTCAGTATGACCGATATGATGGGTACAATTATGCTATTGACAACGTTCACGATGTCATGATGATACATGGATCACCAATAGGTGTGATGGGCTCGAATCGCATGGGAAATTTGATAGGCTCTCTGCATCCTTTTGAAGCTGTATCCCGGGCCCGACCCCGGCTGCATTGTTATGGTCACATACATGAAGTCTTGGGTGTGAAGTTTATCAAGTGGCGCCAGGAAAGCGCCACAGATACTTTTCACACAACTGATATGCATGAACAGAATTCCATCCTAATAGAAAACATTTCGACTATCCGAGAGAAAAGGAAACGTGCTTCTGTGGAACTTTCAGCTACAAGGCATTGCATCGCGGATCCTTACCCGTTGAAATCGGGCTCTCGTACGCTTTTCGTGAACACTGCAACTTCAGGCATAAGAGACCATCCAGTACAGCCACCCTGGGTTGTTGATCTTGAGCTCCCACGAGCCACTCGACAAACCAATTTCTGGGGTACACAGCAATCACCTGATTATCCTTTCTGCTGTGCTGGCTTCTTGATACCTGTTCGGGCACAGTGCGAATTATAGTAACCTATTAGCTGAACGCGAGTAATGCGTTGTTAGGCTTCAACTTTCCTTAAAATTAGCCCGCCATATATGATTTTAGGTCTATTTGAGTGTATAATTATTATTTGACTACAGATGACTTCCTAATGGAATGACTGTCTACAGTAACCAGATCATAAAATATTTTTCATAGAATTTGATATCATTTATCACAAATATAGAGACGCATATATATGATGGTCAAAGAGAATATACTTCACGGAGCTGAAGCTCGGGGCACTTGAAGTTGGGATCGAGCTCCTTCTCGATCTCCAACTCGATTGGCTGACCACGTGGAAGACGCCGAGCAACTTTAACCACGTCCAAGGAGCCCGTCGAGAGGGCAAAGATCTTATCCATTTCCTCGAGAGTTCGTCCAGCGGTCTCAGGAAACAGGTAGTATATGATAGGCACCATAACCGCATTACAACCCGCGAAGATGACGAAGTATGTTTGTCCCATACTGTTGAATGCGATGGGTGTGACAAGGGTGAGCAGGACGCTGACAGCCCAGGAGATGCTGATGCTGAAGCTATTGATAGTCGTTCGTAGATGCAAGGGTGCGACCTCGGTGGCGTAGAGGTATGGTATAGCGCCGAAGCCGATGATGTAGGCGAAATGAAAGAGAAAAATGAAGAACACAGCGCCGCGCATTGCGACAGGGTTGTCACTTTGGGTTCCGAGGCCAGCTACCAAGGCTAGACAAACGGCATTTGCAATCGCGCTTCCTAGAAGTAATACCCGACGACCGAGCTTTTCTATTTTGAGCACGCAGAATGCTCCGCCGATGGGACCGACTAGTTGATAGACTGCGCCCAGGACGGTGGATGTTGAGTTTCCGAGCCCGAGATTTTTCTCAAAGATCGCAGTCGCTAAATGTGGGAAGGTCAAGTTAATTCGGTTGTCAAAGAAAGGAAGTACGGCTCCGAATACGTACTGTAGAAGGTAATGACTGTAGAGCCTGTGAGTTGCATAAACAACATCACTGCGGCAGCAAGCATGGCTCTGTGGAAATTTCTCTGAGGACCCATATGGAATATCTGCCCCAGTGATTTCTTGCCCGCGAGGTCCAGCGAGATTTGGACATCCTTGATCTTTGCCTCAACGGTTTTATCATCAAGGCATGTATCCTCCAGAGCGGCCAGGACTTCTCTCGCCTCAGAGATTCGGCCTTGTCGAATCAGCCATCGGGGAGACTCCGGCAGGTAGAAGATGAAAACCAAAATAGCGAGAGAAAGCAACACGACAAAGGCAAATGGGAATCTCCACGCCACGCTGCCTTTTGTGAAAGACATGCCAAAGTCAAGGAAAAGCGCAAGGGCGCACCCGAAGCCGCTGAATATACCCTTCATGCCAACATGCGCACCGCGCTTGTTGGCAGGTGATATCTCAGATTGCCAGAGAGGGATTGTGGCTAGAATAACACCAGTGCCAAAGCCAAGGATCACCCGAGATACAATGAGCTGGCTGAGAGCGAATGCACAAGTCATCAAAATTGCGCCAATGACTTGGACAATAGATCCTGCCATAATTGTCCGTCGTCGACCATATACGTCACCTAGCCATATGCAGGAGATTGTTCCAAAAAGCCCTCCTATTGTGTACACAGCCACAACAAGCCCTTGGATTGTGGACGCATGGGAGCGATCATGGGCAGCGGCGATGTCGATCTCGGGGAATTGATCTTCGAAATTCCGAAGTGTCAAAACCCCTCCAAGTAACGATGCGTTATACCCCACTGTGAGGATTCCGGGCATGAGAACACCCAGGATAGCTGCAATATTGAGGCTATTGCCTCGAAGGCCGAGGAAGCGTGGCAGCATTCGTAAGCCTGGGGGAATAAGAATATGAAAGATCGGCGTGATCGACACTGATCAACGGAATAAGGTAATTCGCTCTGGAAATCAGAATATCAAGCACTGTCGACTCGATGGCAATTCTCGATATTTATGGAAATTGAGAGTAGCAGAAACCGGATATATCGGCTTGTTGGCATTATGATTGAAGCATTCCATTGTGTTGTGTATTATCTTCTCATCACACTCAACCCCAAATGGGACGTTCGAGCCACATGCTCCACAGCACATGCAAGGCCATTAGGCTCATTCTTGTTGACTGGCTCTAGATCCGAGGACCTCCGGTGGCGAGGAACCTCCGAGGGAGATAGACAGTCAAAACAGGATATGCCCTTGTGACAGGTGTAGGAATGCACGGACAGGCAGAGGGGCAGGACTGGCGGAAAGAGGGAATGGCAGAAATTAGTGCTTTGGTAGGCTGCCGAAGAAGGTCCCAAAATGGTGGAGTCAACGGCCTTTAAGCACCGACGCAAGGGGTGAAGCTTTGGATGGTAACCTCCAGGGCTGCCTACAAGAAGGCCTCGAGGATCTAGACACCTCCATCCCGTGTCCGATTACTCGATATGCTGCATGTGATTTACTATTCTCAGGCTGGTCTTTTACTAGGTGTAATTGAAAGGTAAAGCGAGGCTTCTATCATCATATGCCTCATAGCGCATAGCATATCTATATGTAGTTTCGATTGAAGGTACTCAAATGAAGCTATATAGAATCAGCGCATCGCACCGCATTATATGTCCTAAATAACTATTTTAATAAACGCTTACTCGGGCCGACCCTGAGAGAGCCAAATTATCCAAGCCCTATGAGATTAGCATATATGTTTAGAACTGTAGTATCATTGGCTCAGCGTGAGTATCAAGGGATGTGGAATTCCAACCGGAATGATACCGTAAAATTAGGTTACAATTGCTTGATGTAGCACTTTAATCTTCCATTCGTTTTCACAAATATTTTGATGGCAAACTCCTTGATGCAGCAAGGAGAGGGTGACATGAACTTGAAAGGCAAGATCTAAAATGTCCGGATGGACCCAGCCCTCTGACTTCACAGCTCTGACATGGTTTATCCCTAGCAATAAGAATTTGTCACACGCCAATAAGGAATTATAGAGGCTAGATTTCGCAGAAAACAGTATCTCACGACGTCATTCCCAATGTCTTCCCGCCATGAGCTGTTTTGTGCAGTCTCATGCGATGTATAAAGAACAAAAGAAAATTCTCGGGACGAATTTGCAGTTATTCTCACAACCTGATTACATCTATACTCAACTGAACATAAACCCGGCAATTTACAACGTACGTACTGACTACGTGACCCTAAATTAAATGTGCAATACGGATGAGACCTGCCAGATGAAACGATATTTCGTTTATGCCTCGCAAAAGTTTCTTCAGCAGCTTTCTCAAATTGTTATCTCCCAGTAGCATAGAGTCCTCTTGATGTGCTATGCTATCAAACCTCCAATCCATATCAGGATAGAATAAACGATGCTGGGAATCTAAGTTTCGTATTTGAGTTCCTATAAGCTCGTGAAAAAAATGCCATCTATATTTATACAGCCTCGTTTACCTCGTTTCCCATCATAATGACCAAACGCTAAAACCACCAGAAGCTCAGAACAATATTAGAGAAAACAAAAATAAAAGAAACAGCCATATAAACCTATCATATATCTATAAAGGAAACCGAAAGATTTTCGTGAACCGTAGTACGGAATTAGATAGCAACTGGGCCCGCGCCCATTCTATCTTTAGGCCCGATGCCTTTGTGTCGTACTGCAAAAAGACCAATGATCAGGCCAAGCCCGGCCATACCGATGGAACACCAGAGGCCGGTAGCGTATTGCTCGGCGAGTCCATGTCCTTGTTGAATATCAACGGCATCGGTAACGGCCGCCGAAATAGCCAATGAAACACCAGAGCCAATTTGGAATGCAGTGTTGAGCTAGCAAAAATCGTCAGTATATAAAATGTGGAGAGAAAGACATCAAATTCACCATTCCGCCAGCCAGACTCTTGACTTCAACTGGAACACTTGTGAGTACCACAGTGCTTGTCGTGACGAAGATAAATGACACTGATGAGATGCTGATAAGAGATGTAGGAAGAACATTGAGCCAGCTGTGACAGTTAGTAAACTTCTCTTGTCGAAGGATGGCTGATACATACAAGCTTGATTCAGGATTCGAAGTCAAGGCACTCGAGATAGGGGCGACCACGGCTAGAACAAGTCCGATGATGAGGAGGTGCTTTCCATTCATGAATTCGAGAAGCTTTCCTGTTCCGAGGGAAACGATGAAGCCAATCGCCCCCATTGGCAGGAAGCGAAGGGCTGTATCACCGGCAGAAAGCTTGTCTACTTTCTGTGCGATGAGAACGATGTAGTAGATAACGTTTTGGTAGGTGCCATAGCCGGCTGTTGAGTATTAGTATTGCATATATCAATATTTCGGCGAATGGTCGACTCACTGAAACCAATAATCCAGAGACCGGCAAAGTTGCGAATCTTCCACAGAGAGAGCGGCATAATAGGGTTACTGATGTAATTCTCAAAAATTGTGAATCCAACGAGGAGACCGACAGCCAAGATCAAGAGAACAATGATAAAGGGTTGGTCCCAACCATAAGTTCCGCCACTGGACAGCACGAATTGGAGCAAGATCAAGCCCGATGTGGACATCACTGCACCGATGTAGTCCATTCTTTCGTGTTTCCTCTCAGAAGGAATGTCATTTGGCAAAACAATAAAGCCTAGAATCCCCAGTGACCCGGTGATGATAACAATGAGGTAGAAGATATATCTCCATCCCAACGAAGAGGTCAAGAAACCACCGAATATGAGGCCAGTGCAGAATCCCAGAGTACCGGAGGCTCCATATATTGACAGGGCCCGGGTGCGGTCAACACCACTGAAGTAGGAGCTGATGATTCCGATAGCTGATGGAACGGTCAAAGCAGCTCCAATTCCTTGAATGCCACGGAACACTGTGAGCTGAATAAACGACTGTCCAAATCCAATGGCCAGCGTCCACACAGAAAGCCAGGCGAGGCCCACACAGAGGATCTTCTTTCGCCCATAGCTGTGAAAGTCAGTATTTTGTTTCCCTCAAGACTCTGAACACAAAAAGGGGTGACCATAAGGAGGGGAAAATATCGTACCGATCAGATAAGGCACCAGCCAACAGAAGGAAACCGCCAAACGACAAAGTGTATGCAGAAATCATCCATTGCAAATCAGTGCTCGATACATCAAAATCTTGTTGAATCGAGGGCAGGGCAATATTGGCGCTTGTCATGAAGACATTGTCAAGGAACTGAGAGCCAGAAGTTACCAGCAAGATCAAACAGCCTTTCCAAGAACCCAAACGGCCAAATTGATGGGGGATCTTTTCTAAGATAAGAGGATCCTCGCTGCCAGCTGGGGAAGGGAGCATGTGTGCCGGGGTGACCACTCCCGAAGACTCAGGACTGGAGATAATAGTGGGTTCGATTACTTTAGGGGCTTCCATAGTGGGTGTTTCATCACCACCATGCGCCTGGCGATCACGCGGCCGACTAAAATAATCCACAACACCCATTATGCGTTTCAAAATTGAATACAGATGAAAAAGGATGGTCAGGAGAGCATTGGCGCCTACTCGCATACTAATATAATATTTACACCTGTCGAAAAAAGCAAAATCTTCAATAGATCCAGTTTAAAAAGTGGAGGAAGGCCTTTCGGATTACCTCTTTCAGCAAGATCTTAAACTGGAGCATGTTCTTTCGGGTTACCTATTTGAGATGGGAGACCCACGATAAACACACGAGGAGTGGAGAGGGCAACCCGCTGGTCCTTTGCACATGCGCGATAATAACATGAGATTATCACATCGATGTACGTGGGAATGGGATATTGCTTTGATAAGGCAATCAATATTTCCTTGATAACCTTGTCTACTTAATGCCAGACAGTATAGTGTGTCTTCAAGATTGTTATTGACGTTTCAATATATAATGTGGCACTTAAACAATTAGCACCCGAACGTTATCGGGCCGAGTGAGCCAAGACCCCGTATTGCGGGATCCCGATAGGGCTCCCCTCCCGTACACGGAAAAGTCATAGGGCTGTCCTCTTTCACGCCATGTGTACTTATGCAAGCCGAGACATAATATCTAGTTATGCATAAGAGCTTTTTGTGGCTTTATCAAAAGATTGAAATGTGTATTTTCTTTCTCATTTTTGGCTGAGAATTTTGAAGTTGAGGCAAAGATTGGACGAGATTTGCCACGCAGATTTTTTACTCCGTCCATAGCTCATCCCAACTTCGCCTAAAAGCTGACTTCTAGACCTCGCTTTTCGAAAGCAGGTGGGGAACTGGTCATCTTCATTGTTGAAAATTTCGACCAATGTCTTTCCTATTTTGCATTTAGCAGTTTCCATGCAGTCCCCTACAGTATGCAATGTTGTGAAAGTGGAACCCGTCTTGCCAACGCACCCACTGTATAACATTGAAAACGCGGTAGGCGTTGATAGACATTTATCTCCTACATTATACACACCGAGTTATTAAATAATTAATACCATGCTGATCATAAAACCCTCAGATCATTTTCGCTAAGCTAAATGTGAGCAATAAGAGCATTCTTTTGAACTTTGGCAAAATGATCGTCAGTTAAGCAAAAGCTTTGACCAATGTGATTAACAGCAACTGTAGTAATTGGCAATTATTTATGCAACATTGGATGTTCTAGATCTTAACTTAAGGGCATGATGTTGCACACTGTTACTCCATCCTCCGTACGGAGTAGATCGCACAACATTATTATACTTGGATAAATAATTCTTTTTATACAGTTTGCACCCACCACATTTACAAGATGTTACCGAAAAGCCACATATCGACCGTTCTAATATTTCCTAAGGCTTACATACTTCATTATCACCGGTCTGTGAGATATTCTACTCGTTCTTATTGCCTGCATCTGTAAATACCAAATGCAAACAGGTAGACTGCCCCCAGCACATCAATTCGAGAAACAATACGGAGTAAACTGATATCAAATCTAGCCTCTTGCATTTCCTCTTTCTCTGCCTCGCTGATGGATGCGATGTTTAAATGTGTCATTATCTTCCTCTCTAACTAGATGACCTCCAAAATGCTGTAAAGCGGATGGCTGCCTGCTTTGATAACTTTCTGTTATGTATCTTTCAAATAAAGATATTGGGTTCTTGGTAAGACAGCATACTCGAACTTTAATTCGGATTTAAGTTATTATCTTAGTGTCTTGGTCGAGAACCACACTACGTAGCTCTACGCGTTGGGGTTCCCCCAAATGAACGTGACTGCGATGACGTCAGTAAAGGCCTGACCGATCAGGCATCCACCCCGACGTGTTCGCCAATCACCAAGTCGGGAGATCACTTCCCCGGGTCAAGCAGCGTCAGTTGGAAGTAGATCGAAGGTAAAACCCACAATAATGACGTAGAGAGTTCACCGAAGACACCATGCATTCATCGAAGACCCCGCGGTCATCATTTTCCGTTCATGGGCAATTGACGGAATATTTCTCGGCAGAGGTTTGTGATTGATCACATATCTGTTTTTCATCACTGCAGCATAACTACCCAGAAGATAACCGGCAGCCTGAAAATCGCTTACAAAGATCACGAGCTTGGGCTGCCATGCGACTCACTCGAATATTTGCGCAAAATTGAAAATCTTTCGGCTTCCTTCCGTTATCTCAGTGTGGCTCTTCCATTGATCTTGGAAGCAGCTCTATTAGGGGCATCCAGAGAGATAGATGACTTTCAATTTCGGTCACAATGTCTCAGCCCAACAGCTGGCCGACATCCTACCCAACGGCGTCGCCATCCTCACCCACCGACATGAATTGGTCTCCGTAAACCGCCGGTTCCGCGAACTCATCCCTTGCTCCAATGCCAGCTTCTCTGAGTGCTGGCTACGATCAGTCCACCCCGACGACTATGAACGGGTGTCTACGGGGTATCGCGAAGTCGAGAAATCCAAAGGACCACTACGCCTCGAATACCACACCCGCGATCCGGACTCGATATGGTGCGTCATGACGTTGGATCGGTTGGATGATAAAGATGTACAATGTTTCGGGTTAGGTGATGGAGGGCTATCGATCTGCACAATTGCCGATATCACCCCTGAGAAAAAGGCCGAGCTGTTGCAGAGACAAGCTGCAGAAGAGGCACAGGAACGAAAGAAGCAACAAGAGCGATTCATCGATATGATCAGTCATGAAATTCGCAACCCGCTTTCCGCGATACTACATTGTACGGAAGATATTCAGGAGGCTATCTACAATAAGAAACCCGAACAAATCTCGATCATGAGCATTACCGAAGCAGTCGAGACGATCAGTCTTTGTATCACACATCAAAAAAAGATCGTCAACGACGTTCTTACCTTTTCAAAACTTGACGCATCCATGCTCTCACTATCACCGCGCAAAGTTCAGCCCAAGCGACATCTTACCACCCCACTGGCAATATTTCGCCCCGAGCTCCGAAAGCAGAAGATCAAGTTTGAATACAAGGTTGACGTTTCCTATGCTAAATGCGGCATTGATTGGGTCACGGCAGATCTGGATCGCATGGGGCAAGTTCTGATCAACATCCTCTCGAATGCTATCAAATTCACTGCCAAATCAGAGAGTCAGCGATCGATCCGAGTCTCAATGGGCGCTTCGATAGGCCGACCACCTTCGTACCCCCCAAATATCGTATTTTTCGACTCGTGCGAAGCATCCCTACGCAAAGACGCAACAAACACCTCTGAATGGGGACATGGAGAAATTGCATATATCATGGTCGCCGTCAAGGACTCCGGCATCGGAATCACCGAGAAGGCCCAAAAACGACTTTTCGAACGCTTCAACCAAGCAACTCCCAAGACTGAGAGCATCTACGGTGGCTCTGGGCTTGGACTGAATGTATGTAGGAAACTATGCCACCTGCATGGAGGTGAAATTGGCGTGAGCTCCAAAGAAGATTGCGGGAGCACTTTTGGCTTCTTTTTCAAAGTGCGCCGAACGAAAGGTCCGATTGATGGAGAGCATGGCAACGTTCAAATATCTGGAATCGATAAACTCTGTTTCGATATTCAAACGATGGGGAATGAAATGAGCGGAATCAACAAGACAACAGATGAGCCCCAAATTTCAGAAAATCCCCCTGAGGCTAAAGTCTGGGAAGCAGCGCCTGGTGCACCAGATGACCAAGCTACAACACGCACCCGCAGTCTAGCTTGTGAGGCCTCACAAGATCAGGCCAAACGGGAGAAACAGAATTCCATCCCCGGCCATGGCCAAGTGACACAACATGGCGATGGTCAACGTATTCTCTTGGTCGAAGATAATGTCATCAACAGGCGAATCATATCACGCAAGCTAGACACACTGGGCTTTGATATATCAGAAGCCAGCAACGGCCAAGAAGCCGTGGATGCGAACAGGGACTCTACCTTTGATTGTATTCTCATGGATCAGCAGATGCCTGTGATGGACGGTAACTGTGCAACAAGAGCTATCCGAGATATTGAAAAAGAAACCGGAGGGCATGTCCCCATTTTGGGAGTGACAGCTAATGCCAGACAGGCACAGCAGGAGGAAATGCTTGGTGCTGGAATGGATGATGTTATCCACAAGCCATATGGGACGCATGAGCTTGTTGAGAAGATAAACCATATGGTTTCCAAAGAATCGAAATGGGGAATGTAAAGCGAGGATCTTTAAAATGCGCGATTGGGCTCATGAAGATAATGTATGTTTATGATATATATTGAGAGATGAATATACCAATGTGATGATTGACTAGGGGTTATAAATTAAGAATCTGGGAGCAAGTATTATGAGTACTATCGGGTTGCAAGAAACCCAAGCGAGACGAAATACGAAAGGCGCACACAGAGAAGTCGCCCGTAAACGTATCAGCGCTTCGTAAACACCAATGGACAGCCATCCTGTGTAAAGTGTCAATATAAGCCCAAATAATACCGTTAATAGTAGTACTAACCATTGGGAATAGGGTAGCAAAAACTCGAATCTCCTCTGATCTCTCCGTAGCATAATGCTTCCAATCAAGTTCCATCGCTGCTTTACCAATCATACCCGCCATGGAGAGCGGGACGTATTTCCTCGCAAGGCAATCATGGGGACCAGCACCGAACACCAGCCAATTTTTAGTCTTGGACTCGGCATCACCGGATATCCAACGCTCAGGATCAAAGGTATCCGGGTTGGGATAGACGTTTGGATCGTGTAGAGCCGGATAACAGGATGGAATGATCATGGCTCCCTTGGGAACGGTATAATTAGGCGTGACGGGGAAGTTCTTCGTCGCGAGATATGGAACCATAATCACAGGTGGTCGGTGGCGTAGCAGCTCCTTGATTACTGCATTGGTATATGTGAGTGACTCCAGCATAGGCAGATCGAACGCCTTATTTCCATCACCATCTCGAGCAGCCAAGTTTTCCGCTCGTAGCTTTTCGAGCACGTCAGGTCGCTGGGCAAGGATTTGGAATAGCCATGTCGTGGCACTGGAAGATGCGTCCTGGGACGCAAAGAGGAAAGTGAACAAAGTCTCTCCGATCTCCTCATTTGTAAATTCGCGGATCATGTTTGTTGGCTTCTCGGCGTCCGTCTCTCCTGCAGCAATTCTTTCCTTATAACGCTTCGACTCCATCATATGGAGCACCCAATGGTCCACGATGCATGTGGGATTTGCACCCGTTGCCATGTTTGCCTTGCATGCAGCGGCGCATTTTGCGAACTCGGCATGGACAGCATCAGCTGTGCGCTTCCCGAGCCAGGGTTTGGTGAACGGAATGTACATTGACAAAGGTACGTTGACCAATTCAAGGGCTGCTGTAGCAAGGTAGAAGTCATCGGCAATCTTCTTGACTGCGGCCTGGGATATGTAATCGCCGAAAAATGTGCGACATGAAAGTGCACAGTTGATCTCGCGAAACATGGTCATGAATTCCACTGGCTTCCCCTGATTCGCTTTGCTAGTGGCAACAAATTTGCCAAAATAATCGGCCAACACCTTCTCTTGCACTGGGAGGTAAGTTGCCATGGCTCTGTTCGTGAAAAGAGGTGTTAAGCCTCTGCGGTACTCTGCGTGATCTCGACCCTGAAGAAAAACCCATGCTTTGTGGCCGAGGATATCCTTCGCAATCGGCACTATGCATGGCTCCGCATATGCGGGTGATTTGAATACCTTGTGGGCTATGTCGCGGTCGGAGGCTAGAACAACAAATCTGAATGTAATTGGGTTAAATTTGATAGCTTCAAGAGATGGGTGACATATACGTTGGCAATAGATCTGAGCACTTACTTGTGAAAGACTGACACACAGCTGAGGGGTCCACTGGCCCATTGTGCGAGGTACCCTTCAAACTTTGGGTGTAAGGCTTGTATGAATGGACCCATGAGAGGGATCTTGAGCGGCGGTCCGGCTATGGAGCCCTTCCTTCTGATATACATGACTAGAGAAGGTGTTAGTTGACTTCGATGGCCGGGAGAGATTTATTTTACCTTGGTCATAGACAACAACGGCGAGGAAAAACGTCACGATATACTGCCAGGTTTGCCAGCCCAACAAAGGGCTCAACAGGGAATCTTGGAACTGGGAAGGGTTGGAAGGCCATATCTGCAACGCCTCATCTTGAGCGATGGAGATATTGGCCATCTGAGCTGCCATGTTGGAGTCCATGGTGATAAATGGCAGATTAAAGGTGCCAAGCAGGCTCCTCATGCTCTTTTCAAGCAGAGAGAAGACATAGCATGTTCTCTTCCATGTCCTCTCCTAGTCATGGCATGATATACTAGGTATTACCTAAGTAGGATCCATTTTACTTGATTAGGACTAGACTCCGATGCCAAGAATAGACCTTGCGGAGTCTAGTCCTTTTTCGATTTAGGCTCGGGGGCTCTAAGTCCACGTAGAATGATGGTAATCAGTGCTCACAGGCCCAATAGTGAGCCCACCCCGTGGATCGTTCCATCGGCACTTGTGCTTGCTTTCCAATCCGTTGACTCGCATCGTGGTCTCGAAAGCGGTGTGATGATCAAACTGGCAGGGAACCGGGGGCTACCACATTTCCTCCTTTAAATACTCGATTCTCTCTCAAGATGCGTCAAACTCTCCGTCGTTCCTGTGCTGCCTGTGCAAAATCTAAATCTAGTTGCGATCTCGGCAAACCACGTTGCTCCCGCTGTGTCAAGCGCCAAGTCGACTGTGCCTATGCAAATGAACCCTCAACGAGCCCGGCGACTCCCGGGTGGCAGAATATTGGCGCAGTAACAAGCGGACTTGATGGATCCGGCACTTTAACAAACTACAGATTTGGGTCCCTTGATCCTTTTGACTCGTATCCACCGACTAGACTTCCTCGGGAACACGTTCAACGTTTGATCTATGGTTGTATGTTGGCCTGTAATGAACCCTCACCGCAGAAACTTTAGCTTACCTATCCAGTCCTCCACAAGATCGCTTTTCAATACTATCCTCTTGATCTAAATGCCACTTCGAATCCTTTTTTGATTTCTTGGTGGCCCCTTGCACTGGGGGATCCAGCACTATTCCACGTCTCTTTGCAGACAGCATGTCTTGATGAAGAGTTGTTGGCCCAGAAGGGCTTTCAAACATCCGAACTTCTCATGGCCGACTCGGTAGCTCTGCTGCGACGCAAGGTGGAGTCCACGTCGTTGGCTGTACAAGATGGGACCATGAATTCTGTCATCACTTTGGCAACCATTGAAGTGAGATACTTTCATAGTCATCGTCTTCCCTGCCGTTTGTTAGTTTGAACACATTGCTAACTCAACACGGTTCTCAGTTCGGCAAAGGCAATGCAAAAGTTGGCGAAATGCATGTTCATGGCTTGAAAAAATTGGTTGACATGAGGGGCGGTATCAATGCAGTCAGGCAGACCAGTCCACTCACGGCGAGAATGGTCAGTTGGTAAGTCATCCCCTTTGCCGCGAATGATTAGATACTCACAACCGCGAAAGGGTATCGATGCTTATAATGGGTCAACCTCAATTTGAGACTCAAGATGACTTCGGTATTGGGGATGGCATCGCTCCCATCGCCGAATGGCAGTTAGACTCGATGGCTGCTGAAAACGAGTTGTTTAATATCAATGCTATTGAAGTGGACTACGCAGTGAAGAATGTCTTCACTCGTCTCAGCAATGTCTTTCGTCGAGCGCGCACCATACCCTTCCCAGCCACAAAACTCCATGACCTTACTTGTTTCGTCGTACACCGACTTCTACTTTCTGTCCCAGGCACGACAATAGCGGGGCTGTCACCGATGACTGAAAGCATTCGCTGTGGTATCATTCTCTACATGTTCATTGCTCAGGGACCAACCTATTACTCGCATGCTGTCATAATGAACACGATTGTCATTCGATTTATGGAGAACCTCGAGAGACTCGCATCGACACCTCGTGCGTATGACTCACTTGATGTCTGGTTTGTTTCAATCGGAATGGTGGCTTCGATTGGTACGGCTCACCAGCGATGGTTTGTGAAGAAAGCAGAAGAACTAGCCGCTTCTTTACAACTGTACAGCTTTAAAGACACTCTCATCCATATTACATCTGTTCTATGGCTGGAGAAACCACAGGCCGAAGATGCCTTTCGAGCCCATTGGAACGCTATTCTCAATCCCGCGGACCAGCCGCTACCAGACCTCAGGATGTGCGTCTCGCCATATAACGCCAGTGGAGAATTCATATGAAATGTGATCTCTTTCATCAATGCATACAGACAGCGCATGACGTCTAACTTCGGTGCATCTAGAACTCATCTTCACTCATACACAACGCTGTCACATTGGGAATCATGACCCAGAAGATGCTGGCTGGCTCAAGTACCACCTTGAACTTTTCGCCAGGTGGGGATAGGGTGAGCCCCCAGGCAACCACTACTTTGGCAGGGATATGTCTGAACAACTCACAACATCAACACACTTTTCGAACTATGTGAACCTCTCCACGCTGTGGTATGAGGGCGCGCCCCAACTGCGCCACCACCACTCGATCCTCGATCAAGTCTATCACGCCACTTTTAGCGAACCCACGACTACAACATAATGTTTACCACGAAGTGGAATCCGTTTGGTTCCAACACCTCATCCTCATCACAGCGAGGCCACAGGAATCTGACATTTGGTCTCTGTAGATAATGGCAGCCTACATAGTCCCGTACAACTCAGATAGCATATCACAGTATCTTCCCTTTATGCAAATATCCATTCATTCATTCTAACTCAATTGATTGGCCAGATATCTGACTTATCAAAATGTTTCAACGGCAACAACACCAAAGAGAGATACCCCTGCAGCGGTATCCCGAGGCCAATAAATAGAAAAGTGCGTGTCCAACACCGCAATCAGTGCGTGCGCACCACTTCAACCCCAAAATCAATCTTGTTCAGCCCGAGCCTTCAAATCCCGGTGAAAGCCATCAAAATGAGCCCGCATCTTCTTTCCCAGCAGCGAAGGACTCATAATAAACGCAAGAAGACCCTTCAGATCCTCCGTCTGCGTGAAAACCGTCGAAGCACCACCATTAGCCGGTTCGATATGGAATTTGTGCAAACCAGCGATCGTAAACACAGGCGGGCCCTGCCAAGAAAACAAGCTCTCGGTATTCTCCTATGCCGCTCCGAGTTCTATCAGCTGCCATTCCTTGATGCTCTTCAACGTTATTCCTCACTCTGACTTCAGCGACGAACTTGAAATTCTCGATGTCGACTTCTATTTCATCGCCCGAGGTGAGTTGCTGCGGGGTCTTGCTGCTATCTTTGGGCGCGATGCTTTTCAGCCATTCCGTGTGCCATTCCGGGTATGAGGAGAAGTTGAGGAGCTACGGTGTGGTTAATTGTCAGCTTGTTTTGCTGCGCTTTTGTTTAGAGTACGTACAATCTCGCGCACTTTGGCGGGTGGTGCGGCTATCTCGATAGTGCTTGTGATCATATTTTTCTTTCTGTTGGCTTGGTTGAGAGGGTCGGATGCACGAGAAAGGGGATATAAAGGGGGTCATGGATAAGGTGCGTGGAGTTAGGATAGTGCATATCTTTGCTGCATTCGGCATGTCTTCTCACTCCGCACGAGAAGGTGAAGTGACATGTCTCAAAAGCAAGGTTTTGTGGGATTTTGCTAGAGAACTTCTTATATTTGGGCTCAGTTCCTAGGACTTATAAACAGAATTGGGGAGTTTTATGCCTACCTAGATATCTACATACAGGTAGTTGCTGTTACATCCACACTTGCCAGTACTAAGACTTACATTTACGCTTGAGTCATCCTGGCAGACTGCTTGACATGCCTTCACTTTTCTCATTATACGTACTTTAAATACGAATCAACATTTAGTGTTATTGGCCATTATAGCTTCACAGGTGGTGTTCTCACTACTTAGATTGAACAAAAACGCAGCAATTCTAACCAGACGCTTTCTCAATTCGGGAATACAACTCAGCTAACGATCGATTTTGATGTACAGGCCAAAGACTATTATCATGAGATCTAAATCTCGAGCGAATTTGTTTGAAGTTGACTTGCAATTCAATTAAATATAAACAATAGCAGGCATGAGGGTAGTTGTGTAACAAAAATTCATCAAAAGTCCTCCCAATCCATGACGAGTCATATATACAGAGATGGAGACAATTATATACGCATAACATCACATATCGTTCGTATGCATTCGCATCTCACCACCGGCTCAATACGACGGCTCGATACTAATCTTGCTGACACGCCGACCATTGTTCTGGTCTCTGTCGGCAGCAAGCGTAGAGGCGAACTTGCTCTTCGCGCGGATCTGGGGTCCCTTCCAGTAGAACACATAGATGGGAGTCACAACCAGACAGGATAGGCAAGCCAGGATAGTAGTTGCGTACTCAACATGCCACTTGTCGCCGATATTGGTGTACATGGGCGTTGCGTACATGGCGGAGATACCGGCAAGAAGGTCACGAGCAAATGCATTGCCGCCAGTCGCAGAAGCGGAATAGACACCGTAGGATGCGACCATGTAGTCAACGGAGGAGAGGTAGATTGCGTAGTTGGCGATACCGACGCAGGCGGAGAAAATCATGGATCCGATCCAGTGCACATTTCTTGCGTCACCGAGGGATGTCCAGGCAAAACCGAATAGACCGATCGGTTCGAGCGGAGCGAGGAATAAAAGCCATTTCAGACGGCGTTCGGGTGGAATAGCTGCATCGCCGTGTCGGACTCGGAGTTTCTGGTCGCGGAGGAACCAGGGGAAGTAACTGAAGTATGCGATGAAATAGGCGACGTTGATGGGAATAATTGCCCATGCTTGTGCGAGGGTACCGAAGCCCCATCCTTGTTCGTAGACGATGGCAAAGCTCTCCAAGAAAGTGAAGATCAGAGCGTCGGAGAAACCGGAGAGAAGAGACAGGCAGAGGACAATGGGTTCCCGTAGAAGCATGTAGAATGGTCGAGCCCAAATTCTGCCGGCTTCCTTGAGCGAGATACGAGGGGTTTTTGAGTTCGTTAGGTCCGTAGATGTTCGGGTCTTCTCCGGTCTTGCGGCGGCGCTTGGCTTCTTTGTCCATGATAATAGTTGAACGACTTTCGGGCATGAAGAAGATGATGATTTGGGTGACACCTCCAAAGATAAGCTGAATCCAGAAGAACCATTGCCAGTCAAGGACTATAAACCATCCGTGTTAGTAAAATGTTGAGGATATATCCGTGCAGGGAGAATATGATTGCTCACATCGCGCAATGGGACCACCGATCACACCGCCGATACTGGTACCGATACAAGAGGATAAAACGATGAAGGCAAGAGGGAATTGTTGTGTCTCGGGTTCGTAGAGATCGGCAATAAGACCAAGAGTAACACTACCACCGGCGGTAGAGAGACCACCCTATAAATCATGTTAATTGGCCTGGAGCTTTGGATTTCAACATACTAGAAGGACTTACCAATGCACGAGCAACAACTACACTGCCCCAATTAGGGGCAAGTGCGGCAGGGAGTTGCCAAATGTTAATCAGGAACATGGAGAGCTGAAGGATAGGCCAGCGACCGAATTCCTCAGACCAAGGAGCCCACAGCTCACAGCCAATCGAATAAGTCACTAGGTAGGCCATTTGACCTGTACGAGCGTGTTGCTCGCTAATTTGGAAAGCCTCAGATAGAGGTTTGACGGCAGCCGGGTATACTGAGGTATTGAAGTTCATAGAAACCTGAACGAACGCGACTGCGACGAGGTATGTCCATTTCTTCCATCGTGGCCATGAATAGCCCAGGATTTCGTAGCAATCTTCTTCCTTTAGTTCGCGCTTGCCATCGGGGCGAATACTCTCTTTTTCGCCAAGCGCATGGGAAAGGTTGACGGGCGCATTAGATTCAGTGTCGGTGCCATTGGCAGATGGTAGTCTGCTTTCGCTATGAACAGCTCGAGGTTCTTGCTGCTCTGAGGGAGTCATCCTGGTGTGCGCAGGATGAAGTAAACACGGAGCGATGGCGAAAATATTTCTATGTGGACCTTCTCCAGGTGTTATATGTACCCCATGTGTATCAGCAAAGTTTTTCTACCTCGGACAGCACGCGCTGAAACCGGATTTAGGGTGGATCTGCACTGCACTCAGATTAGAGAGGTGGAGACCCTGGCGTAATGAGCTAAAACGTGTACGATATCGCTGCTGGGGAATGAGATCTCTATAGAATCGTAGATTGTAGATCGGAGCAATTGCATGGCATTCATGTGTATATATTGGACCGTGTATGCTCAATCTCTCGAGTATTTCCTACAACAATGCATGTGAAAATAAGAAATATTGAGTTATCCTGTCTCAAAACCTGATATCAAGGATCTGCTACCTATCCCTTCAATCTTGGCATTCTCCACCAGCCCTGACGTCAGAACTTTCTTCCAACGGAAAGCCTACCGAAGGATGTGCCATTCTCTTGCCCTACACACTTGGCTGCAGAATATCGATGGTTCTAGGCGTCACTCACAATATACAGAGCCAAGAATTTATATCTCGGCATTCTTGGCTATATTCTTCAGGCCGAAGAAATGCCGTAATTCACATATGATACCGCGTTCGAGGGTACATCTGAAAAGGGAACAGTTTGTTTCTTTTCCGAACATATGAAGCTTAAGCATCGAAGGCATGCGGCTGAAGATGAGGATGAGTCTGGGGAATTAACATAAACACAGTTTCGTATGAGGTCATCTCTGCATACCGGTGGGAATAAACGACATAAAATCAAGTCCAACAGATCCAGCTGGCCAATGAAGAAAGACCTACGCAGCTAACCGGGAGATCTCCGAACATCAACTGAATTGATTGTGAGAACTGATTAGCCACAGCACAGACCTCCATGAGCCCTGGCGTTTGATTGGGGCGGTAGTGGTGATCATCATCTGTATTCTGTCAGCGCAAGGTACGAGTGGAGGACATAGCCCGAATGAAGCATCTCGTGGGCGAATCCTTTGAGGAGAGGCGAAGTGACATCATTACTAGTTCCTGAACTACACGTGTATGGTGTTGGAGTGCTGAAACTGTTTGCCTCCATTACTGCTTGGTGTCTCCCAATCCTGTCCCCACAGTGGTGCAATCTTGTATGTTCGATTTCTCTCGGTCAAGGCAGAAATATTGATGAGATCGTGCTCGCTGCGCCTATTGGCTTATCGCACATACTCTCACAAGTCGAACGTTACTTCCTATCTTATGTTAGGAATGTATTCTTACCCTTTTCGTACTTGTCTTAGCACCACCGACAAAAATATCATCTGCCATCTAGGGCGACCTTCAGTATAGAATTGACCAGCGATGGGGCCCAAAAAAAGACCCGGAAGCAAAAAGTGATGACCGACGCAGGGATCGAACCTGCAATCTCTTGATTCGTAGTCAAGCGCCTTGCCATTGGGCCAGCCGGCCTTGATGGAAGAAGCAGCCCAAAAGTGCTTGATGGGGCTGCAGAGTTTTCCGATCCCCGGCCCCACTTCACCGGCTATCGTTATCGATTCCCGGCCCGAAAGGGGCAACTTAGCCGACGATAAGAAAACGGATCTTGGCATTCTTCACTTTAATTGCTCTTGGCCTGTACCCGCTGCATGCATGGATGCATAGTGGTCCATATAGATCTATCATATAGCCGTTATATGCATAGATATATCATGCTGAGAGTACGAGGCAGCATAGATCATGATTTGTCTATATCCCAAGATATCAAAAATTACTTGTATATATATCTATATATATCTCATCTTTAAGTTATCAGAGAAAAGGCAAAATCCACTCATTTCTTCCATTGTTAACCCAATTACAGTGCACGTGCCAGTTATGCACAGATTCATAGGCATTCACAAGGTTACCTTGCACCAAGAAGATTTTATAATTCGAAGTCATTTCGGATCTCGTGAGAACTTGAACACGTTTCCTGTATTTCAATGTTTCGATGAGGGCCTATATGAAACACCCCAAGGGTATTGTTTCATTTTAACGGAAAACCTAATAAATTCATGTAAGATTGATATAATCATTGCAATGTGTTACAGAGGGGAAGAGCAACCAAAGGTACCTGGTATAGTGAGTTCCCTTGATCGCAACGTACATTATTCAATAAGGCCCCTGTCCTCTATAAACATGACCTTCTTCAAGGCTATCGTCGTATCCTTCAGTGAAGTCTTCCTCGTCCTCTCCAGCAAAACCGTGGTCTCTAGCACCGAAGGCTTCCCTGCCATGAGGCTGTCTTTCAAATCTCGCGCCTTCCTGCCTCATGGGAAGTTTTGAAGTATCAAAGGTTCTACCGGGAGCAAAGGTCCGAGAAGTTCCTCCACGACCACCTCGCTGAGGTGCATTCTGGCGACCACGCTCACGATGTGCTGAGCGTGTAGGCGACGGCGTTGATAAAGTTTCACTATACCGGGACCAGTCATTTCTCACCGAACTTCCTCGACCCGCACCCCTGCGCTGTGCAGAACCCCGTTGACTTTGCCCGTAATCATGGCGTTCAAACTTGCGGGAGTGGGGGCGATAGACTGGGCTTTCATTCCATTGGGATGGATCATGCTCGTCGGCGCGTAGACCCCAGGTAGAGGCCGCCTCGGCTTCCGATTCACCAATTGCTTCGGTTAGGTACTGATCAAATCGCTTGACGGTATCTGCTACAAGCTGGAACTGTCGCCAATCCAGCACCGGCTGTGCTCTGTCACCACTATCTTGTTCAATGTCATCGGAAGCTAAATCGTCGAGTTTATCGATATCGTCCGGACTGTTTTGCCAGGAGTCGACTGAGCCATTCCATAAATCAAATTGTGCAAAGGAGTAGGCCGTCTGGAAGGCATTGCGGATCTGTCTCCCGTTCCAGCGGTGATCTGGCCAATTATCGTAGTGCCACTCTGCATACTCCAGGATACCCTCCCGGTCAATTTTCAGTTCCGCTCGCTGTTTAGTTTCTGCCTTGTTGGGCTGCTGTCGATGTTTTTCTTGGGCTTCCTGCAGTTTGCGGAGATTGGTTTCGAATATGGCCAGCGTTTGATCTTTGCTGAGAGGAGTGTAGTGTAAGCTTATGTGAATTCGAGACTTGAAGGCTTCATCAATGATTCCGACTCGATTTGTTGTTAAGAACAAGATGCCACTGTAGTACTCTAGAACACGAAGGAAGACTGGAATATCATCAGCATAGAAAGAAGATTCCGGTAAAAAAAGACACATACCCGAGACGACAGCATTTCGCTTCAGATCACTCAAGTCCCGACGAGCCAGAAAAACATCAGCCTCATCGAGGAGGAGAACGCAGTCCCAAATATGTGCAAGACGGAAGATCTCTCTGAGCTTCTCTTCCACTTCTGCAGGTTCGAATCCAAGATGGCCGCAGGTAATCACAAAGAGAGGTTTGTTATTTGCCTGAGCAACCGCCTCTGCAGTAGCAGTTTTGCCTACTCCAGGTGCTCCATGCAACAAAATCACTAGACCAGAGCCTTTGCCTTGAATCAGGTCTAGACCAGGTTTTTGTTCCTGAAAATGTGCCTTGATGACAGCTCGAATCATCCGTTTGTGATCTGGATCAATCTTCAGATCTCTGAAGACATGCTCCGACTTAATAATGGGCTTCAGCAATTCCACGTTCAGTCGGAGGAATTTCCGGTCTCGAAATGAATAACCAATGACTCGACGAGGCAGCAAAACGTAGTCGTCTGGTTCTATCTCGGTCGCTGTGCCTGTGACGCACGCGCGTAAGAATTCGCTTTTATCCATCTGACGTGCACAAAGCATCGCTGACAGGTTTTCATGCTTTTGGACAATCTCGGACACTTCTGCCATCAGTTCGGTCGCGTTTTCACCGTCCCAATGTTTGATTGGCATTGATGTGTCTTCATATTCTGCCCAGTATGAGTCTGCCCATTCCGTTAGGCTCCATGTCGATTTTGCAGCGAGATCACTATTCGTTTTGTGACCTTGAGCAAAGTCAATTATTACCTGACTGTCGATATATTCACCGTTACTCTCATCGTCAGGCTCAATGTCATCTGCAGGCTCGTGCACTAAGGTCCATCCATCATAATAGAGATACTTGACTTTGAGCGTGTCGGCAAACGACTCTCCAAGCTTGCGCTGTTTCTTCAAGATATTGTCCATGTTCTTATGAAAGCGTAGCGGATAAACGGGAAGTGTCGTAATGTCCTTCGAGCCAGCAAACATTGGTATGCATAACTCTGCGATATATGGTTCGTATGATGTACCATTGAAGTCGATAAAATAACAACGCAAACCCAGTTGTTTATCGGAGCCCTCACGGATATCGTACAGAGGATCAGTCTCAAACTCCGAGTTTGCGATCACAAAAACCCGCCAGATCTGGTGGGGCATGTTGATTGCCCCGGTGCGGTTTTTCGCTGTCGTATTCTCTGATGTGGATGGGACATACACCAGCTCCCCAATCTGAAAGGACATCCACAAGTTCGCGAACTGGACTTGTCGCTGTGAGGTCCCGGCTGCACGTTCCCAGAGAGGAATAATAGTGCCCTCGATAAATTCCACGTACTTGCGAAGGTGGCGAAGCCCAGTCACAGAATTGATAATAAACCCGGTAGTCGCTTCGGCAGTGGTTTTGAAATGTAAGTTCTGGCTGACTTCGCTTGATTCGCCCTTTCTCCTCCTCATAGGAAGTCTACGGCCTGCCAAGCTGGTGCCGTTCTCATCTCCGGTGTTTGCCTCAAATGCCGCCCAGCGTTCCTCCAAAATCTTCAAACTTTCCTTTGCTTGAGATATTGTGTAATAAAAAGCCATGAAGGGCCGGTGAAATACCCTTGGCCCTGCGCTCTCCCAGCTGTCACCATGACCGGTGAGTCTTGAGAGCAACAAAAGAAGCTCAGGAGATTGAATTCGAACACGATGTGCCCAAGTCTCTTCTCCATCTTTCAGCTCATATGGTTTGCTCTTGGTTCGCTGGTCACTCTCCTCTCTCTCCTCGCGTTCCGAAAATTCCTGTCGCATCTCTCGTTCCAAGGCGTGATGCCCGCGGAGGACCTCGATTATCGCATGGCCTTCTTCGTCGGTGCTGCGGTTTTTAAAGTGATTGTAATCAAGCCATACCACCTCAGCCTTGAGTGGCATAGCTTCTCGATCTTTCTTCCATTTTGCTTTCTTTTCCTTCTTAATTTTTTCCTTCTCGTCGTTAACTTTCGAATCAGCTGAATCAACCGACTCCTTGGTTGTATCGTCCTTCGTATCGGAGGACGTAGTTGTTGAATCTGCCATTTTGAACTCAAGATGAAGCTAGCTGGTTCCTAGGTAGAGGTAATTGGCCCTCTTCATCTGGACAGAGTGGTGGCCGCCAGGTGTGCGGGGGTATTTTAAATATAACGAACCCCCTAAAGCGAGAAGGGTTCATCCCCTGCTAAAGCCTCGCTAGTATACGCAGTAGATTGTCATTGGTCTTCGAGTCAGGCCCAAACACGGCTAGGCACGCCACATAGAACAAGGTCTGCACGTATCTGGAATCGTTGCGACACTAATGCAGTCAGATTCCTCGGGTGTCCCATTCGCCTCTACCACGGACAATATGGTAGGTCATTACTATATTCGTATGACGGCGCTTAGTTTTGAGCGTGACGTGGCAGCTTTCCCTCATCGCCGGGATTCGTGCAGGAACTAATTCCTCGTTCGCTCTCCAGGGCAGTCGGTAGTTCAATCGTCAGTACTCCGTACGGCCCCCTCTCTCATCCCAGTGCTTTGATCATCATGCAGTCAGCCCCGGGTCTGCACTCGGGTAACGGTGTTGCTTTTTTGAAGCCAAAATAGCACCAATCTGACTGAACGCCTATGAAAATGAAGGCTGTGAGGGTTGCACACGCCCAGTCACCCGGCTTATCAATTCCATATATCCTCCGTGGTAGCGGGGTATTCAAATGAGGCTCTGCTTGGAATTCGGCAATGCTCTATGACCGATCGCTCCAAGTCCACTCCTCTATCAGGCTTCCTTTGTTGCATCTTATACCCCCATCCCTAGAATAGTGCTTTGCATCATGTTGTCGCTATCTGAAGACTCAAATTCCGATCGCAATCGGGTGACGACTTCCGCTGCAGCGTTCATAACCGCCCGTGGCCCAGCCATACACGTTGGTCTTGCTGGCTCATCGCACTACAGTGAGGAGGAAAGTCGCTTCCTGCCTATGGACTCGTATAGGTACCTTCAAAAAGCTCCTGAACAATCATCCTGCAAGACCCTGGCCAAGCTAATCTTATACAACTAGTTCACTTGAACAACTTCTCAAGCACTACTTACCCGAAAATCTCGGCATCAATTTTGAGAATAATGCCGAAAGACTAGAGCAGATTTCCGAAAGGCTTATAAACGCTCAAAAAGCTTTTACCGATCGAGATAACAGGTGGTGGTACTCATTATGGCGCAACATAGGGGAGGAAAAATACGCCCTTCAAGGATGGATTGCTCTGATACCAAATGAATATGGTCTTGCAATAGTCAAGACCGGACTAGCTGTCGTATTCAAGGTTGGTTTCTTTGCTACATCCTGGCTGATAGTCCGCGCTGGAAGCTGAATTTCACACCAGTTGGCCGAAAGGTCTGCCAACAGAGCCGCGAAAATACATCGGGTATTCTCGAGCATTCGCGATGCCCTCACTCACGCCGATCCTACAAAGAGAAGTTTTCGCGGAAACAAAGATGTTGCGGAGATGGCTGATAACCTGACACAAAGTATTGTTGACTCTATAGAGGACATGATATTGTTAACAACGAAGAACAAGTCCTCCTGGCGAAGGAAACTATCACATCTGCCCAAATTCAGCCAGAAGATCACACCTCCAGATATTGACGGTATATTGGAAAAGGTGGAGAAGTCCACCGAGGAATTTGAGCGGGTGGTCGGTCTCGTTCGGGATCGAACTATAGAGGTCACAGGTTATATGACACACGCGATGACCTCACAACTATCAGTGGTTCAGGATGACATTCATGGTGCCAGAGATACATTGGAAAGACTCATCGAGAAGGAGGATATTCGATACCAAGACTCCACCAAGTTATGCAAAATCCTTTGCAGTGTTCTTCATCAAATCGCAGAGCGAGAGAATACCTTACAGAACACCCAAATTCAAGCGAGGAATGGGTTGATGGAGGTGTTGAAACAGAGTCAAAGTGAGCAATAACTATCCCATGCACTTTCCATAGAAATATACAGGACATGGCTGAACCAAAAGCTCCTTCAGTGAATCGAAGAGAGATGAAACGACTGCGGCGGCAACTTGATAAAGTCGCAAGACACGACAGCACGATTGCGGAAGATGAATTGTTCCAAATACTTTTGAACTCGTACTCCGACCTCACAGAGCTGAGTCCTTTGTTAGAACAACCAAACAAAGATTTGAGCCGGGTTCTTTCAAATAAGGGTAGACACAGTGAGGATATCCAAGTGGAAGTCCAAACGTTTCTTCTCAGACATGGCAGAACACTACAGTGGATCGAGAGCATTGATTCCGACTTGATCCTCGCGGATGCGCATCTCTACAACGCGAGTATGCCAAAGATTTCCGCTGCCTCAGTCTTCAGCGCCTCCCTGATAACTAGCTTGGTTACCGCCAGCCCAGATGCCGTGGTTGTTCATTATTTCTGTGGCATTCACTTTATTCCCAAAGATGAATGGTACGGTCCAAAGGGACTTATTCGCTTCATCACTATACAGGTGCTATTGAGTCTCATGTCCACCCAGAGCGTTGATCTTAGTTTTATCGACAGCAGGGAATTTGTTCAAGATTTGGAAGACCAAAATTTGTCCCGGCTCTGTGACTTGCTATACTCAATCATAGACCAGTTCTCAGAGGATATCACGATTTGGTGTGTAATCGATTCGATTCAACGCCTCGACAAGCCGGGGACTTCAGCAGATCTGAAATTTGTCATGGAATTCTTGCACTGCCTCATTGATGACACAAGTCTTCGGCCGACTGTTAAGATCTTCATGACGAGCTTGAATCACAACAAAAGGAGCATCACTCAGCTTCCGATTTTCCAAGCTGATCCAAGCCGACTTATTCCCCTGAGACCGGCTGGTGCCAAGGCAACAAGGAGATTGTGTGACCACGCAATCAGCGATCAAATTTCCCGAGCTCTGCCCTACCGTGGAGCTGGACCAAGTGAAGAATACTAAGCATAGACAGTTCAAACTGCTCTAAATAAAACGGTCTGGTGTATTTAGTTCTTGCTACCTCAGAATATGCTTCGGGTAATAGATCGAGATTTCGCTGTCCACTTCTAAATAGGCTGCAACAGCATCGAGCACAAGATATGATACCTACCTCGAGATGTTGTAAATAAATGCACTGGAGTTGTATCATTGCAAACATAGGGTTGTGTGTTTAAGCAACTTTCCCTGATCAGGACTTGTCACAATTTTCCCTTTTTAGATTTCCTAGTAATTTAACATCTTTGATCCCTAGCAAAACCTATATGAATCCATGAACAACCCGCCCGCCTAACCACTTCCGCGTAAGAAATTTGTCTTCCAGGATAGATACTCCGAGACGGCGTCACGAAGTCCATCCATCATCGAATGTGGTTGGATGGCTCCCCATGCCGCGCTATGCATTATCAACAACGAAAATAACGAAAATAATAATCCTTATCCTGACGACGAGACCACAGTTCCAACCTACAGCCTTTTAGATCTGAGTACGTCACTCCATGGAAATACGCCGTGCAGTGCATTATAGAATCATATATCTTGTCCACGATTTCTATACATCACCGGCTAGTCTCAAGATGGTTGTCTCAGATCTAGCTGCAGTACTAGTGTTGCCATTAACAGACATGGATTCTGAATCGAAGCGCCAAAAAACAAAAAAAACATACAACAGTGAGGATTCGCTGGTGGTCACCCACCCAACTACTAACTCACCGGCGTGTGGCTTAAGTACGGCTGAGCGGACGGGAAGCCCTGTTTTCCACACCCTATGGTCGTATGTACTGGCTTAACATAGGAAGAGAAATATGTTGAAAGCAATTTAGAACAGTCAAAGTAGTTGGGAGGTGGAGAAGGTGAACTATAGACAGGGCGAGGATCCGATAATCGCCCTCAAGTCGTGCGTTGACTCTTTATACTTCCTGTTGTCTTGTTTGCACTGCCGATTTGTGGCCTTACATTTCAGGTGGACAGCCCTCGAGGACACGATGGGCTGGCTTCATGTACGCCGCGAGGACTGTACACAGGGTGAATTTTTATACTGGGGGTGAGCCTCCTGAAACGCGATAATAGTTATGAGCCTTGAATTCATGAGATACGGACTGTCATAGCGTTAGTGCTCGGAGTGCACAACAATCTTGATCAAAGAATAGGAATAACAAGGGCTCCTCCTACTGAGAAAGCAACCCAGACAGATGTGAGGATTCCGAGGTGAGGGGGACAGAACCTGAGTCGGGTTAGCGAACGTGGACCAAGTAACCATGTACAGGTAACTAGTGAAGTGCAGAATACGTACTCTTCCGAACTAAGACCAATATATCCACCCCAAAAGAGCCACTGCGCAATCCAAAGGAGGAGCATGCTTATGGTTATAGTCGCATAAAGTTCCACGAATGCTTTCTGGGAAGCCCAGTGGTGTTGGCCGTTGACGGAAAAAGTGCCATAGGCCATGGGAGATCCTTGCTCTCTACCTATCAATGGTTTTCCTTCTGTTCCCTTATGGTTGTCTAACCAGTGATATGCCAACTTCTCCTGTAGCCTTTTGCAACGTTCATTCAAGTTCTCCATCAACCCCTCCGCAATTGTTGATGTTGTAGGCTTGTCCCTCTGCCACTTTGGTGAGTCGAATCGACTAGCAGTCAACTTGTTCATACTACACATGGCTCGCGTTGACTTAGCGATGATCAAACCAACGATGACAAGCCACATGAGTGCTCCCGCATACATGACTTTTGCTGGTCTCCATCTCTCCGCTGTTTCCATACCTCCAAAGTAGAAGTTGTGTTCTCTACCATAGTGAATGGTCATGACCATGTAATATGATGATAGGAACTGAAGGATCATTTCCGCAAATAGCGAAGACACGGCCGTAGAGAGTTCCATATCTCCAAATGGTTGTGTACCAAGCAGTAAAATTGTCAGCCAAGTAGACCGAGGCATTGAGCACCAGAGCAGGAATAATTGAAGAACGGGAATTTCTTCATAACCAACAGTCTTCTGAACCAACAGTGAATTGAGCCAGGTTGCAAGGAGTTGCAGGCCGGCGATTGAAGTCCCCTTGACAAACCAACACCACGGCTGCGAGTGCCAAAGAAAGCCACGTGCGCTTCGATTTATGCCTGTTCTTTGGCTGAGATATCCTGCAAGAAAAGTAGCTAGATTGACTAGAGCAAAGCTTCCGAGCTTCCAACCATTCGAGGCACATACTTCCGTTGCCTTGGGGGATTCCAGGCGGGTCATATTGGCAATATCTGAATGGTTAGATGGCTTGAGTGTCCATCGCCATGGAATCATGTCGAGAGGCGTAGGGGTGGCTAACTGTCGCCAATTATCCGGTAGACCATGCCAGTCCTGCACATCGCCACAAAGATGATGGAGCCATTTTAAGTAGTCAATCCGGGTCTCGAATATCTGGCACGAACCTCCACAGGAGTCGTAGCTGATGTTACGACAGAAGCAGGCCCTGTCAACTGTGCGTTTGACTTTGCAGTACCCGTTTGACTTGAAATCACAAGCATCGGTTGCACACCGATCAGGAAGTTTTATAGGAATAGGGGGCTCACCAGGTCACCAGGTCACCAGGTCGTGGTAAAAACTAGTAAGCATTTACTAGTAATAAATAGTAGCTTATAGGGGTTACCTAAGAGGGTTAAATTACCAATAAATTACATAGATGTACTGACCAGGTCACCAGGTCACTAGGTCATACCTGAGCTTTATAAAAATATTCGAACCATGAGTTACTAGTCATCACTATTACACTGAAAGTTACTAGTAACGACTATAGGAGGTGCTTAGAAATCCAACCTAGTGACCTAGTGAAACGTGTATTTTACAGTAAAGATACTTTCAAAGTACAATTACCATAGATTATAAGGATTTTACTAATTTCTCTTAGATATAACTCGTAACTATCAAATTCTAGTATTTTATTACCTCGTATTATATTAGTATACTTTATAGGAATATATCTATAGGTGACTAGGAGAGACTAGAAGGGAATAGTTCTAGGATCTTAAAATATATATAAAATAGAGCTTAATTAAACGTATTATAACCTAGTGATAGTTAAGATAATATATTAAGAAATAGTAAAAAGGTCCTAATTTACTAATAGTAGGGCTTAGTAATATCTAGTTACTACTATAAATTACTAGGAATTAGTGACTTACTCTTAAAGTTACTAGTAATTACTAGTAGAAGTTAGGCTTATATACTTCCTAGAAAGATTAGCTTAATACTACCTTTCTTATAATATCTTAAAGAAGAAGAATATATTAAAATTAAGACGATATAATTTAAACCTTATATAGGTAGTTTTAATAGGGGTTTACTAGGAATTCCTATTAACTTCTTATTTCTTCCTTCTAATCTAACTTCTTCTTCTTTTCTCTTTAATATCACTATATCTTCCGATATACTCCCTCCCCTACCCTAAATCTATTTTAATAATACTATTTTTATTATCTTTTTATTAAATCTACCCTACTAGTTATTAATATAATTAGTATATACTATTTATATCACTTCCTATACTAATCTAACGTATTAGGTAGGGTAGTAATAGGTTAATAGCGGGTATAATAAGATAAAATAAGGAGAACTACTAAGTATAACTAGTAGTAACTAGTTATATTTAGTAAACGTATTTCACTTTTAATTATTAATACTCTTATTTATTATTACTATATTAAATCTATACTCCTAGTTATTAATTTAATTAGGATATACTATTTATATCACTTCCTATATTAATCTAATATATTAGGTAAGGTAATATTAGGTTAATAGTAGATATAATATAAGTTTTATAATAACTACTAGTTTTTACTAGCTTTTACTAATAATTATTAATAATTTTTCTAGAATCTATAGCTATTCTAATTAGAAGTCCTTTTTTTAATTTTTACCTCTAGTAATCTTTTTTATATTACTATATTTTCCTATTACCTACTAGTTTCTACTAGTAATAACCCTTTTTAAATATTCGGTATAGTTAGTATCGTTACCTAGTCCGGACGACCGGAAGAAACCGAATAAGAACGATAAGGATAAGCCTACTCGTATTACGAATAAGGTAGCTATATATACTAATAAGATCGCGGTAGTATAGAATAAAATTATATATATAGCTATTACTATTTCTAACTATCTATTACTAATAATTACTAGTCGTAAGGAGATCTATAATTACGATTACTACGTTTAAGATCGGCGGTTTACCCGCTTTCCTTTTACTAGAGTAGTAGTAAGTATTTAATAATTAAATACTAGTTATTTTTGAATTTAGCTAATTATTACTAGTAATTACTAGTAGGCAATCCCCTACTACATAACTAACTATCCCTATTATATTTACGCCCTATAAGTAATACTCTCTATTCTAAAAATTAAGCTATTTATATCTAGTTACTAATAGTAATTATTAGTAGTAAGAAAACTATAAATAGTAGAAAATAGTACCGTTCGGCCGCTTCTACTATCCGTAAGTATATTACTAATATATATTATATAAGCCCTATATTTACTATTTTTTACTATTTTTTACTAGTTACTAATATCTAATTAGGGCAAAAATCCTTATTTCGGTCTCTATATTATCAGAGATTAGTAACTTAGTACTCTTTTATAGGTTTTACTAGATCCTACTAGTTACTACTAGTATTTACTAACTATAAAATTTAGTAATAGTATCTAAGGTGACGCCTCTAATAAGGAGGATAATAATAATAAGGATAAGGAATCGGAGTCTACCGATAAACCTTAGGTAGAACTAGTAGTTACTAGTAAAACCGCTAGTAAGAAAAAGGCTACGGAGGCCTCTACCGCCTCCTAGGGAGATTAGTAAGTTCGTTTTACTACTTCCTACTATTAATTACCACTAATAATTAATAGACCCCCTCTTCCTCTCCCCGCTACGCCCCCTACTACCCCCCCCGCTACCCCCCCCCCCTACTACCCCCCTAGTTACCCCCCTAGCTACTCTCCTAGCTACCCCCCTAGCTACCCCCCCCCTACTACCCCCCCTACTACCCCCCGCCGTTCTACTCGAAATATATAAAAGGCCTCTAAACTAAAGACGTAAGGGGTAGTATCTTAATAGTAATATCTAGTTACTACTAGTTTTTAACGGTAGTAACTAGTAAAAGATAGGTTATATTTTTCTATAATATTAATAAAACTATATTTATCTAAAACCTATATATAATAATATAATAATAAGTCTTATAGTAGTTTCTTAATCTAAGTATATATATTTAAAAGATCTAAAAAGTAGGCGTTTTACTATATCCTACTAGATATTACTAAGGGTTACTAGTAATAAACTCTTATATCTAAATCCGCCTAATTTACTATTTTCTTCCTCTTATTACTATCTTTTCTTAGTATCTCCTCTATCTACTATCCTCTACTATCGTCTACTATCTTTAATATCTTCCACTATCCTCTATCTTACTACCTTTATTATTATTATTATTAATTAGCACTTTATTATTATAACTAGTGATCCTTAGTAATAGCCTATTATAGCTAATCTACCTAATAACTAGGATTTAAATTATAAGATCCCTTTTTCCGATCTAGTATAAATTACGTCTACTAAAAAGCTTAACGATAAAGATTACTATCTACTAAGTACTACCGATACCTATATATCTTTACCGGAGGTTACCGATCTTACTAGTATCCTAACTAGTATTAATAAGGGATTTAAGATATCTAATAAGATTATTAGTAGTTACGATCGGGTATAATATCTACTTTATATATAGTATATTCCCGAGTTTCTACGTACTAATCCTACCGGTTTTGCCTATTATATAAATATTAGCTATCTTTTACTAGTAGTAGCTAGTAATCTATATAAGGGCGTACTTTATAGGAAAGGCTCGAATACTAATAACTTATAAATATAGTAAAAAAAGAAGTTAAGTTTATTTCTTAGAGATATACTATATATATATAAATAGTTTATCTACTCGGGTATTAAATACTACTAAAAGACTATAGTATCTCTTAGAAATAACTAGTTATATATAGTAGTAACTTAGTCCCTTCTACGTACTATTAAGGAAGAGCGGATTAAGATTATTACTAATCGTACCTAGTAGCGATAGGTAGATACTAGATATACCTAGATATAGGAATACTATAAATACCTAAAACGTAAGTATATAATAAGATATAGGTAATAGTGCCTAGGTAGTATAATAAAATTAGTATAAGGAATTATAAGTTATAACTAGTAATACTTAGTTATAATTAATAATACTAATACCTCTTAGGATTACTAATTTCTCGGATACTTAGATTATCGACGGAATAATAGAAAATCCTATTTTATATAGAGTATCCTAGATATACGTGCTACCGATCTAGATTATTTTTATACTTTAGTTAATAGATCTACCCTATTACTAGTTACTACTATAAGCGCCTATAAGTTCCTAATAAACCCTACTAGACGTATAATATAATATCGTAAGTAATTACTACTAATAGCTATTAGTAATTACTACTAACTACTAGTTAATAGTGATTTATCTCTCTAAAGGCCTAATTAAAACTATCCCTTATAATATAATCTTTACCTATATTATTCTATAAGATCTTTAAGTAACTCTATTTATTATTTTTATATTATAAGGAGAGTATTAGTACCCTCCCCCCTTCTTATAAAGCTATTAAATTAAATTAAGAGTGAAACCCGTTAATTAATACGTAAGATATAGCTATTAACGTTAATATATAGTATATATATAAAATTAGTAGTAACTAGATTTTACTAATTTTAACTAGGCTACTTTATTCGTAGTAAGATTATCTAGGACTTTCTAAATTAGAGAGAAATACTTAATCTCTCTAAACTTTACCTTTCTCTCGTAAACCGTAATAAGATCTCTATATAAATTAAAAAAAAGTGTATTTTATAGAATCCTCTAGGGCTAGGATTTAATAGTAATTACTAATTTTTACTAGCTATAATTAGCTACTAATAGTAACTACTAGGTATTATCTAGTACTATCTTATTAAAAGGCGTAAGAACCCTAAAGATATCTAGATTTAAGATCTCTTTAATAATAGGGTTAATCTCCGAATTATCTACTTTATAGAGGATTAAGTATATACTTTTATATATATATATTAGTTCTAGATTAATATAACCTTTAAACGAGTTACTAGGCCGATTCTTAAGGTTATATTTATAATAAAAGATCTAACTCTTAATCGAAGTAAGTACTAGTTATTACTAGTTATTTTTAAACTTAACTAATTACTATTAGTTAGTATTTATCCTTATACGTACCTTTATTAATAAGGATTCTACGTAAATATATTACCTTCTATTTAAAGCGCTTTTCTAGAAGCTTTAAGAAGTAACTAAAGAAGAGCTTTATTAGGCCTATATTTATTATACCGGTATTAAAGTAGTGATTATAGATATATATATAAAGTAGGCTTATAGTAACTATTAAACCCTTCTAGTATTAACTAGTTATTACTAATAATCTCTAGGACTTAGTAGCTTCTTAGCTAACTAATATCCTAATTAAAATATAGATTAATAGGAGTATATATAGTATCTCGCGATCTATTACTTAGTCTACTTTAAACGAACTATTAAGTCCTTCTAGGGATTACTAACGTTTATTATTATAAACTAGATTCTACGTACTATAAGTAAAGTAAAGGTTAATTCTCTACTTAATATACTATAATATAATAAAAATCCTAAGATATAATAGTAGGTAAGGTATAAAGTAATTAAATAGATTATAAGTAGTCTTAACTACTACTATTTATTAATACCTATCGGTCGTTTCCGTAAATACCTAGTAATTACTAATCTTACTAAGGCTTTATATACTTATATTAATTAAGAAATAGGAATTTAGTTATCTCTTCTAAGTATAGTTAAGAGGTAAGTAATTATTACTAGCTATAGCTAGTTATTACTATCTATTACTAATAAAAATTTAGTACTTTCGAATATAATAATAAGACTATATAGGAAATTTTAACCTATTAAAGATATAGTATTAGCCCTATATTAGCTAGGATACCTTAACTATTAATACTAAAAAGAGGTAAGATTACTAACTAATTACTACTAATAATAACTAGTAGTTACTAATTATATTTAGGTTTATCTACTCCGACTTATAGTTATAGTCGAGGTCGACCTTAAGATCGACCTCGAGATCGGGGATAGTATACTCTAATCTATAATATCGATCTAGGTATATCCTTATAGTAATAACTAGTAACTACTAGATATATCTACTAATTTAATATAGATTCTAAGGATTTAATCCTAAATATACCCTCCTAAGCACCGATAAACCTAAAAAGGGCTCGAGCTCGTAGGGGTTAATAGAGATAGAGTTAAGATTTATAATCTCTTCCTTCCGAGATTATTAACCTAGGTATATCTAATTATAACTAGTGTCTACTAGCTATTACTAACTACTAATAATTCTAGTAGATCCTAAGCCTTCTAGCCCTCTATATTAAAGCCTAATAGATTTAAGTTCCGAGATAGATCTAGGTAAGATAAATTACTAGTTTTTACTAACTCCTACTAATTATTAATAGTTAACCCTACTAATCTTTTTTAACCTTATCGCTTAGTCTTTATCCCGGCGATATATTAATAGGGGTAAGTATCTACGAGAGAGGATTTAGGTATATTTAATCCTACCTTAACTCTAACTAATAGTTACTAACTATTACTAGCTATCGCTAATAATTCTTAGTCTCGTAAGAGAGATATCCGGTAGCTATAGTAGACTATAAAGGAGGAGGAAGTAGAGTTTTAACGTAAAAAGGTAAAGTAGCTAGAGGAGCTATAACGCCTTAAAAGAGAAGAACTTTAAGGATTTAACTATAATTTAATTAGATAGAATAAAATTAAGGGTTACTATATATAACTATATCTTAGTAGTTTCTACTAATAAGATATAATAATTATTTTTAAAAATAGCCCTTATTTTTAGCTACTATCTATTCTTAGTAGTTAATAGTAATTAGTCGTAAAGCCCTATATTATATTTAGTTTATTTCTCCTATAAAGTCTAGTTAATTAATTACTATATAATATATTTATAACTATATATCCTAAGATAGACTAGGTAATAAGATTATAAGTCTACTAAATTAGGTATCTACTAATTACTACTAGTTATTACTATTACCTAAACCTTAGTCCCTTCTAGTCTCTCCTAGTCACCTATAGATATATTCCTATAAAGTATACTAATATAATACGAGGTAATAAAATACTAGAATTTAATAGTTACGAGTTATATCTAAGAGAAATTAGTAAAATCCTTATAATCTATAGTAATTATACTTTAAAAGTATCTTTACTATAAAATACACGTTTCACTAGGTCACTAGGTTAGATTTCTAAGCACCTCCTATAGTCGTTACTAGTAACTTTCAGTGTAATAGTAATGACTAGTAACTCATGGTTCGAATATTTTTATAAAGCTCAGGTATGACCTAGTGACCTAGTGACCTGGTTAGTACATCTATATAATTTATTGGTAATTTAACCCTCTTAGGTAACCCCTATAAGCTACTATTTATTACTAGTAAATACTTACCAGTTTTTACCACGACCTAGTGACCTGGTGACCTAGTGAGCGATTTGCCTGTTTTATAGTCTGCCTCGGCATATCCGCGACGCACATGGGCCAGTGCCAATCTTCGATAGGAATGTATGCGAATTGTGTGGTTTTGAGTGTATCCGTCCAGTCATTAGGTAAGGATGTTGGTCCACACGTGGCATTAATCCATAGACGCTCCTTCGTGAAATCCAATTCTCCTGGCCCTGAACAGGTTTCCTTTTTGAGATCTAAAGTGAAGCTGTTACAGAAGCAATATTTATCAAAATAGTCACCATCTGTGATACGTCGCCGGACAAGATCGTAACCAACGGTTTCAAGATCCAGAGCGATCATGCTCTTCAGGAATTCACTGTATTCCCAAGGACGAGCAGCATTTCCGGTGTGCTGGGTAGTGCCTGTGAAGCCACAGGAGGACATTACATGCTGAAATGGTTCCATCGATAAAGCAGAATTTGAGGCGGTCAGACATTTCGGCGCATTGTGAACCACGTCAACAGCTGCGTACCCTTCAGGTAAAGAGGCCGGGGAGAGATATTGTAGCTCATTCGTGTCACCGACGTCGACGAGCCACGTGCGACCGGTGATATTACGAATCCATCGATATAATTGCGCTTTGGCGAGAACTGATCTGCCACAGTATGCGAGATAACTTTCGACAACACTAGGGGAGAACGAAGTGCTAAGGCAGCTGAGCTGAATCAGCCATTGGTGGTGGGTACAGATAACTCCGAAGTGGGAAGTGCATCGTTTGCGGGTGCATCTCGTCATGGCATTTAGCCAGGTAGACTGATCTTGTTGAGCGATGCACTGTGGCATTGCAGCCAGATCTTCGGGATTGACCCAGCCATCGTAGTTCTTTTGGGGTAGGAAGATATGGTTCTTCCCATCATACTGAACGGTGGTTGTATGGAGCCCTTCTGCGGTATCACTATTGGTGAAGACAGATGGTCTCGAGAAAAATGTCGCATCTACCCCGTATTTCCCAGCCATCAACAGCGCCAGATATGTGCGGAATAAATTCATCTTAGTGTCGAGATGCCTCAAAGAAGAGTAAACGGGAGCCGGTGATACTTCTCCAGTGCGGGGTCGTGTTTCGGATGCATCCCAGTCTACGGGCGACTAAGTATGCCTCGCGGGACATAACCCTGTCATTGGATAGTATTGCCTGGTAGTATTTTAGTCATCCAAAGGTCAACCCGTCCTTGGAACCTTCTAAGGTTCCCTCTAGGGCTGGAATGTCTCATGTTGCAGGGTTTATGCCTTCATACGCCTGGATTCTACCTTAGTTCAGACTGGCATTAATCTAAAATACCTAAATTACGATGATGGATGGCTTAATAAGAAGGTATTAAAGTTCATAGAATAAAGCTATTCCTATATATACGTTACATAAATGCCCGTATACACCTATTTCTCGGTGTTTAGGCCTTTTTACTATATAATCGTCCCTCTCTCTTATTCTTTAATAACATTCTGTCGGTAGGTAGAAATCATAAAGCTAATAACGGAAAAAAAGTAGAGATCCATTGGGTGCCTCTATACAGACCCCCCCTCTCCCTCAATCCACCCCCCTTTACACCACTTCCACCCCCCTTATCTCAACACGGTTAGCAGATTACCATAAGAGGAATCTCATCATTTGTATACAGATAAAGCTTAGCGCCAGGGCTATATTATTGACGCTAGTATTTCTTGGCGTATGAGTGTAGTATCATATGGTACAGTGCACACCAATCAGCTGAATATCTTCCTATGTGGTTATGTGACCTCAAAATAGATGCTGATTTTCAAAGACACCGGTAATAGACTATTTGGCTCCCATCTCGCTACCCTAATATCTGTCGATCTTATATATCAAAACCCTCATTTTTCAATTAAATATATCAGAATCTCTACGTAGAGGTAAACCCACCTAGAATACCGTAGTACAGCTGATTGGTGTGCACTATACCATATGATACTACACTTATACGCCAAGAAATACTAGCGTCAATAATATAGCCCTGGCGCTAAGCTTTATCTGTATACAAATGATGAGATTCCTCTTATGGTAATCTGCTAACCGTATTGAGATAAGGGGGGGTGGAAGTGGTGTAAAGGGGGGTGGATCGAGGGAGAGGGGGGTCTGTATAGAGCCAGCCGATCCATTGGCTCTATTTTAACCTTTAAGGTAAATGTATTTTTAGGAGGTAGGTAGTCTTCCGGGCCTAAAGCCCAGCCCATTTGCGGGCTGGTGCGGAGGTCTAATATCCAATGAGAGGGTTATATCCCGCGAGGCATACTTAGTCGCCTGTACCAGTCGTAGCCAATTTTAATCGATAGCTACGCGACAAGCGCTAGTTGGCTGTAAACGGCGCGATTGCAACGTTCCTATTTATATATTCTGTTCAAAGCGTGTGCTTGTCGTGAGACTTACGGCCTCCTTGAGCTCTCTTTGATTACTATGCGCCCGACGACCTCAGTTCTCTGCTGAAACTATTTTATTCTTGTTCACAGCCTAAAAATTATCTAATTCCCACTCAAAGCATGACTTCGGTTGTATATATAATGCGAGCTACGGCGTGTTCAGAGCCTATCCTCAGATACCCGCCTCGTTCGCTGCTACTGCGGCTCCCATTTTGCCGTTGGGCCGCTCCTGTCAGCGTGTACCTATACTCAAGACGTTAAAATATGGCATATCTGTTTGAAATGCTAGGGGCTTGTATGATATATGTTATTTGGAGATAGTGAGGTAACTGTTGTATCTACCTAAGTTGACCTCTTAAGTTATGCGTTCTGATCATAGGTTTAGCTGCAGTTGTAGTGCGATTCATAAACATCGGAATCAGATGCAATCGAGCCCCGAAAAAAGGAGGTGGTCTTCATATAGAGATAATGGCACATAAATAGGGCTCTACTTGCCAGGCATTATGAAGATCTGGCGAAAAGCAATACCTTCTTTGACTATGACCTCCATCTTACAGATCATCTAGATCGTCTAGAGCGGTGTCATTCCAACATACCATTTAAACCTAGTAGCGAATTTCAACAGACAAACCCTAAGAAATGTTAACATGAACTTTTGCTACTGCAGTATATTGATCAGGATAAAAACTTTATAAGGTACAGGGTATAAAGAGCCATATGCCTCCATAAACTCATCGTGTATCATCTACTTTCTCAGCCACTATAACCAACCGAGTGAAAAGGAAGAAAGAAAAAAGAAAAAGAAAAAAAGAAAAACAAAAACATACAACAGTGAGGATTCGCTGGTGGTCACCCACCCAACTACTAACTCACCGGCGTGTGGCTTAAGTACGGCTGAGCGGACGGGAAGCCCTGTTTTCCACACCCTATGGTCGTATGTACCTGATATAATAGGCTATAAAAACATAACCATGGAGCAAAAGGTATGAACGCCTAGACAAATAACTACCACGTTCAGTTATCGCATCAACTATCACCTAGCCGGAGGCCTAATTCCAACTCATGGATTTCCACTTACGAAAACATTCATGAAATGGGGAGCCTTACCTACGTAGATACTCTTTGATCAGCTTATTGGACGACAGTCAGGAATACCGAAGGCAGGAGTCCTTTTGACTAGGTTCTCTTTTTGTTCCTAGAGTTGATAGGGTGCATTAATGTTAAAGTAGAGACCTAATATGCATATGGGTTGTCCGGCTCCTCCTAGTGGTAGTTTCAAAATCCCAAGCCTTCACCCTCGTACCGCCTTATTGAAGACGCAAGTGGAGTTCAAGTCAAGTTTCCAAGGAAGATCATTGGAATGAATGAGATCGTGTCTAGTGGTATTGGTCCTGTCTTTGTCTTGGCTAAATATGATATGTATGTCACTACTTATGCTAACATTTATAGGCTAACGCAAGCAATATCCCTAACTTGAGTCCTTTTTCAGGAGCTCAGCGCTCTTGCGTGATCAATCTAAAGAACCTGACCATTTATACCAGTGGTTTCTGCTCAAGCCTTCACGATATCAAATCCTTCCTCCCAGTTATCCAAAGCCCGACGAATCTCGGCAGCATAACCAGGAATACCACCAATGTAGCACACTGGTTCGCATTTCTTCCCAGGAATATTACCACCCATGTAAGTCGATTGCGTCGTGGGGAAGAGAGTCCTGTCATTAAGTTCCACAATATGTTTCTTCCACTGATCAGCGGCCTCAATCTTGGGATTGATGTACTTGACATGATTGGCCTCGATCTTCGTGATAGCATCGGTAATCCATCGGCCCTGTACCGCGACTGAGGTGGGTCCGTTACTCAAGAGCGTCGGGCCATGGGCGCCGTAGATATGGAACATATTCGGGTAGCCGCTGACGGTGGTACCGAGATAGGTCTGCGCGCCTGTAATCCATTCCTTTTCGAGCTCAGCGCCATCGATGCTCTTCAGACCGAGCTGAGTCATAACTCCAGTAACCACATCCTGTGAATGTTAGGGTTCGAACTATCCTTCGGGTGGACCTGTCAACTTACAAATCCAGTCGCGACAGCAATGACGTCGAACTCGTGATGCGTTCCATCTTCAAGAGTGATACCGGTCTCAGTGAACTCCTTGATCTGGTTATTATTGATATCAACAAGGTGTACAGATTCCCGATTGAACTGCTCGAAATAGGTCGCTTCCAGACACGGTCGCTTGATACCGAAGTAGTGCGGCATCTTCAGCGGAGCAAGCAAATCTCTTGTCTTTGGATCGCTAATGCGAGCACGGGTCTTCTTCGCCCAGAATTTGTATGTCTCTTTGTTGGCCTCGGGATTCATCAAGGTGTCCTTGTACACACCAACCCAAAAGCGGAAGCCTCCTTCCTTCCAGGCCTTCTCGTAGAAAGCTTCGCGCTCTTCGGGCGTGTCGTCGAAGGTGTTGCGCTCATGCCAATCATACAGGAAACCTGCGAAAGTGGTCTCGCGGTACCGGAACAGCTCTGGGTAGTAGGGCTTGATGCGCTCTTGTTCTTCAACGGTGAGCTCTCGACGCTGCATGGGTACGGCGAGATTAGGGGTGCGTTGGAAGACTGTGAGATCGCCGGCCTCGGGGCCCCAAGCCTGCGTGATCTGTACACCAGAGGCACCGGTGCCGATGACAGCACATCGCTTGTTCTTCACGTCGATATTTTCTTCCGGCCAGAAGGATGAGTGGTGCACGACACCCTTGAACTTATCCATGCCGGACCACGGGGGAATATAACGCTTGGCGGCCTAAGCTGTTTGTCAGTAAGTACTCATTTGAATGGGTAGAATCGCTTACAAAGCCAGTCCCAAGGACAAGGTATTTGGCCTTGGTTGTTCGGCCGTCTGCGGTTTGAATAATCCATTTTCCCTCATTTGTATCGAACTGAGCTCCAACCACGACGGTGTTAAAAGCGCAGTCCTTCTTGACGCCAATGACTTTGTCGACGTGATCAAAATATTTTCGTAGATCTTTGTAGCTAGGGTAATTGGTGGACCAGTTCCATGTGTTATATACCTCAGGCCAAGAGAACTCGTACTCTGGGACTTCAGAGTCGACGCCGGCACCAGGGTAGCAATTCCATCGCCAGGTACCACCTGTGTCGTTTCCGGCCTCAAAAATGACCGTCTTTAGACCGCGATCGCGAAGGGTCTTGAGCATAAAAATACCAGCTATATCGTGAGATTGCGAATTCAACGTGGGTATAGTTTATGCCGACTTACCGAAACCGGCGCCCACAACCAAAGCATCAACCTCGAGATTCTCGGCATATGGTCCAGCCTTGTCGGCGTGAACTGTCGAAAAGTCGGTGAGCGCGGTGTTGAATTTATTCCCCCTAGGGTACGTCTCTCCTATGCTGCCCATTGTGGTAAATTCCCAGATCCTCAAGCGTTGCAGTTGTTGGTAGTCCGAGAAAGGCTGTCAGTTTTGAATCGTATCAATCTTCCTCTTCTATGCTCTCCTATTTATATTTCCATTCCGTCCTTTGCTGCTCTAGGGTTAGCATATGTTCTTGACGCCACAGTGTTACCCTCATGGTTCACGTAGCTGCAGCTCCATCCACCTGACTAACACGCATCCATGCAGATACATTGGCACTGCTGTGATACACGACGTCAATAATTGCGTAGATTGGCCGTATTCACCGTCGGCTAAAGTCGTACTGGAGCTGTGATTGGACCCAACGGCCACCAATTGCGGTTGCGGAGCCGAGAACGAGCTTCCCCGCACGGCACCGCAATCCACCTTGCGGAACCGCAATGTGTAACCCCACGGTTCCAGACACCGCAGAGACCACGGAAATCCTCGGTCTCGCGGGCACATCAGGGAATTAGAAAAAGGCTATTTGTTAAATAAATTGCGCTTGTAGCCCGCTAGGTCCTTTGGCTGCTGATTTTGGAATTAGTCTCACAAGCTTGTCACTCGAATACCTACCTTTCCCACATATAGCCATCGGCAACATGTCTCTAAGCGCTCAAGTAACTTCGCATCTTCGGGGCATTATAGACAAAGCCTGCGAAGACCAAAAATCCGGTATCCCGGGAACCACGGTTGTGGTCGTTGGCAAAGATGGCAAGGAATTATTTGCCCACTCTGCTGGTAAGCGAGGTGCGGAATGCGACGAGCCCATGACTTTGGACAATATCTTCTGGATTGCATCTTGCACTAAGATGTTGGTGGGTGTCGCTTGCATGCAACTGGTTGAACAGGGTGTGCTCAAGCTGGACGACGGAGAGCAGACAGAGCGTCTTTGCCCTGAACTGAAGACTCTCAAGGTTTTGCGGCCTGATGGTAGTCTCGAGGACAAAAAGAAGGAGATTACCCTGCGCATGTTGTTGACCCATACCGCTGGCTTTGGGTATTCATTTTTCAATGAGCGATTGAGGCAGTGGTCGTATCCGGTTGGCTTGGATGAGTTCTCCGGAAGAATTGAAGATATGAAATCGGCTTTGGTATTCCAACCCGGCGAAGGCTGGGAATACGGTGTAAGTCTAATTTATCAAAGATGACGAAACATGAGGTTAACTAGTACAGGTTGGCGTTGACTGGGCTGGAATTGCTTTGGAGCGCGCAACTGGCTTGACGCTCAACGACTACCTGCAGAAACACATCTTCCAACCCCTTGGACTCAAAGAGATGTCCATGATTCCAAACCACGACATGCGCCAAAAGCTAGCATATATGAACCACAGAAGTCCAGACGGCACCTTGAGGGCTCGAGACCATCCTCTCCGAGCACCTCTCGTGGTTGATCCGGAGAACAAAGCCGAAGTTGCCAGGGTATTTAACAGCGGCGGTGCAGGCATTTTTGCCAAGCCCCAGGAGTATTGCAGTGAGTCGCGGCCAGTCCAAAACGCGGTCAAAGTTATGTACACTGACGTGTATCCCCAGAGGTCCTGGCCGTGTTGTTAAACGACGGCACGTGCCCTCGAACAGGTCACAAGTTGCTCAGTAAGGAGACTGTCGATCAAATGTTTTCGAACCAAATCCCCCATTTCCCCAACTACAGCCGACAAGGAATTACGGCTGCGAAACCGGACCTGACTAATCCTGTCCCTGAACTGTACCCGGTCGCTGGAGATCCACCCCAAGGCTGGGGCCTCACATTTATGCTGAGCAACGGCGGTGCGACTGGGCGCTCAACTGGCACCGGTCACTGGGCTGGGCTGGCGAATTTGTGGTGGTGGGCAGACAGGGAGAATGGCGTTGCGGGAATGGTTTGCACGCAAATTCTGCCTTTTGCGGATCTTCCGGTTATTGGGTTATGGGGAGCAATTGAGGCGGAGATATACAAGGCCCTTGCTCAGTGAGTTGATGGAGGGGAAGTCATACCTGGATACCTATATGTCGTAAGCAGTTAATGTTGCAATGGACTTTCACAGCGTGACTAGTTTGTGCCACTAAAATAGAAAGGGGCGGAAAACAAGACTAAGACTAGACCTGTAGCGTGGCCAAAATGGAGCAAATCGATGTCAACCAGTGAAGTCTGGGGAAGGGGGTTCTCGGTAAACAGTAAGGTTCGTTGGAAAGCCCAGGCGACGATCTGCTTCCCCGCTTTATGACCCGGGGCCATCCCACATCTCGGACACATCGCAACTTGGAAAGAAGAGAGAAGAACCCAACTTGTTACCGTAGCCAGAATGCCTGTTGAGAGAACCACCGCAGGATTCACCCACGGACCTAGAGCCAGACGTCAGAACCGGTCTTGCGACCAGTGCAGAAAGTCCAAGCGAGCATGCGATGCACCGTGCGTCGATCCGACCAGACGAGCATTGGCCGATTCTCAGCGTGCCCCCTGTTCCTACTGTACGAGAACGAATAAACGATGTACTATGGAATGGGCCCGGTCACGAACTCAGCCTGAACTGTTCCCTTACCAACAATCCCACCCTGAAAGTGTGAGACATCTGCCTCAATTTCTACGGAAAAGCAATGGGTTTCAGGCTGAGCCTCAATCTAGAATATGGAAGGATTTGTCTGGACCGATCCCCACACAGGGGCCGGTGGCTTGGGAGCCAGAACCAGCCAGCATTGATCTGTCCGAGTCGTTATTTGAATACGATACAATGATGCTCAGTTCTATACTCAATGACAACGAAGTCCCCGAGGAGGAGATTAGGGGAGAAATGACTGAAACACTGAACGACATGCAATTTTGGTCGGACAGTATGTTACCATATTTGTCCAGTGACTCAAGCATTTCTCCCCAGCAACTCTCGGATCTTGAACTTGATCCGATGTACCCCCAGAGGGACCTGGCATCTCAGGCTTTCCATACACCTCAGACTTACACCAACCTCCAATCTAACTCATTACAAAACCCACATACACTGAGCGACCCGGCCTGGATGCCCCTTGACCGACAATCCTCCCACCGGAATAGCCCACCGAGCTCACTTTCCCCATTTTCCATCGACCAAAGGATGATTAACGCATCCAACTGCCAATCAACTTCAGCAAACCTGTTCCGAATTTACCACGATGTACTAGAGCACAACCTATCTTGTTGGTTGAATGAAATGACCTGTCCTTACCAGCCAGGGTCACCAAGCCTCGCCCCACTTGTACATGAATGGGGCTCATCATGGTCCAACAGGATCTACCAGCGCACAATCAGCCTCGATCGCGCCGCACAATCTTGCAAGCTTCTGCAGCTAACGCGCACCGAGGATCAGGCCGCTTCTAAGGCGCTGCACCTTGCAATCATGGCATTTGCCACCCAGTGGGCACAGGGTAGCCAGCGACAGCGTGAGAAGTATTCCGATGAACTCCTCAATCGAGCCGAGGATGAAGTTGCTTCCGGCATCACCGACGAGTTTGACAGCATTCTCCAAAAGCACTTTTGGGATCAGGCTCAGCAGGCTCTTCAACAAGTCGCCGATTTAGAGTCATACAAAGTGGTATCTGCCGAGCTGATCTTTGGCTTGATCCAAAAACCACGGAGCCTCGAAAAGCACTCCATCGAACAAGAAATGGGGCAACAAACCAACAACCTTGCCGCCGACACAGGCGCAGTACTGTCAAAGGTGAAGGATATAATACAAAAGGATGGGCCACCAATATATGTGGAGAGAGCAACTCGAAAGATACACGCATTAAAGTATCGTTACGACGCACTAAATAAGGGGCTTGGCCAAAGCGGTCGTGGTGAAGGCGCACACGAAATCGAAACCATGGGCCCTGAAGATCGCGGTACAGTCGGCCTACTCTATTGGCTGGCTATCATGTTTGATACCGTCTCCTCCTCCATGAATGAACGTCCCGTCGTGATACTGGACCAGGACTGCGAGCACGAACGGCAAAAGGAGACCCAACGAGCTGGGCATATAGACCATCTTGTCGTGAATAACCGATGGGACCTTGATGTCTTTGTGCAAGGAAACCTCAAGGAGGGGAACCGAGCACATTGGCCCTGCTCATATGAAGCTGCAGCAGAAGATGTCGTCAAATCAGCACCAGTCAAGGTTCTTCTCTTCCGTCACCTGTCTTACCTCCAAAGCGCTGTTCGCAAGGGTGCCCACGAAGAGCAAATCGAAGACATCATCCGTATCACAATTTCACTATATGAATATTGGAACAGAACACACGGCGCTTTCTTCAGAGAACTTGTGCAAAATTACAGTGCTGTCCCGCAGCGTATACAGGGCTGGTTCCTCTGTATCTCCGCACACTGGCACCTCGCCGCCCTAATGCTCGCAGATTTATTGGACTTCATTGACGAGAATGATCTGGGTATAGAGAGCGCAGCCCTCATTCGGACCACCAGTCAAGTGGCGAGAAGGATGAGAAAGCACAGCGCTAGTGAGCTATCAGATCTGGCAAGAGTCGGCACGCCACCTATCAGAGATAGTGTCCGGGCTATGCCGCAGATGCCAGACTTTCACCATGCTGTCAGTGAGGGCACCTTACTAACCGAACCATGGACGATGATGTTGATCAGGGCGTTTACCAAATCCTGTATGGTCTTTCTGGATGAGGCAAATGAAGCCTTGCGCTATCTTGGGACTACTATCAACCATGATTCTTACAGCTTGGAGAGAAACATGACTCAGGCTCAGGCATGTGTCCAGGCTCTGTGGCTCCTCGGGAAGAAGTCGGATATGTCGCGGGAAATTGCTGAGACACTGTCACTCGCGTTGGGCAAATTGCGGAAGGGGTTTGTTGGGTACATGTAGTTTTAACGGGTCTCCGATCAACTTCACATTCACTGATCCATTCCGATGTCTACATAATACTGGGGAACAAAGAGATCTCATTTTTAGTTTTAGGCTTACCAAAAAACAAAAAAATTACGAGAACAAAAAACATACAACAGTGAGGATTCGCTGGTGGTCACCCACCCAACTACTAACTCACCGGCGTGTGGCTTAAGTACGGCTGAGCGGACGGGAAGCCCTGTTTTCCACACCCTATGGTCGTATGTATTGATTAAAGTAAGCGAGAGGAATATATTTGGCAATCAATTGAAAAATGACTGTGAATTATGCGGTGGCGAGGATTCGGATGGGCAATATGTAGAGTGGGAAGCTAGGGGATAATCACCTTCAGTTGTGCGAACCACTACCTCTATCATTCATTGAGATATGACCGAAAATATAGGAGTCACGGCTTTTTGACATATGTTGGTAAGTACTGTTGGGAAATCCGCAGCCTTTGCGCTATGACATCGACCTACTTATGTTTGGTATATATATTCTTGGCATACCTGTGGAACTACGAACAATGGCAGGTGGAAATTAGAATCACTGAACAAGATGGGTTCTAACTTCCCTAGCCAGGGTTAGAAGGGGGATATAGCTATGTACATATGCATGAAATACAAGGTGAAGCATCCTAATGTGTACCTCTGATCAAATCAGCCGCCCGCTCCGCAACCGCATACACAGTTGACTGGATATTTCCAGTCGGCTCAAGAGGGAAAATGCTCGCATCGACAACTCGCAAGTTCTTTGTGCCGTAAACCTTCAGCTTAGAGTCAACAACTCCACCAATCTCTTGGGGCAACATAGCACAGGATCCAGCGGGATGGAAACACGTGTACAGGCGATCTTTGACGACTTCCTTCGCGTGGTCCAGGTCACTTAAATCCTTCGTACTTTCAGGGACCCGGTGGCCAGGCTTGAGGAGACTGGCAAATGGTTCACTTTCAGCAATGCGCTCCGCGAACTGCAGCTGCCTTGCCATGATTTCTAGATCGAGAGGGTTGGAGAGAAGATTGGGATCGTAGATGGGCTTATCCTCGCTGTTTGCAGAGGCAATATGAACAGAACCCCGTGAGAAGGGGTGGTTATGCAGCATCATGATGGAAATGTAGTTCTCCGGGAGGGTCTTGGCCAAGACATCAGTGATAGGCGTCTTGCCTGGGTTCATGTGAAGTTGTGCAGGAAGGAAGAGGTAGTGGGAAGAGGCGTCTTCACTGTCAAGAAGAATCTTGCGGAGGTGGCTGTACTGCGCCTGTAGATTGGCGGGGATATTATCATTGTCGAGGTGTGTGGAGAGTAGTTTCTCAATCTCTTCTTTCGGTACAGCGCCTTTTCCATCCATCAAAGGAAGATAGGCCATGCTGAGGGGCATACCCGATAGCGGGCCTCCATGCGTCTCCTCGTAGAGTTTGATAAGCGCCTGGACGACATTGGGATCGCGCAGAATGTCGCCCGAGACCTGGCCATCGGCGATCTCGAGGTTGATGCAGGTGATACCGTGGTCTTGTAGGTTCTCGCCTACGGCGGGGTTGTCAACGACAACTGGAATTCCATGAGCTGCAAGAAGATTTGCTCTACCGATGCCAGAAAGCTCAAGCACTTGAGGAGAGTTCAGACTGCCTCCGCAGAGAATTACTTCCTTTTTCGCGGTGATTTCGTATGTGCCGTCCTGAGACTTGACCTGGACACCCTTTGCGATGATGTCTCCGTCTTCTTGGTTGAGGATAATTCGCTCAACCATTGTCTCCGCGATCAATCGAAGGTTTGGCCGCGCCGCAACCTCCGGCGAATAGTACGCCGCAGCATATCCCCTTTTCCCTGTCTGCGCATCAACACTCAGGGGGCAAGTGAAAGCCCCCAGTTTCCGGCCCTCGATAGGATCAGCATCCGTTTGCCAGCCCAGCTGCGCAAATGTCTCATCCCAGGCCTTGTTAAAAGACCCATACACATCTGGCAGGGAAACGGGGACAGGACCATCACGCCCTTGCTTGTCAACGTTCATGTACCGAGCTGTCCCGAGCAGTTCTGCTGTAGCGTCGCTGGGTGCAGTGTAGGAGTGGAACTTTCGGAGATAAGGAGCCATATCTTCCGCACCCCACCCCGGGTTGCCTAGTGCCTTCCATGCGTCAAAGTTGGAGGCTGTCGGATACACAACGGCGGAGAAATTCAAAGCGGAAGAGCCGCCCACTACACGACCGCGGGGCTGACCTATTTGTCGGTTCTTTGCATGTATCTGACCAGTCATAAGCTCGGAAATACGGGAAGACGGCACAAGGGGGAAATTACCTGCGGAATACTCATGTAGTCCCAGTCAAAGTCCGGGTTTCCGTACATCGTGCCCAAAAATCCAGGGGTATCTATCCGGGGATCGCCCATCCGATTGGCGCCAGCTTCAATAAGGAGGACATTGACGGAGGCATCTTCACTCAGTCGGTTGGCCAGAACAAGGCCGCCAATTCCAGCGCCAATGATGATGTAGTCGTATTGATCCATGTTCGATGTTGTAGTCTTGGGAGAGAATTGAACGGAAATGAGAATCTCATCTGTCAGAAGAATGACAGCGACGGGCAGCCCCTCAGAGTCCCATCAGCTAATTTAAAAGCCCCCAGACGGGGGAAGTTGGAACGGAGACCCGTGAAGACCCGCTCTGGCAACAGGTTGTTTGTTGCCATGAATAGAGTTAGCGTACAGTCCTAGGTCTCGACCCAGACCCTTTGTGGATTAGTTGAAATAGTGTCGGTGAATAGTGCTGGACTAGCTGATGCAGCTACCGACAAAGACTTTGTTCCCAAGTCCATTTGTCAGGCGGCCCCACTGCGTTCAACGGCCCGGCACAGGGGAAGATAAATGAGCTGCAGATCATTGCCCCTGTGCAAATTGCGAGATGACAATCGGCGAAGCTGAAACTGGAGCTAAATTCGTCTTTGACAGGTTATTTAATCCAATCATGCAGAGATCGGAAACTTGTTCGGATTTGCTTCTTCAGAGGTCGAAGATCAAACGATGCAGTTATACAATGTCTTCACCTACTCCATCGTCCGCAATCAACTCATCGCCAATACCGTTTTGGTTGCCGTTGCGACTCTCTTGATAGTATTGCGATTCATTTCCCGACGGCTCCGCGAAAGTCGATTGGGATGGGACGATGCATTCTGTGTTGGGGGCATGCTGCACACTTATGGCATGCTCGCAATGCACTTTCACTACGCCCGCATTGGGATGCGACAGCACATTGGGGATATTCCTATGGAAAATGCTGTGCTGATCGCTAAAATGCTGATTGTGTACCAAGTCGTCTATTACAACGCCATGGTTCTTGCCAAGTTCTCCTACCTCGCCTTTTACTTGCGCATTTTTGTGTCCAGGGAGTTTCGCATCCTGACATGGGTGTGCATGGGGTGCGCAGCTGCCTACTGGGTTGGGAGTATGCTCCAAATCTTCTTGATATGCACCCCCTTTGCGAAAAACTGGAATCCGACACTGCCCGGTCATTGCGCGAGCCAGAATGTCGCTTTCTCGACGATTGGCGCATTCAATCTTATCACGGATGTGCTAATCATGGCCCTACCAATCCGTTTTATCTGGAAGTTACAAATGTCCATGGCGACTAAGATGGCACTGTTTGGCATCTTTAGTCTGGGTATATTGTATGTTCCTTCTGTCTCACTGGAAAATTCCAATGCTAACGTGACCTGCAGTATTTCCTCCATCACCATCATCCGCATCCGTGTCCTCACGACCGTCGATTTTACCGATCTTTCCTACTCCATGATCTGGGCGGCCTTCTGGAGTGTTACCGAGCCGGCCCTTGCCATTGCCAATTCCTGTGCCCCAATGCTCCGACCTATCCTCAAAGCCGCTTTCCCGTCCCTGTTTGCTAGTGCGCAGAGTGGATACTCCACACAACCGGTGTCTGGACCTATCAGCAAAAGTACTCCATCGAGACGCATGGATGGGATGGATGAGATGGACAGTGAATTTCCCCTCACACGATTGCACGGAGACACCAGGTCAGCGGATGAGGGGTCATTGAATGATCAATCGCAAGATGACCGCTCGCAGGATTTGCCATATCACACGAAAAGTGTTGCGATGTCTCTCAAAGGGCATTCATAGTATTGTATGGTGTCAATTTATTTCATTTGTCTTTTTTTTTTTTTTTTCACACAGTATACGCTGCCACTAGCCACTCTCTTACTGTCGTCAAGGCTGTATCAACCGGCTAGACACAGATCAATATGTATTACGTCGTATTGAGGCCAACTTCCCTGCCTGATCCCTGTCTCATCCTGGTGTCTATCAAGTGGGGAAGAAACGGGTTCCAGCCCTGGACCCCGGGAGGTCTAAAAATGTTCCGTTCGGTAGTTGACGAGTTTTCCAAGGGTCGGAAGATTGCGAGTGGATCAAAGCGGACGCAGGTGGGTGCAGAGGGTAGACCCCGAGGTCGGGGACCAGAGCCCAATGAACCAATCCATATTGACCTTGGAATGTCGATCAGCGAGAGTCGAGTGCCCCGGAAAATCAGATAAGCCGGATACCGAGCCCGGGGCCCTTGAGATCGGTGACTAAGCGGGCCTTCGGAGCCTCGGGATTATCTCGGAGCGAGTGTCCGAGTATGAGGGAGTATATCGCAGGTAAATCCACGTTCCCGCCTTTTCCCCGCAACTGTTTGTATTCACACTCAACCATGAGCACCAAACGAAAAGGTCCGGAATGTGACAATACAGCCAAGAAAAAGTCGACTCGTCATCGCGCTGCTCTCGCCTGCGAAGAGTGTCGAGCTCGCAAGCGAAAATGTGATGGGGTGACACCAGTATGCGGTGGTTGTGTGAAGCGCCTTACCGCCTGTATCTATGCTTCTGAAATCCAGGCCGAGGCATGGCGCGATAGGTGGGTTTGATCTGCTAGGTATTTGCTCTGAGGTTGATGGTAGGGAACTCATTGTCAATTTAGTATGATTCAGTCCTTAAGAAATCGCTTAGAAGATCTCGAAAAAGGAGAGGAAACACTGCCAGTAGCGGAGAAACATGCTTTCGGCCGTGAAAATGATATTCAGACCTCAACCCCTCAACCCAACCTCGAAATGGAGGCCAGTATGCTTAGGGCCAGCACGCAGAATGATCAGCCTCCCCGATCTCCTGCGGCAACTTTACATATCACCACCGAAGGTGTTCCCAGGGATCGGCTGGAACTTGGGATTGTCGATAGTCAGAGCAAGTCAGCCGAAAGCCCTGAGTTTACCACCCCGAATAGCCGCCATTCAGGAGGCTTGGAGCTCTGCGGTGTGGAGAGACTTATGGAACCTATCGATCAAGCCATCGACTCCCGAAGTGGCCGCTTGAAATCGACCGAGGTTTCAACTTGGTCAGGTAATCCAGCATGCCAGGGGCTTCCCCGTGCAAGTATCAGTGACTGTTCATGCAACCTTCTTCTAGGGGCGTCGAGGTGTCGTCTGCCATTACGGCAACATGCAGATGAATTGGTCACGTTATATTTTTCCCGGGTACACCGAATTTACCCGATCATTCATGAGCACACATTCAGAAAACAGTACGAATTCCTTTGGCAGCTGAAATCTAGAATAGCTGCACCGTCTACCAGTAGCTGCTGTGGAATATGCAAGCAAAAGAGTCAAGGAAAAACATTTCCTGCCATGGTACATGCAATTTTCGCTATGGCCTCATTATTTGAGTCTGGATCACCAGAACAGGATACACAGCGCGCAGATGATTATTTTCGACTGGTCCAAGAAATTGATTTACTGGATATCTTGGATTACGAGGTGGGGATTGAGCTGGTCCAACTGGGCTTACTCATGGGATTCTATCTCCAGAGCACAGAACGATTCTCCAAATGCTGGAATATTACCGGTCTCACTATCCGGATGGCCCAGAATATGGGGCTGCAATTAAGTCTTGGTGATGCTCGCCGCAAGGGTCTCTTCCGCCTTCACGCGACCCAGCTAGAATGCGAGATGCGGATACGAGTTTGGTATGGATGTGTACTATTGGATCGGTATGTGCTTTGCTGAGTGATGCTATGCTTAGTTGACTAACATTTGGTGAGCCAGAGAGATTTCCATGTCTTTTGGACGGCCGTTAATGATTGTCACTGGCTGCGAGGGTATCCGGCTCCCCGAAGCAATTGACGATCATAGGCTGGCTGAAGCAATGGGACAATGGAACTCCCAACCAGCTGGGTCCCCCAGCTTATTAGAATCGTATATACAAACCATAAAACTCTACGATATCCTCAAACATGTTTTGGATAGGGAGGAGCTCAAGGTGTCTTCAAACGTTTGCCCAGATGTTCGGTCTCTCCTGAGTCTAGATACGATGATAATGGAGTGGCGAGATGCTTTACCACACTATCTCCAATACAATCCGTTATCTGAAAACACAAACTCGACAGAAACACGGTCTGCAGAGTCACAAGTGAATTTCTCCGCCCAGGCCAAACGACTTCACACCAGGTATCCAGACTATCTCTTATATTTTCCCACGACTAGGTCCTAATACACTCCTAGATTCTTGCATGTTCGAGTCTTGATCCTACGCCCTGCCTTGGATCTCTTATTTCAAAGGCAACAGCACACGCCACCGGTGCCTAACCAGCGATCACTGGAGGCAAAGGTCCAGGACTTAACGTTATCTGATATAGCGACACAGTGTGCGCTTTCAGCAAATAGTTTGGTAAAATTACTCAACATTCACTCTCAAACCAAGAGCCTGGTTGCTTGGTGGTACAATATCAGTTGTATGTGACTGAGTAGCTTTCACCTTATCTGGTTAACCCCACACTGACACGCTTTCAGATCTGCACACCAGTGGCAGTACTCTCTTGATGGCTCAAATGTGTACATTTAACGATGTCGCCATGTCTGGCGAGTTTTCGAGAAGCTGGGATCTTTGTCTACAGTGCCTCTCGCGCTATACTGCCGTGAGTAGCATTGCAAAAAGATCACTTCACCTTTTGAAGGAGAGCGCAAAATGTCTACTGCCAGATGATTTAACTCGGAAGGTAATATCTCGAATTCTCTCTGGCCGTGTTTGCGTTGAATCGAGATCTAACATTGACTTTCTGAAACAGTCACTGCCACCACTTCGGAGCCAAGAGTCAGCTTCCCAAGAGACCTGTCAACCCCAAACGAACGGAGACGCCCCTCCCGTGAACAATCGCGCGGAGGATATTCCAGATGAAATGTGGCGGTTTTCACAATCGACGGCTCGCGCGGAAGATGGGTTTACAGTAGATCCAATGCCAGTGCCAGCAATCGACTCAACAACTCTGCATGGACCAGACGCGGGTTTCTGGACCAGCGACGCCGGTGAGGGCTCATATTGGCCATTCATGCCATTCCTTTCCCAGCTAGAAACACTCCCAACGGACTTCGACCTGTCAAACTTGGAGTAATCATATTTTATTTTTGGGTTTGTTCATATTCTCATTGAATGAATTCAACCAATATGACTGCTTTATGGAAAAATCATCACCCTATCTGTATTTCCAGAAATGCCTGGAGTCACCTCAATTGAAGTAGTTCATATCCCAGGGAGCTCGTGCATCTATTAATTCAAATTCTATCCATACCAAGCAGTAGCTTTCCCATGGTTTTGCGTCCTTCTAAACCCTAAAGGGTATGTTGAGTTAGCCTGGAGATCCAGCCAGATTGAAGGATAAATCTTGGTGCGCAAAATTGGGTCCTACCTCATGGGCTTGCTTTACTGCATGTAGTGGATAAATTCCGTGAACATTGATTTTGAGGTCATCCTTGAGAATCAAATCAAACAGCTTCTGAGCGTAAAACTCAAACTCCTCCCGCGTGTTGAGATATCCGAGCAAAGTTGGCCGGGCAACTTTGATGCATTTCGGCGAGAGACGCCTGGAATTGATAAGTTTGAAGAACAGAGACAGAATCAGAGAGGTATATTAACTTACGCAAGAGGCAGTGGTGGAACAGGACCACTTGCATTTCCAAACCAAATAACGGAGCCCTTTCTCTTCACTACCTGCAGACTTCCCTCCCATGTATCCTTGCCAACGGAGTCAAAAACCGCATCGACTCCTCTGCCATGGGTAATTTGATTGACAATCGCGGGCCAATCCTTTCCCTCTGGACTGCGATAATCAATAACATGATCCGCACCAAGGCTTTTCACAAGCGCAACTTTCTCAGGGCCGCCAGCGGTGCCAATGACTTTGGCTCCGACTTTCTTGAGGACCTGGGTCATCAAGTATCCCACACCACCGGCAGCAGCGTGAAGTAGTACCCAGTCGCCAGCCTTTACTTCGTATGTCTCGTGCGTGAATGCAAGACATGTCAATCCGCTGAGGAACGAAGCTGTCGCATCTTCGTCGGAGATACCAGCAGGTAACTTGATCGTCTTTGCGACCGATACTGCAGAGTACTCAGCATAGCCACCGGTGCCTAGCCAGATGACCCTATCGCCGATGGCGAGACCATGCGTGTCGGTATTCGGGCCGAAAGCGACAACTGTGCCAGCTGCCTCACGGCCGAGCACCTCAGGCTTGGGGGAGGCGTAGAGTCCCACACGAAAGTAAGTGTCGATGTAGTTGATCCCAGCAATGTTATTCTTTACCAGAACCTGCCCTTTGATCGGTGTAGGGATGGCATAGTCCTCGCGATATTGCAGGACCTCGGGTCCCCCTATCTCTTCAACAACCACTGCTCTTTGAACTGCTGGGAGTGTCATTCTTGCGTTATAATGATGATTGCAAAAGAATCGGTAAAACAAAGAGCCTCGGCAGGGAGGAACCCTTGGCCAATTAATAATTTCAGTTATACATCGAATGCCTTGCCAACAGTTCAGTGAATATTCCCGCCGTTGGAGCCGAGCGTGCGGAGTTAACGCGGATTGCGGCACAGATACTGTGCAGTTTCAATCGACAGAAAACCCCCGCATAATGGGGTTTTGGCTGATGTTTCCCCAGTTCCCCAGATTTCCCCCAATTACGCCCTTGCCACTTCCGATAGTGCTTTCCACACAAACATGAGTGAATGCTGTCTGAAAGGCTTCCGTTGGGAAGCCCAGCCCAAGGGTTACGAGAGCAAACTGGCGGACAACAACTGTTATGTCACCCAGTCCACGTCCGAGATAGCTATCATTTTGATTCATGATCTATACGGATGGAAATTCCGCAATACACGGCTTCTGGCCGACCACTACGCGGAAGAGATCAACGCAACGGTATACGTGCCTGACTTGTGAGTCGCCATATCCAGTGAATATTTTTTTCTCTCTCTGTTTCTCACAACAAAAATTCAGTTTCGGCGGCGAAGAGCTCCCTCTAGATATCCTCGAAGATCAGAGTCAATGGCACAAACTCGATCTCCCTGAATTCATGGGCCGCAATTCCAAGAAGATCCGAGAGCCCGAGATTGTCAAGTGCGCGCAGTCACTCCGGTCCAGATATCGACGCACCGGAGCAGTCGGATTCTGCTTTGGAGGCTGGGCAGTATTTCGTTTAGGAGCCAAGGATAGAGATCTCGTGGACTGCATATCTGTGGCTCACCCGACCTTGCTGGAAAAGTCAGAGATTGACACAGTCGGCGTCCCGGTGCAGATCTTGGCCCCTGAGATTGATCCCATGTTTACGCCGGAGTTGAAGGCATATAGTAATCTTGTCCTCCCAAAGTTGGGGGTTGCTTATGACTATCAATTTTTCCCGGGACTGGAGCATGCGTTTGCTATTCGGGGTGATCCTGGGAATGCTGCAGAAAGAAAGGGGATGGAGAGGGCGAAGAATGCAGCGGTTTTCTGGATGAGACAATGGCTTTTGGATGAATGAACTGGTTTAATTTTTCTTCTGCTGCCGGTTTTAACAAACTATCCCAATTTCTCTGTCTTATTCTACACGATATAATAGTATCAAATGTCACTACGCTTGTGTTGTGGGAAAAGCCCTCACTTGGGGCGAACTAATAAGGATTTGAGGGCGGGCAAATTGATGATACGTCGACTTGGAGATTGCATCAGACTGAGAAGTGTCTACCTAATTGTACTGGGCCATACAGCATACATATCGATCGCTTTGTGCTACACGAAGATAAACAGCCGAATGCCATGATTTATGTACTTAAGTAATGTCTTTCCCCAAAAAGGAAATAATAATACATTACAAATTATTCACTCAGCCCCTTCAACACTCTTGGATGATTTCCTCCAGACAAAGAAGTTTCCTGCAGCTTTCTATACTGTCATCCTGCAGAGCATGATAAAATTCAATCTCATCGAGGATTTTGCATCCCAAAATAGCCTCCAACCCGGTAGACGTCGATGCTGTCTCCTCGATTCGTGACTTGACAGGTCCATATGGGAGGTTTGATTTGAAAATTCCAGCTGCGGATAATGGAAGAAAGTCTTCATACGTGATAGGCTCATATTCAACCCATCCAAGAGACAATAGCCTAGCGAGGGAAATATGGAGAGATGTCTGTGGCTTTGTTGTTGCGGTCTCTTTCCCCAAAGGAGTCACGCTGTATCGGAAGCAGACAAGGCCCCGAACTCGAAGCTCCTCCCATGAATCAGGGAATTCTCGGAAAGCATTAAACAATATATCGCTGAATGAAATATCCGAAACATTTGCTGCATTTCTAACAGCATACGCAAGGAGCTGGTCGTAGAGCTCGCGGCCCTTTCTTGTCACGGCAGCTCCACGCTGCTCAACTTCGCCAAAACGGGCGGTATGGGTTCCATGGATTGATGAACCGTCTGCATTCGCAAATTCAACATTCTCTTCAAGGGCTTTGAAGCTCGTCTGGCGCAGAAGAATGGGACACTTCCGTGGCGGGGGACCTTCAATCATTTCTTTAGCCGGGAGTCCTTGTCGGATCATCTCCTGTTGCACAAGCTCGATGTCAAGAGTTCTCGGTGTAAGATGATTGATATGTGCACTAGGAAAGCAGGCAATATCTGCGACGGTTGGGTGCTCTCGTTTCAATTCCAGGTAGTCCTCGATTGAGACAGTGGACCGAGAATGCCAGCCGAAGATTTTCAGCGCCTCGGTAATCAAATCATTTGCCTCTTGTGAAGTCATCATCTTTTGCTCCTCTGCAATATTCATAATCTCGCATAGTCTGGGAGTGAAAAGGCTCCTGTGACCAAGGATCTTGTCCACGGTTTGCTGGATTTTAGACGAGAGCAAGTCTCTCCGTAAAACAGTGGTGAAGATGCGAAATGGATTTTTACTCAGAGACCCTTCATCTAAAGGCCGGAAAGCAGTACCGTGCAGAGGCAAGCCGGCGACTTTCAGATCGTAGTATCCGACAGGATGCATGTTAAAAAGGCGGAAAAGACGTTTGACTGTTCGCATCTCAAAATCTGTACCGAGTCGGATAGCACCATGTCGCTCTATTTGATTGCGCAGAGGAAGCTCTTCAACATTTTTACCCTTTGATTTGAGGACTGTGCTATCCACTTCTCTCACGATGCGAATCAAGTCGCCATAAAGGGGGACTTCTGCTCGATACATATCAGAGAGTCCCTGCGTAAACCGTGTACGTAGTTCATCTGCATCCCAACTAGATAATACATTAGTAACTTCGTTTTCTCCTTCGGTAAGATGAGGGCTCACGGTAGTGATTGCATAGTGCATGCGTTTTTGCATCCCATTGTGAGAAAATAAACGGAAACGAGAAGGAATGTTGGAAGCGAGCCCTTAGTATCGTCGAGTCCTGGGTGTCCTCCAAATCAACCAGATCTATATCTATCGATCGGAATCTCTTACTGTTAGCTCTCTGCTAAGTCCAAGCACTTCCGCAACCCACGGAGGTCAGGCGGGAGCTGCGGAGATGTTGCGGAACACCCGCTAACATTCCTCCATACGCCTCCATTAAATGAGCGGGGAAGTCTACATACCCCAGCTTCGATGTCATTTTTGAGACGACAGTGCCGAAAACCATTGGATTTTGTTTGCATTTCTCGCACATCCATCATGTCTTCCTGGGACCGGTTGATCAGATTCGAAGATGGCACCGGCACCGAGCAATTTGGGGAGCCGATCCTCAACGCCTCAGAAGACCTTGTGCTTGATGAGCTTGCCGCAAGCGGTAAACTAGAAGCCAAGAGGCTGTCTGGCAAGGATATTTTCTCCCTTTCACCTTCGAACGATGTGGTAAAGGTCAAAACTATACTCCCTTTGCTCTCTCCGGCACAAGTCCCGATCGTGAAATGTGTCGGCCTCAATTATATGAAACACAGTACGTATCGTGTTCGAAATATAGGATATACAGCTTTTTAACAACCCCAAGTCAAAGAAGGAGGACGCAACCCCCCGCCATATCCCTCCATTTTCATCAAGCCCAGTGCGGCAGTCGCCGCATACAACGAGGACATCCCAATTCCCAAGTTGGCGCAAGATGAACAACTTGACTACGAAGGCGAGCTTAGTATCGTGATCGGCAAGACTGGGAAAGATATTCCCAAAGACCAGGCTCTCAGCTTCATTGCCGGGTTTGTCGTCTCTAACGATGTCTCTGCTAGAAAGTGGCAACGCGATCCCGCATATGCGGGAGGAGTACCCCAATGGTGTTTTAGCAAGGGATTTGATAAATTTGCTCCCCTGGGTCCCATGCTTGTGTCGCCCAAAGTGGTTGGAAATGCAGGAGACCTTCAGCTCCAGACCTTTGTGAACGGGGAGCTTCGTCAGGACACGAGTACGAGTGATTTGTTGTTCAACACGGAAGCCATCGTGTCCTTTATTAGCCAGGGTACCACTTTGGAGGCTGGAACTTTAATCATGACGGGCACACCTGCTGGCGTTGCCATGGGTATGAAAGAACCGTTGTGGCTGAAGAATGGCGATGTCGTCGAGGTGAAAATCGGGTCACTGGGGAGTGTTAAGAACACGATGGCCTTCGAGTAAACAGCGCCTCTTTGTGGAAATCAAATACAGTCAGAGAATTCAATACTTCCTGTTCATAGGAAGTTTTCTAAATGCATTTCCGAAATCTATTAAGGCATGTTAGTATGCATGTCAATACCATCAAAAAGATCAATCCCGGAGTCTTACAACAGCGCAAAGTCAACAGCGTCACGACTGAATTGAGATTCAGAACGCTCGAAATTTCAGGCAACTCCGGCAGTTTGTACACATTCTCGAAGCATTCTGTGTTCAATAGTGCGGCGTCGTACTCTGGAAGGCCAATATCATGCGGATACATCAGACAGTCTTGGGTGAAAGGCTGCATTGAGGCGACCAAGCAACCACACACACAGAGATCTCGGGACACAACAGCATAGTGCTTGGGTATATGAAAAGTGTTCGATTGAAGCTGCGGTGTGGTTGTATTGCCAATGGTCCGGGCGCAATACGACTGTTCGCCTTCAGGCGACACACAATGATAATGATATAGTAATCCTGACCGAAGAATAGAGATGACAGCCTAGGCCTCCAGCTTCTAGTGTTATTGATAGAGACTTACGCTGGAAAGGCAGATCAGGGGGAAAACACAGTCTCTTGATGATGCTATGGAAAAAGAAGGAAGAGGAGTTCAGCAAACATTGGTCACATGACCCGTCCAACATCTATTCTTTCTCGATATTTCCTCGAGCTTTCCTCGAGCTTTCCTCGCATAAATACTCCAAAATAAAACGGTGATAGCTCATTTATTCCGTGGTCAGCAGATTATCTTCGGTCTGCCAAACTTCTCATATTGAGCAAGATCATTGAGATAAAGAGCGAACCTTTAGCCTTTGATACTCCTCTTCAACAATTTGAGGTAGTTCTGCATTGAGAGAAATCCCAGCAGGTTGCCAACCGAGGATAGACCGAGCTCTGGTTGCTCGACAACGCATATTGTGTCCCCAGCTTGTCGCCTCAAACCCAGCTAGATCATATGCAGATTTTTTATCGAGCACAATTTCTTTGGAGGCAGGTGGCAAGAAGCCCTTCTCGACAGCTATCTGTCCGATGGAATGTGCCACTTCACCCCAGCAATGCTCCCCTTGTTCAGCCAGGTAGTATGCCTCTGCACCCCAATATAGACCTTCGCGTCGCCCTTGTAGGGCCAGCTCAAATAATTGAATATACACGGCAGACAGGCTTTCCACATGAATATGAGAACCAATGGCCTGGCCGCGACCGATCACAGGAATTCTGTTCTGGCCGAGTATATATTCAGCCATCACATAAATTTGTCTGCTGCGACGGGAGCAAGGACCCCTACCTGTCCCTATTAGGAAAAAAAAAAGATCAGTATAACTATTTATATAGAAACACGGTATTGCAAGTTGAGCTAAGTGGAATTACCATAGACAGTTGTCGGAGAAATGATTGCAACCTTCAGAATGTCGGGATTCTGGGCACCTGCATCGAGGACCGCTTTTTCAACAGTGCGATGAAATGCATAATCAGGAAGCGAAGTAATGTCATGGATGTCTCTCATATCGTCGTAAGTCTCCTCGCTCCTTTCTCCGTAAGTGTTGTTCTCATCGTCAAAATGCGAGAAGACGCCCGCTCCACTTGTATGTAACCAATAAACAGGTCTATCAGGCGAATGTCCTTCTATCGCCCCTCGAGCAATAGCTTGTGCGGCAGCAAGATGATCTGCGGAATCGGCATTATCTGTTTACAAATCATCGCATTAGCCAACTGGTATATATCCGCATTATCGTGTGACACCAAGTGAATCATTCTTCTTTGTAGGAGAGTATGGGGACGATTCTCACGTATTATGACATCGGCATTGGCAGATTCCTCTGTTATAACTTCGATATCATCGAGGCCCCCAGATACAATGACAACGGACGGATAAGCTGCCAAAATTTGCTTTTGACTTTGTTCATTTCGAACTAGTAATCGGTACTTGTGTTCAGGGTGTTTTGCAATCAACACCGACAGAATATCTCCGCCAATATAACCACTGGCGCCAGTACTGTGGAAGAGTGTCAATATAAGATAAGGTCTGTCCGGTTTGCATCTGGTAACGTACATTAAGATTGTCTTCATCATGGGCAGGAACGAGAATCAAATAGCAAGATAGTGGGAGTCGAGGGGATAGTCTGAGCTATGGATGTCTTCATAACAATATATCTTCAGTTCCAATCTTGATTGCTAATCTCTTGATTTCTAATAGTCAATTTGTAATCAATCCTATTTACCTAGGTATTCCTGCAGGTGGGACTCGCCAATCACATCAGCTGCCAAGTCCACTGATGTTGTGCATGTCCAATACACATCTACTATAGGGCAAGCAATCACAATATTATGCTCATTGATCACACCTAGTATATAACTGTTGAGGCATGGGTCTCTCAGACAGACAGAGCCCATCCGGTAGATAGACCCTTCTCCCCCCTTCCTCCCTCCCTGCCTCTCTCTCTTCTCTCCCCTTGGCGGCAACGCCAGAAACCCTGGGGGCGTCTGCCCCCCCCAAACCTAGCCACTGGCCTGAGAACACTGCCACCGAGGCAGAGGTGCACCGACTCCCAACGGCGCCCACAACCACCCTGCATCCATCTCACAGGTCGGAGAAGGACGGGCAGCAAACTGGTATTAATGATACGATCGTGATGAACGAGTTGCTCTCTATGGCTGCACTTCTGTACATAACTCCATAGCTAAGCACGTCCCAATACCCCATGGGAGGTCACGGAGGCACGGGCTACGCCTATGCCTTGCTGGACGTTAATTAATACTAGTACTGCTACTCTCTCCTCTCCCGTCCTCTTCGTTCCAGCTAGATCACTTGCATAGTTTCTCCCTATACTGTCCACTGATCTAACCTTTCTAGAATGAGTAGTGTTATCAGTTTGAGGAATATGCGGGTAGGTTTCATCGAGCATGGCTGTGGCGGCCGCCATTCTCATGAGAGGACACACGCATATCAGTATAGTTGGAAAGCGATTGCTGGGAAGTGTGCATTCTGGGGGTGCAGGAAACCCAGAAATTGGCCAAGGGCTTAAAAGCCGGTATTCCATACTCGAGTGACTCGAAAAATGCGCCCAGAGCAAGTATCAATACTTCAATAGTGGGGCATCACTTCTATCAGGTGTCGGTTTGCGGGGTTGCCATTTCTCAACCAATGCAGACAATATGCAACCACACGTTTTAGAATTGGGAACTGGCCTGAAACTAATCCATCTTTAGTGCAGTGGCTGAATGATGGAGTAAAATGGAAGGGTTCATTCAACTATTGATTGGTCCACGTTGCCCGCGGCTCAGCCCATCAAGAAGATAAGTTTACGATGGTGACGACATATCCAGATGCCTCTGAATGGGGCCAAAGCTCACCAGGGCTTACCCAAGAGATCGTATTCAATCATTTTCTTTTCTAATTTCTTTTCTGTCAGGGTTTCTATCCCGGTCTGCTCCAGATTTTCCGTGCTCCTGTCTCATCTAGCTCAGACGCGCTATATTGCCTGCAATTAGACAGATTATAGCAGATGAGGCCAGTTGGGAGACATGGACCTACAAGGTATAAGGCCGTTTCAAACTGTGGATGATTGTGGAATCACTGGTAAGAAAATCTTCAACAAAGAGGAATATTCATCAACTTATGTCGTCTAGGAACTCAAAGTCAGTTCTGAATTCTTGCTGAAGCCAGTTCATGCGCTTATCATCGCGTCGGTTAATATGTACACAGACGGCTCTCCCGACAACAGCCTTCATTCATTGATAGCAAAGCTACGCGGATTTCTAGATCAAAAACAGGGAGATGATGCCGTTTCTATGCTGTCGGGTATGACAACGTATGAGGACGACGATAAGGAAGTCTGGCGAGAGCTTCGCAGGGATCTCATCGGCTCGGGACTTCGAAGTTCCGATATTCGCAAATACTCTCATGAACTCAAGGATTATTTGCACAATCTGAGGCGAGAGAAAGATGGGTATGTCAATCGAACACAGATGGCTAGTTTCTTTCCTACTCCGCCTCGGATATGTACCAGGGCTGCTGCTGACTGAGTGTTACAGAGTGTTATTTACACCAAGGGAACAAACCTTTCGAACATACGCTCAACCGGAACCTACAAATATACAACCGGAAAACTCCAACTCGCCAGAAGGACTCCCCAGGATCAATGAGAATGCTGATTGGAGTTATCATACCTCCGAGGTCGGTGACCGTTATATCCGAAGAGGGCAAAATGGCCATGACGATGATGCCTGGAGCTCAATGGCGACGTACGGCCCGGTCAATGATTCATGGAGCTCAGCAGCGACGGTGCGCACACGGGACTGGCTCCAAACACAGGAATCAAGGTCTCAAGACCCTACCCACATAAGCGATAACGCAAAAAACACCAATAGAGAGCCCCGTCATCCTCCAAAATCTCACCCAAATAGACCAGATACTAGGAGATCTCTCCCCATCCCACCACCGAAAGAAGCACTTAAACCCGAGGGGCCAGCTGAATACTACAATTACAACGTTCCTTATCCCCAGGCCTATATGCCGCCTCCTTATCAGTATTTTCACTCTCCGCATCCTCCAGGTCCATTTCCATTTCCTCAATATCCTCTTCCAAATCCATACTATTCGTTCGGACCTGGTGTCGGGGTTGACTACTACCAACACACACCTAACCCCAACATTTACCCGGGAGCCCCACCGGAGGGATATACGCACGCCAATGCTTTTCCGGGTGTGAATACGACGACGCCCGCTTTCCCGAATAATACCCCATTCGTAGAAAGCATGGTGCCCCCATTTCCCAACCCCCAATATTACCAACCGAGACAGCCCGCTCCCCCGATAACGGAATATCAACAGAGACCACCAAGCTCAACTTCGTTCCCGGGTGAGCAGGTTGGGGAGGGAGGTTTGCCTATCTGGGAAGATCCTCAAACTCAGACTCCGCAAACTACGCAGGAGTTATCACCGGATGAGACATTGCTTCCCAAAAATCAAAGATTGCAAATCGAGTGGAAGTCCTTACAAAAATGGGAATTACTCGCCACTATCGAGTTCGAGTCCAGATTATGCGTTCTTCCAGAAGGGTGGGTCAGGCGCTCTTATAGAAACCATGTATTCTATTTGGATACATACGCGCAGGGAAAGGAGAAACGATGTTTCTGGCTTCCGCCGACGGAGGAAGATGATTCTGTTTACGAATTACCCGGATGGGAAAAGATATCCAATACCTTTGGTCGTATCTCCTGGCTACACCGAGATTCCCAGGTGGTGTCATATTCATTCCCTGGAGACTGCAATCAGTTCAAGTATACAGCTAGCGGTGATCTCTATGTGCAGCAATACGGTGTGCGATATGAGAGTAAAAATGATTTCCGTGATTTGAAACTAAACGATATTGGTGTTTCTTGCCAGTTGACACACCAAGTATGGAAGGCTGGTGGGTCAACACATCAGGTTTGGAACAACGGTTTAGGATGTGTAAGCCCTATAATCCCTGTTTTGAACTTGAGCAAAGACTGATTTCGACTGTATTATAGCAGAACCAGATTTCCGGCAAGAAAGACCCGCGCACAGTCGATCTCATGGGAACAGTGCATGGAAATTTGTCTTCTAACTACAAAAAGGCAACAGTTGAGGATGTTCCCGATGATTGTGATCTAACTACAGGTTAGGGAATCACTCAGGACGTCCTCCATCTATGCATGTTAAAACCATGTTGGTGGAAGGAGTATATATTTATCATAATTCATTGTTTTCCTATGTAACTAATAATATACTGTTTTGAATACTGATTCTTCCCTTAACAATAACTCGCTAGAAAACAGAATCTATCTATCCAACCGAATGGAAGGAGAAAATGCGTTTGCGGAGGAGCTCTATAGTGCTTGTGGGTCTGTAATCCGATTCACTATGGACAAAAGCAAAAACAAAAACGTACAGCAATCTAAGGTGGTGGTCACCTAGCGCTCACGGTTCAGGCATGGGCGGCTCGCCGCTCTATTCAGGGCACTCAGGGCAGATATTCACCCACCTGAATATTCTTCACCCAATTATTCAGCCCCTACAACAAAAGGCCCATCCCCAACCTAAGCGAAAAGGCCATAAGCATCCTTCTGCCCCCTACCCTCTTCCAAATCTCCACCCTCTTCCATCTCTCCAGCCTCGCTCCATCACTCTAACCTTGCTCTATCACTTTTAGCCTCGCTTTACCACGAGTAGGATACGTACTAAGCATGACCCAATATTAAAATATAGGGCCAATGTTGTTGATTTTGGGAAGCATAGTAACAAGGAAATCCTACGGGCAGTGCCACCACAGACAGAACCGGGTTATAGGCATAGGCTAATTATTTTTAACAAGTATATATTAGGCCTAGGGGCAGAGAAAGAACCGCTAAATTAAGCCTCTATACCTAGTTTCATTAAATTATATCCGTAGGCCGTCAATCCTCCGGATATCAGAACATATAGGGCATTTCTCGAGTGGGTCGCAAAAGGAATAGACGGTCGGATCGAAGAAAGGCCTATAGTCGAGACGATTCAGGGATCTTTTTAGAAAATTTACCACCAGCGTAAAGAGGGAAAGAAGCTACAAATTCCTACTAGCCACTAGGACTACGATCAATAAGGTCAGTGCCAGCGTCTTTTTAGATAAAGCAAGACTCATACTAAATTGTTCGTAGGGGGACTACAGATCAAGATTCTTCTCTTAACTAAGTAAATGAATAAAGATAGCGGTTTATCCCTAAATGATTTAACTATCCTAATAAATTAATGATAAAGAGTAGACTGATGGCTAGTATAGGTATGCATCGCAAGGGTCAAAAGCGATTGTAGCGGGAATTGTTACTGCGAAAGGCCTAAGTATGAAATCCGAGCTCAGACTCTAGGTAAGCAGGTAAAACGTCCCGAGGTCCATCTCTCTACCAGGTACATAAGGTACCTATGTAGATGCGCTCCCTATGGCGGTCAACAATTCTGCTGAACAATGGATCAGCTGATGAGACATTTTGGTTAACGTGCCGGTCGCATCTTAGATGGCTTTACATACACTCCTTTCGACAATGGCCAACAACAGCTCACCCGATTACAAGGAACTTTTTCTGCAGGAAGAGCAGAAACGGAGACAGGCAGAAGAACGAGTGAGACAGATTGAAGAACGTACACGCCAAACCACATTTGTGGAATTCATACGCCACTGTCATACCCTACTCTCCCGACCTTTGAAAGTCTTATCACCATCTCGTTCGACCACAGGAACAATATCACTTCCCAAAGGAAAACACTGCCCTACACGACTGCGTCCATGGACAGATTGCATCCCTCAACAACAGGCCATCTATAACAGTGTATGCAACTACCTACAATCCGCTAAAGCAGCCCCTCAACTTTTTCCCCCCTTGATTGCACTTCAAGAGCTTGCTCGGCGTTTTGCTCTACGGCCTATCAGCAGTGAACAGGATCTTGAGACATACGAAAGAATTGCCGTGGAAGACCATGTGCGCGATGTCATTTCAGAGCTATGCAAAATCCCGGCTGCGCGAGAGGAGTTCATGCTTGGTGACGGTATTTGGTTTGATAACCATGTCAAAGCTTTGACTGAAACCCGCGATGAAGCAGATGCTATCAACCAGTCTAAAATTCGATGTCCGAGACCCGATCAATTTTGTATACACCGGGTTGACGGCAATACCAATACCCTCCTCCTTACCGTTGAATACAAGCCACCCTATAAACTTTCAGTGGAAAATCTGCGGGCTGGACTCCGGCCGATGGACTTGTGGGAAGAGGTAGTCAAGCGAAACACAATACCTACAGATCCAGTGGAGAAATTACAGTACAATGCAGAACTTTTGTCAACCTCAGCTCTGGTTCAAACATATGATGTGATGATTGAAGAAGGCCGTGCATATGCCATATTGACTAACGGACTTGCTCGGGTCCTCCTCTATGTGCCGTGCGATAACCCGACCACATTATATTATCATCTCTGTGAGCCAAATAGGGAAGTTGTTGACTATGAGCAGAGCTTGCAGCAAACTTCTATTGCTAGGATGCTATGCATTTGCTTAATGAGCTTCCGTTCCCCTACGCGCAATCAGGAGTGGCGGAATTTTGCACGTTCTCAAACACGAGACTGGGTAACTAGCTTTAATCAAACTCGCCCTTGGCTTCCCAAGGAAGAGGTGCAAAAATCTCCTTTTCTTTCCGACGAATCCATCTCGAGCCCGGAGCTCAGCTCTTCAAACTACCAACTCTCTTCGTCTCCGTTGAAATCTCCAACAGCAGGTCGTCGGATACGCACAAGATCTCAAGATAGCTGCGCACCCTTAAATATTCAAAAGCGTACACCCTCACCAGACTCATTAGGCTCTGACTCAAGCCAATCGATGGGACACGAGCGGGGGTTCAGCCAAGTCGCACTGTCCTCGCCATCTGCCCAACGAGCAGCCCGTCAACGTGAGACTAGTTACAATCAAGACAATCAGCCCCGAAGTTATAACACACAATTCTGTACACAGCGCTGTTTACTGGGATTGCAGACAAGAGACATCCTAGACGACAATTGCCCAAACGTGGGACTTCACCGACAGAGCCAAAATGATTGTATCAGGCATCCCATCACTTCTGAGGATCTCTTGCACTCACTTAAAACACAACTCGATGAAAATATCGACCAATGTACACCCATTGGGAAGTGTGGAGCGTACGGTGCGCCATTTAAATTGAGCTGTTGTGTATATGGCTATACCGTCATCGGGAAAGGCACTATATCAAGCTTGTGGAAAGAAGTTTCCCGTGAAGCGCAGGTATACCAAATTCTGCGAAAAGCCCAAGGATCCGCTGTACCCGTTTTCTTAGGAACAATAGATTTAGCAAAAATCTACTTCCTTCATGGGGCTGGAGCGATTCGTCATATGCTCGTGATGGGCTGGGGAGGCGAATGCACAGCAACTATGGAACTGACACCATGGCTTCGCCGAGAGATTCGCAAATCGAACAAAGAAATTACATCTTTAGGAATTTCTCATGAAGATCTTCGACGTGATAATATTCTTTGGAGTCAAGAGCTGGGGCGTGCATTGATTATCGACTTTCATCGCTCTACTTTAAACTGTGTACCGAGTCTGCGGCGAACGCAAACAAAGAAGCGGCGACTATCTCAACAAGGGACAGGAGATGCGAAACATCCTCATATATCATGAAGCAGAAAATTCGTATTAAATTCTCAATTAGTTTGTCACAAAGTAGGGCCATCGTGGGCGGTTCGCCCATGTAGTGTGATTGTCCGCCCACCCGCTAATCTACTTTAAGATATGATCATGCTTTAGACTTAATTTTGAGTACTTCAGGGTTCACATGTTACGGCCAAAAGGAGGAAAGTAACCTTTGAACCTTTTCCACTTTATAGAATAGATTCCTTGGTTATATTTCCCTTACAATTCTTTAAAAGTCTGCAAAATAGTGAATCCATTCTCACGAAATAATGCTACTCTTCATTACTTTGGCCTACTTTGGTAATGCTTTTACTTTCTACAAAGCGAGATCTGAGTTTATTCAAGAGATGAAATAAACATCGCACGCGTGGACCTACTGAATGCATGATGGTATGATAAAAGCGGTGGAGATCTGCCGGCATAAACCAAGACGGTGGGCACAACTTTTCTTTTTTCAAGGTCACGTGGATCCAATCTCGAATTTCTGGAGCCATTGACTTGCGCTTATCTCCTGTCACTGTTCGGTCTGTTGTCACCTATCGCCATTCATTGATCCCAGATCGCGCGTCACCTCCGGGCTCATTGACATCGATTGATCCTCGGCCGCCACCACCTTCACGCCCATAACAACTGCTCTCGTTCCGGCAATCCGCCTTTTCTCTCCACCCGTCCGCCTCATTCACACATAATGGATCACTCGCGCGATCCCTGTCCCTGGGTTGCCCTGAGCGACTTCGGTGGTGCTTTTGCCATGGGCGCCATCGGTGGTTCTGTCTGGCACGGTGTCAAGGGTTTCCGCAACAGTCCTTACGGTGAGCGCCGGATAGGCGCACTTACAGCAATCAAAGCGCGCGCTCCCGTTCTCGGTGGTAACTTTGGCTGCTGGGGTGGACTTTTCAGTATTTACGACTGCTCAATCAAGGGCATCCGCAAGAAGGAAGATCCCTGGAACGCTATTATCGCTGGATTCTTCACCGGTGGTTCCCTCGCTATTCGTGGTGGTTTCAAGGCCGCACGAAACTCCGCTATTATGTGTGCCGTCTTCCTCGCTGTCATCGAGGGTGTCGGTATTGGTTTCCAGCGCATGATGGCCGATAACACAAAGCTCGAGGTATGCTCAACTGATACTCTGACGTTGATCTATGTGCATTTAGGGCTAACCTTATACGAAATTAGCTTCCTCCTCTTCCTCCCTCAGAGCAGAAGGCTCTCGCTTGAATTCTCTCCTCTCGGTTTATATCTTTGTTCGACCATCCTCAACATATCCTCTCTTCTATCCCTGTCTTCATAACAACATCTTCCCATCAAGTCTCTCTTCTCAGGCGTTTGGCTTAGATCATCATTCATAAACATCGCATAGAGGTTCCCATTTTGTTTATACATTTTCTTTCACTTGTTAATACCTACGACCTATGTCGAAGCATTGTACTTTAAAGACGGCGAACTTATCTACATGACTGGGTGGTTCAACCACTGAATTTCTTTAGTTATCTTTTAGAAAACCGCTACAGACAGGACTATACGAAACCATGCTTACGTTTCTTGATCTACGGGGAAAGAAATAGAAATGAAAAAGATTCCGATTCCGACTCAAGATCAAGCCCTTTCTTAGGTGACTCTATATTTTCTATCGAGACAAGGAGGGAAAATCCTTCCGCAACCTCTTAGTATAGAAAAGGAAAAGCATTTGATCAAGCGCGTGCATAGCGGTAAATCCCCACGACAGAGAAATTTATACTTGGTACGAAACCCAGAGAAGCTTGCGATGGTTGCCAGCGAGAATAAGTCATGCTATGCAATATATGTTGATACTTTGGGATACATGGTCAATGGACTAAGAATGTAGCGAACTAATATCCGGGCATTGTAGCGAATGTCTTGACTGAATCAGCGGCCAGTTCGAACTTCCTCGATGCAAAAAACTCCATCTTAAAGGGGAAGAGTCTCAAACTATATGGACAGTCATCAGAACTTATTCTCAGCCATCATGGAATACCGGCAGCACTTACCCATCTTCGAGCAGCGCTGTGCGGACGATCAAATGGCTTCCACCGTGTTTTTGGGGAATCGTCCACATCGTACAACCGCATTGCGAGCAAAAGCACTTATGCTTCTCATGTCCGCTCAGGTTGTCTTTCAAAATCCAGGTTTTCAAAAGCTCGTTCCCTTGTTTGATCTCAACTTGTTCTTTTCTCAGTTTTGTGGACTATACGGAGTCAACCTCGAGGAAGGTAGGGAGAATATAGCTGAGAGACTTACTATTTGACCTGAAGATCCAGCATTTTTGGAACAATGGGTACAATAACAGATAAATGTGTTCTCGGGTTCTCCTTTGATTTCGTACTGGATGCCTTCACAGAGGCAGGATCCCTTGATGCTGGACGCCATAGCTATTGATTGGAGAAACTGCGATTTTGTCCCATTGATTCCAGGCTAAATAGGACAATGTCTCAACGGTTGTGCCATCGGACGCTCAGGCACTCACCACGATCTGACCCGGTCCTCCACGCTTGCGGCTCCGCTCGACCTCTGCTTCCGCTCCGCAATACCTCCGCTTTCCCCATACGATCTTATCCAGTACCCCGCATTATATACAACCTGGTAATCTCATTCAACCTGTGAGCTGAAACAATAGAGCCCAACATAGTGCATACCCGGTATTTAGACACTATTCAACTCCAAAATGTCGACCAATACCTCGCAGCCCACTGTGCAACAGTACTACGACTCGCTAACCGGTCAAAATGTATCGCCTCTGTGGACGGTACTTGACAAGATGGTCCCTCCCAAGCCCAACCCCTCCAGCACCACCACTATCTGGCGCTACGACTCCCTGCGTGCTCCACTCATGCAATCAGGGGAGTTGATCACCGCCGAGGAAGCAGAGCGACGAGTCCTCATGCTGGTGAACCCCAGTCTGGAAGCTCCATACACGACAGACACCATCTACGCAGGATTGCAGCTCATCCTACCGGGTGAAACCGCACCCGCCCATCGCCACATGGCATTCGCTCTGCGTTTCATCGTCGAAGGCTCGAGCGGCTTTACCGCAGTCGAGGGCGAAAAGCTGACAATGGGGCGCGGGGACGTCATTCTCACTCCTAGTTGGAGCTGGCATGACCACGGCAACGAAGGAACCGGACCGATGATTTGGCTTGATGGGTTGGATCTGCCGCTTTACCGATTCCTACCGATCAATTTTGCTGAAAATTATGCTTCGTCGAGATATCCGAGTCGCTTGGTCACGGAGAGCAAGCTTAAGATTCCCTGGTCCACGGCTGCTGCCAGTCTTGACGCTGATATGGCCACGTCTGATTATGCTCGGTATGAGTATCGGCTTGAGGGTGGTGCCCATCTCTCGCGAACTATTTCGGCACAGGCCGAGCGGATAGCTGCTGGTTGCACCAGTGCTAAATCGCGGGAGACGGCGTCGTTCGTGTACCATGTCTTTGAAGGAGAAGGATACTCTATGGTTGTATCACCGGGAGGCAAAGATGAGAAGATTGAGTGGAAGAGCCGAGACACGTTTAGTGTTCCTGCATGGAGCGTTATCTCTCACACTTGTACTTTGCCTACTGGTCAGGCATATCTGTTTGCTATCAACGACAGACCTATTGTTGAGGCATTGGGACTGTCGAGGAAGGAATGAAACTCGACGAGTGATAATGTTCATACGAAATAACCATCGCTTCTTTGAGTATCGTTTTCTCTCAGCTGTGCTTAGTATGGTCTATACTAGATAGATTATTGCACCCCGTTTTCTTATTTGTATCGCCACAATTTTCATTTCCCATACTATCTCACGAAATACATCGGCTACAATGAGCCCCATTATCGCCATGCAGTTACTTATTTACGATCATTGCCAAATGGCCCATATTTGAGATAAATTTAGCAGATACCTATGTCTTTCAAATTGCTTTTGTTCGCTGAAGACCACTGGAGATACTTTGGTCTTTTCCGAAAGAAATTCAGAAAGACTATGAGTCTATTAGATCTGCTATTATACACGAGGCACTGAATCTGAGGTAACTTGAATTCTTCATCCACTTTGGTGTTTTTTTCCCTCCATTTGTTATTTGTACCATAATGTTAAACTATACATGATCCGTGGTTCCAATCAATGCCTTACCAGAAGACATGATATCCATGAACTGCTTAGGAGCTTCCTTCTCAAAGAACATCTCTCCACTCAACAAACTGCGGGAAATAACATCGATGGCAAAGGGGAACATTTCCTTCTCATAGGCAGCAATAGCCTCGGGAGTGATGCCATGTTCCTTCAACTTGTGCGCGAGGATGATAGAGTCACGCATAGCACAGTTGACACCATCACCCACGAAAGGAGTCGTAACGTGTGCCGCATCACCAATTAAAGTGACATCAGCATTGGGAGACCAGTTAAGGAGATTGGTCGGCATATAGTACATCAACCAGGGGCGGAAGGGGCCGTCACTCTGGCGAATGACATCCTGCATCTCCGCAGAGTAGTTCCCGAAGTATTCCTTGCTGAGAAGGAAATCCTTCGCAGCATCAAAGTTGGTCAAGTCGACCTTTCCACATGTGCCGAAGTCTTCGGGCTCCTGAAGTCCGATATCGACTCGGTAGTGACCGTCGCCTTGTCGGGAGTTGAACATGTGCTTGCCGTCTCCCATGACGATCATGGAGCCCTTGCCAGCAATGGCTTCCATCTTGGGGTACCATGGGTTGGAAGGCAAAATCTTTGTCGTAATATATTGCTTATCCGAGTAGACTGGCTCAGCCGAGGTGACCTGTATATCTCGTTAACGGGATATTCGAATTCTCACTCGATCTTCCGGTTCAAAGAAAGACTCACCAGATGCCTGATCTTGCTAGCGGTACCATCGGCACCCACGACAAGCTTAAACCCAGAAGCCGTAGTTCCATCAACGAAAGTGAGCACGACCTGCCCGCTGGCATCTCTAGTCGCGCTCTCCACGGCCTTCGACCAGACAACCTTTTCGTCGGGAATACCAGTCAAGAGTACCTTGCGGATAGCCCAACGATCAATCTCCGGCGCATCGCGTCCTTCTCCAAATCTAAAGACTTCTTCGCCCTTGTGATTGTAGAGAATGTGAATGGTAGCCTCCCCGACACGCGAGTGTTTTTGGAATTCCGCAAAAACACCGGCTTCCTTCATGGCACGCTGTCCGCTGCCAGGGTGCAAATCCAGACATCCTCCGTGAGGGGGGCGTCTCTTTGGCTACGCTCATAGACAATGTAGTCAAGGCCCTTTTGTTCTAGGATGGCAGCAAGAGCCAAGCCCGACGGGCCGCCACCGATGATTGCGATTTGGGGCGCCATGGATTTCGGAATCAACCAAAATATAAGGAAAGGGAAGATAGGTGCGGAGAAGAAATTTTTGTTGACGGGTCACGGATGCTTGCAATTATTCAAGTAAAAATATGCTCCAATGCCAAGGAACTGGCTCTTCAGTGATGTGCCGCCGTTATGCCGCCAATGTGGGTTGCGGATCGCGGGCAACAGGCGGAAGAGGCGGACGTTGGAAGCAAGCCACATTTCCCCAGATTCTAGAGAGGGTCCAAGGGTCCAGGATGTCCAGAGAATGTACCCTGAGAGAGGGGTGCAAGAGTATTCCACGCTCTCTCGAGCCGTCGAAACATGCCCAGGCGGCTTATGGAGGAAACTAGGTGTCCAAAAATCTATCAAGCCCACTCCTCGACTTTGAGCAGGCTACCTCGAAATTCCAAGAGACTGCACACATTTCTATGTCCATGTTCGATTTATGAAGCAAAGCGACTGACTAAGGAAGTAGATCACATACAAACATTTTACTCCTTAAAGTAGATCGAATTCTCCCATCGCGACAGTCTCGGCCCAATCACCGGCCGCTTCTTAATAGCCGCCTCATCCTCACCACTACGAACCCTCGCAATGAATTCATCCATGTCAATATCCACCCCAATCGGGTTTTGGGCGTACTCCTCACTAGCCATGAATTCCCGTGCAGCCTTCGGCGTATCAAAATTGTCCACCTGCAACTCGAACTCGTTTCCATCCGGGTCGAAGTAGTACATGCTGGTGCTCATGCCGTGGTTGACCGGCCAGTGAGGCAGGATACCGAGCGCCTTCCTCTGTTCGTAACTCTCAACCAGTTCAGAGAGGCTGCGCAACGTAAACGCAATGTGGTAGATTCCCGTCGCGGTCCTCCGATCATCGATGGGCCGGTGGCTCTTGTCATTGACGATCACGAGGCGATGGTGTTCTTCGTCGTACGCGATGAAGGCGGCTTTCTCGTTGCGCAGGGTGATATGACCGCCGAAGAAATTCAGATGCCATTGAACCATTGCTTCGAAATTCTCTGGGGTGGTGCGCAGGCCAAAATGGCCGATGCAGGAGGGGCTGATCAACTTGGTTTCCGTGGTATTCGTTGCCATATTGATGGTTGCAAGAATGGCTGAATGTCGAAAAGTAAAAATGAGGTTGATTTTCTCAAAGGTACTTTGATCGTGTCTGCCCATGGGGAAATGGATACATTCGTAGATTATAAAATGGACTCACCCGCTGCGTGCGGACTTAAGGCGGGATCTCTCCCTAGACGGCCATGACAAAAGCGCGAAGGTCGGCGCATTCGTGTTCAATAATTACGATGAGACCATTTTGTGATTCTTCACTCTTTCTTTCTTACTTGTTCTGAGTGCATTAAACTTGTAACAAGATGTCGAATGAAACAGCTCGGCATTCAACCATTGCCCGCATTCAAGGCATCAACAAGGTCCCTGGCGTCACTCAATATCTAGGCATCCAGTATGCTACATTGAAGGACCGCTTTTCCCGGGGAGAGCTAATCCAGTCATATGCTCAAGATAGAATTCTCGATGCTAGAAAATTGGGGTATGTCACACCTGGCTTCCCAGTCTCGCCAGTTGTCAACCAGACTGATCTCTGATTAGGCCGTTACCCCTGAGCCCAGAAAATGGTTGTGAATGGGAGCAGAAGTTGCTTCAACACACACTTGAGTTTCCGGAATATCCACAATCCGATACCGAGTGCTTAACTCTTAACATTGCAGTTCCTGATATCAAAAAGCCCAGCGCTCTGCCAATCTTGTTATTAGTTCATGGCGGTGCTTTTGCTACTGGAAGTAGTTCGTATCCGCAGTATGATCTCGCGCGGATTACCAAACTTAGCTTGGATCAGGAGAGACCAATGGTTGTGGTGGGAATCAAGTCAGTGTTGTTTATACGCCCCGATGTAGTAAAATTGTTACTGACTACCGTGGGTTTCCAGTTATCGACTTGGAGTTCCAGGCTTCCTCACCTCCTCGGCCATGAGAGCTGCCGGATATAAGCCAAATAATGGCTTAGATGATCAGAAACTCGCATTCCGTTGGATCAAGCGTCACATCAGCAGTTTCAGTGGAGACCCTGGCAGGATTACCTTTATTGGAGAAAGCGCAGGAGGTGGTAGGTTGTGCACCTACAAAGATCAATCTTCCGTGAGAATGAGAGGCTAATAGCAACAGCATCTGGATGCTTCCATCTCCACTCCGATGAGCCCCTATTTCATCGACTTATCTCGATGAGCGGAACATCTCTGCTTCGTGCGCGCCGTCCGGAGTTATTGGAGAAGTCATTTAGCAGAATTGTCGACATCTTTGGGTGGAATAATCTTTCGCCGGGAGAACAAGTGCAGGAGCTGCTAGATTTGCCGATGGATGAACTGAGAGCCAAAGTTGGCCGTCAAATTCCCATTGGGCCAATGGTAGATGGCGACATTATCCCCGAGATTACAACGTTCCAAACTCTGGCGAACGATGCCGAAGTCAAGAGGGTCTTCCCGGGGATTGAGCATTGTAAGAAAATCATTATGGGCGATTGCCAAATGGACGTAAGTCGGTCCCAGGATCATCTTGACTCGCAGCCCCCAAGTCACACTCTAACCACGCTCAGGCCATGGCCCTTGCTCCCCGTCTGGTAGCCCGTACGGACATCCTTTCCCAGACGTTCGTCAACTGTCTATCCACTGTCTTTGATAGTGTGGATACTAGCATCGCACACAAAATCGCCCGGGCATATGGGCTCGACCCAACTTCCCACTCCAACGATACCGAATCCAAGCAAAATATTTTGGAGTTCGGGAACGACATTTGTTTCGCCGCGGCAGCTCGATCCTTTGCAAAGGCGTGGAGCGCGTCATCGGTACCGGATACCGAATCCCTTCTGTACATGTTCAATTGTCGCAATCCGTGGGAAGGCCCCTGGAAGGGTCATGCCACGCATATTCTGGATATTGCGTTCGTGTTGATGAACTATGCGGAGTATACTGACAAGGGTCAGCAATGCGCCGCGGAGCGCTTTGCTGAGGATATCATCAGCTTCGTCAATGGAGAAAGGCCATGGGAGCGGTATCAACACGATAATGCAGAGGGTTCGATGGTTTATGATGCTCCAATGGAAGGGGCCGAAGACTTGTCAAGGTTTGTGAAGGATGGTACATCGTCCAGTACAGGAAGAAGGAATTTCCTGCAGAAAATAGTCCCGCCAGAGTTGTTTGATCGGTTGATGGATGCCTGGCAGATGTTCATGGCTGGTCCTTGAGGTGGATTTGGGAGTGGAATAGATACATGGGCATGATCCTACTTCCACGTTATCCTCGTATCAGCAGTAAGGGGGAAACGCCCAGGCAACCATTGCTTATCACAAATAGACCGGGTTATTGCGGCAAGCCGGTGCTTTCATGTTGTCTCCATTTCATTCAAAAGGTTTTTGGAAAATATATCTCGTACAAAAATGGACAGAAGAATTCACTCGACTTCATATCAAGTGGTTTCTACCCGCCACAAAGCTTGGTCAAGCAGAGCTCCAGATAAAACAGCAGAAAACGAGAGACTAGCATTCCCCGTGCGAAGACCCGCTTTTGACGTGATCCAAGAATCAAGATATTCAGGGGCATGCACCCCTGATTGGCGCGGGCTATGTTTACAGGGTCCATGCTTCGCCTCTCGATCTTTTGTTTTGGTAAATTTTGGAAAGGATTGAGAATCTCCCCACGGAAGAGAAGAGGGCTGTGTGTTGAAAAATGAGAGGATGGCTGTGCCTGTGCCGTCCGATCGCCAATTTGCAAGGTTCTGGTAACCGCTAGTTTCTGCTCCACCGAGCGAATCTACCTGGAAGAGAAGGTGAGTTTTGAGAGAACTGATATGTTCGGGGGTCTCAGTGGTCCAGCCTCCAGGGGGGTTTCATCTTCCGCTGTGAAAAGATGGGTTACAGCACCCAAGATAATAGCTATACTATACACATTACATTGAATATGAGGTCCAGCATCGCTAGATAGATGAAGTTACTGTCCGTAAATTGAATCGAAAGCGCTGAACGTTCTTCAAACCTGCGTAATTAGCGTGTCGGGGGTATGTTTATACAGCGTTGGAGTGGTTTGGAGCACGGACGTTCGAGATGAGGGACACTGCGACCGTGTTTTGAGACACGAGGGAGTTTACATATGTAACTTATGTAGGTATTCAGTCCCTGGCTCATTCCTCTTTGGCTTGTCTTTTTTCTGCAATAGGTCTCTTATAAGCCTTGGCCAAGATTTCGCCCAGAAATATCCCTCCGAAGTGCATCATCGCAAGCATTAATAGTGGCTTGGCAAAAGACAAGCTTTTGGTTTGAATGGAGCAATCGTTCATCATCGTAGAATTCCACGATTTGATATCCAGATGTGATAGACGCTGGATATTCCCTGGTTATCCGTTCCTTGTATCTGTATGCAGTCCAGAGGTACTTTGTTCATAACGAGCCGTGTCTGAACCGCTAGGAAGTACACAGTGTTAGCGAGTAACCAATTAATGGAGAACATGGGGAGGATGGGCTTCTCCACTCCCTCCAGTCAGGGTCTCCAGAAACAAGACTTTTCCCTTGTGCTTACTAGCGTCATACGATTGTTTCAGGGGATGGTGGCGAAAGAGCACGCAGATGAGAAAAGGTGGAGCGCAGAGGCCAATGACGTCGGATATCGACTGCTTCCCCTGGAGATTGCCAATCAGAACATCCAGTGGAAACAAAACAAATACCCAGGTCCATTGATGAGCACTTTTCCCATTTGTACATCTCCACTCCATGCCGATGAATGCGCGTCGATGCGCAGGCCCCCCCCCTTGGGTTAAATCCAACCCCTTCCAGACCCCAAACTCTTCTTTTCTTCGCTCCCATTCCCTTCTTTTCTTTCTTTCATATTCGCTACAGACGGTGTGTGTTACCCGTCAGACATTCTTTAGATATTGTTTCATAGCCTAGCACAATGAAGGCCTCCATCCTCGCGGGTCTCTCCCTTCTGGGAGCGGCCATGGCTGCCGACGTGCCCTCCATTGAAATTAAGGGCAAGAAGTTCTTCTATTCCAACAACGGCACCGAGTTCTTCATCCGCGGTGTTGCTTACCAGCCCAACTTCACTGGTCGCAATGGTGCTACCGGCAAGGACTCATACACCGATCCGCTGGCGATTGACAGCTGCAAGCGTGACATTCCCTATCTGACAAAATTGCGCACCAATGTCGTCCGTACCTACGCCGTCGACCCCAGCAAGAACCACGATGAGTGTATGAATGCCCTCGCCGATGCCGGTATCTACTTGATCACCGATCTATCCTCGCCTGGCGAGTCCATCGAGTCAAACAACCCTAGTTGGAACGCGGATCTCTTCACTCGTTACTCTGAGGTCGTCGATGCTTTTGCCAAGTACCCTAACGTCATTGGATTCTTTGCTGGAAACGAGGTTGCCAACAGGGTCAACAACACCAACTCCATGGCCTACGTCAAGGCCGCCGTCCGTGATATGAAGTCCTACATCAAGCAGAAGGACTACCGTTCTTCCCTTGCCGTCGGTTATGCCACTGATGACGATGCTACCGTCCGTGAGGCCGTCTCCAACTATCTGATTTGCGACGATTCCTCGGACTCGATTGACTTCTTCGGCTACAACATCTACGAGTGGTGCGGTGACTCCACCTTCCAGAAGTCCGGCTATGCCGAGCGCACCAAGGAGTTCGAGGACTACCCCGTTCCCGCATTCTTCTCCGAATATGGCTGCAATGAAGTCCGTCCCCGCAAGTTCTCCGATGTCCCCGTCTTGTACAGCGACAAGATGACCGACGTCTGGTCCGGTGGTATCGTCTATATGTACTACGAGGAGGCCAACAAGTACGGCCTGGTTTCCGCTGACGGCGACGAAGTCTCGACCCTCCCCGATTTCAGCAACCTCTCCAAGCAGATGGCTTCCGTCACTCCCACCGGTGTCAACTCCGACAAGTACTCCGTCACCACCACTGTCGGCCGCAGCTGCCCCACTATCGGCTCGGACTGGCACGCCGCTAGCAAGCTGCCCCCCTCCCCCAACGCCGAGCTGTGCGAGTGCATGTACGCCTCCCTCGAATGTGTGCCCAACAAGGATATCTCCGGCAAGGAGATCTCCAACACCTTCTCCTACCTTGGTGGTGAGGACGGTATCATGGACGGTGTCGGGTCGAACGCCACCTCCGGCAAGTACGGTGCCTACTCCATGTGCTCTACCAAGCAGCGTCTTGCCTGGGCCATGAACGTCTACTACCAGAAGAACAAGGGCAAGGCTGCTGAGAAGGCTTGCGACTTCGACGGTGTTGCCTCCACCCAGAAGAGCAGCTCCGCCTCCGGCTCCTGCGCTACCCAGATGAAGGCCGCCGGCTCTGCCGGCACTGGCACCATCTCCGGTGGCTCCCTTGCTGCCAGCACTGGTGCTGGTGCCTCTGGCACCGGCGGTGCTACTTCCTCCGGTGTTGCTGTTGGCACTGTTCCCAAGGCCGTCCACATTGGTGCCTGGCAGGCTGGTGCCTACGCAGTCGCTGCCATTGCCTCCGGTGCCTTTATGATCATGCTGTAAAATTGTTGAACAATTTGTTTACATCTTCATGACATAGACTAGCCCTCTTTTCCTTTATTGGCTCTACCATAGGCCCTGACTTCTGTTGGAGCGCCCTGTTTGTAACATTTTTCATACATACTTCCTTTTTTGACCAGTTAGCAGGTGTTCATCTATTCTCCCGGATATTAAAAGTCCACTGCTAATATCATCTCGATAAATCTTACTTGACCTTAACTTGAATTTTAAGAGTAACTACCCAATCCATATGAATTACTTGGTTCTTCGCACACCTAGCACATTTTCTTTCGTCTCGGTCCGCGTCCTCCCATTAAATACTAAGAGAGCCATGGTGTAGGCAGTGACGAAAGATCCTTACATATGCATGCATTGCCTTCGATCTTGTGGAGTCACATCCACCTTGGCAGTCCTTAATTCGAGTCCAAGGGAATGAAAAAATAGTTCACAATGTATCCTAGCCTTTGTTTGAAATTGTTCCTTTCTGGAACCGAACATATTTACATAGTCATAATGCAGCCTATGGTGAAAGTGTCAATATATCACCCAGTTATCTACCTATACGGATATAAGCATTTGACAAGATGGTAGAGACACGAAAATGTTAAGACTATAACTACAAGATAAGTAGCTTCCTGATGATAATGATACAGGAACCTCCTCGGAGCTAATTTAAAAGATAGTATGAACAGCCATAGCTTGTGTCAACTCACACCTACGTATATCCTAGGAACCTGATTTGGTATCACGTCTCCGTGATTTTGGAAGTGAAAGGTCAGGTGCAGTCTCTCCAAATTCGCTGCAAGTCGCTTTCTCTTTTTCTTCACTTTTGTTTGTCTTTGCCGTTACTTTTCATCCAGTTGATAGGAGCAGTACGTTCCTCTTCGTCGCAACTTCAACCGTCTCTATCTCTCGTCCATCCCAACAACAATGGAGGCCATCAAAGCAGCTTTTGCGAGATGCAGCACCGAAGGCCGAGCTGCCCTGATCACATATGTGATGGCTGGCTACCCCTCTGTTGACAAAACGCTGGAGATCGTGATGTCCATGCAAGCCGGTGGTGCAGGTACGTTTCATGCCCAGATTCACTCTCCATTGAAATTTAAACAATAGGCCCTTCCGTTTCAAAACAACCTTTTATTTACAGACTGAATCAGATATCATCAAGCTTGGAGTCCCATTCACTGACCCCATGCTCGATGAACCAACCATCCAACGAGCCAACGCCAAAGCCCTTGAGAATGGCGTCCGCATCCCTGCCATACTGCAAATGGTCAAGTCTGCTCGGAAGCAGGGTCTTAATGTGCCTGTGCTTCTCGTGGGGTATTACAACCCTGTTTGTGCATATGCGTACGGCGAGGAGAAGATGCTACGCGACTGCCAAGCTGCTGGCGTAGATGGGTTCATCATTCTTGACCTTCCCCCCGAAGAAGCAGTGCGGTTCCGTAATTTGTGCACTGATAAAGGGTCCGTATACTTCGTCTCAGTCGTAGCACGACAATCAGTATTCGACTAACCTCCAATCCAGCCTCTCGTATATCCCTGTTGTCGCCCCTTCCACTCCGGACGCCCGTGTGCAGATGCTTTGCAGCACCGCTGACTCCTTTGTCTATATTGTTTCTCAGGTCGGGATTAATGGTATCTCTGACGATCTGCATGGGAATTTAGTCCGGCTGCTTGATGGTGTACACACATGCACTGGAAAATCAATTCCAGCAGCTGTTGGATTCGGTATCAGCACCCGTGAACAGTTTGCTGAAGCGTCTCGTCTCGCTGAAGGAGTCGTCATTAACAGCTCGATTGTCTCCATCTTGGAGAATTCGTCTTCTGGGACGGGTGCTCATAACGTCAAGGAGTATTGTCTCCAAGTTGCCGGTCGCACTGAGGATCAAATCATCATCCCAGAAAGAAAGATTCAAGTTGCCCAACTCATGTCACCCACTACTATCTACATCGGATCCAACGATGGAGCCAACGACACACCCGAAGATAAGAACAAAGCCACCAGCGCCCGCTTCGGATCCTTCAGTGGCCAATACGTCCCCGAATTCTTGATCGAATGTCTCGCCGAGCTGGAAACCGGTTTCACGGCAGCAAATGCCGACCCGACATTCTGGGCTGAGATAGCCTCCTACGCATCCTACACCAACAGACCCTCTGCCCTACACCTCGCCCCACGCCTGACCGAACACGCCGGCGGAGCACGCATCTGGCTGAAACGCGAAGACCTAAACCACACCGGCAGCCACAAGATCAACAACGCGCTAGGCCAAATCATCCTCGCCCGCCGACTCGGCAAAACCTCTATAATCGCCGAAACAGGCACAGGCCAGCACGGCGTTGCAACAGCCACACTCTGCGCCCAGTTCGGCATGAAATGCACGATCTTCATGGGTTCCTCGGATGTCGAGCGTCAGTCCACGGACGTCTTCCAGATGCGCATTCTCGGCGCAACAGTCATTTCCGTTGACGGCGTAGCCGGCGAGAAGGGCACGCTCCGCAATGCAATCAACGAAGCGTTCCGCACCTGGGCGGCTGATATAAAAGAGACACATTTCGTGATCGGCTCTGCGTTCGGCCCCCATCCGTTCCCGACTATCGTGCGCACGTTCCAGGCTGTCATTGGCTCCGAAACACGTGCGGAGTTCCGTGCGATGAACGCGGATAAACTCCCCGATGCGGTAGTTGCTTGTGTTGGCGGTGGATCAAATGCTGTAGGCATGTTCCATGCTTTCCTGGAGGATTCCGCTGTCGCTCTTGTTGGTGTTGAGGCGGGTGGTGACGGACATTTGGCGGGTCAGCATTCTGCTTCGCTGGGTCGTGGATCTGTTGGTGTTCTGCACGGAGGGCAGAGTTATGGGCTCCAAGATGAGAATGGGCAGAGCGCCAGGACACATTCTGTTTCTGCTGGTCTTGATTATCCTGGCGTTGGGCCTGAATTGGCCAGTTGGAGGGAGTCTGGTCGTGCTAAGTTTATCTCCGCTACTAATACTGAGGCTCTGGGTGCGTTCTCTCTACTCAGTCGCATGGAGGGTATTACGCCTGCTTTGGAGAGTGCCCATGCTATTGCTGGCGCTGTCCGTGTTGCAAAGGACTTGGGGCCTGGTCGGGATGTTATTGTTTGTCTTAGTGGACGTGGTGATAAGGATGTTCAGACTGTTGCTGATACTCTACCTACTCTTGGAGAGGAAGAGGTTTAATTGTTTTCTTTGGTGTACCAAATACCTTCTGCAGAGCCCGTGATCGGTACTTGTGGATGTTTCCAAGTTTAGTCGGGCAGATAACTATGTATGAATACTGAGTTTGTCTTCGCGCTTTACTAACCTATAAGCCCTCGCACTGTTTATGACAATACTTCTGTAGATACAGCCGAAGAAGCGGGGTTGAGACACATTGTCTGAATACCATGTTGCTCCTTTCCGTTTTCCAAGTCCTACGATGCCAGCCAGTATAATTTCATGATTGTTTGTCCATAGTGAATGACTTATAGCGAGAAGGCTCGGCTTATCTTTGATATACAGGTATAGTTTTATTATTTCCCAGACTTCCTGAATCGAGCTTGGGGGCCTGATTTCTACTGCTCAGTGTCCATAGCTTCTCCCTCAGCTAAACTACAACCCCCCAAGTTTCACAATCAGGAGGGAGAGGGTCATATTGGGAAACTAAGGCTTCCTAGCAACTACAGAAGTTACGGAGAATGCTAATTGAAAAATATACGCAATGAACAAAGCAATGGTGGATGAATTAAAACGAAGAATTACAAATACAAGTTGAAGGAAAGTAGGTAACCCCACATGCCTTCAGATCACCCAGCAGAAAACAAGAGAAAAATATCCTCATCACCATTAAAATTAGAAACCGTTCCTTCAGGTAGCAATAGGAAGAAGAGCGAGAAAACAAACTAAGAAAAAAACGCAGATACCTCTTTCGCCATGCGGTCGAGATCGAACTCATCCCGGTGCATCAGCCAGTTGTAAGCCACGATTCTGATCAGCTGGCCCTGTGCATCATTGAAATGGACACCAACATGGCCTGCTCTTGGGAGGTTCAACAGAAATTCTAGATTGCGGCCGTCTAACAGTTTCTCACCCACAGGCAGCACGAGTTCTCCGTAGTGACCCACTAGTGCTTGATCTGCTATTTCCGTGTCAACCATATCCGTGATTAGTCCCTGTCTAGCCAGATGTTCAAGTAACTGGTCTACTCGTTGTATCCGGGCTGTTTGCCAGGCAATAGTGGCTATGACCTGATCTTTCAGATCTGGAGGCCCACGACCCTCAAGGGCGACCTGACAGGCACTTACCAGGGTGGAATGGCTGACCGAACTCTTCAGTGGCCCGAGTACGGGCGACTAAGTATGCCTCCCCGAGGTCTTTCAGGTAGTTTTCTATAACTATAGATTTCATGTCGGTACCCGTGCCATCTCTCACCGGGCTATCTTCCGCTAACGCCTGCGCCGGTTCTCGTTCAGAGCTTGCCAAGTGACGAAGTCTTCTCCAAAAGCCTCGGGTAGAAGCGCGCGACTGCAAGACTGACTCATGACGATCTTGCACAGAAGCCACATTCATAGTTGCGGTTGCAATCCTCGGTGTGAGTATAAAGTGTGAAATGTTATGCGAGAGAAGAGCGCGGGCGGAGGGGATCACTAGCGGGTGGAGGTCTTTTAGTCAGGCTCAACATACATCATCTCGTCGACTATACGACCGCCGACAAGTAGCGAGCAGCAATTACGTTTGTTGACATCGACATAACGTGACACCCCGTGATTCCGCTCAACCATGGCACCACTGACCCTGAATTGACGCTTCGCTAAACTCAATCTCGACGGCATTTTATCGAAAACAGCCCTAGACCTTACTGTCACTAGGGAGCGTTGAGGATTGCTGTGCAGAGGACAAAAAAACAAAAACATACAACAGTGAGGATTCGCTGGTGGTCACCCACCCAACTACTAACTCACCGGCGTGTGGCTTGAGTACGGCTGAGCGGACGGGAAGCCCTATTTTCCACACCCTATGGTCGTATGTATTAGATGCCACACTAGTTAGGATCATATTATGAGTCTCTAGAAGGGGTTACAGGGTGCAAATTAAGGTATGCTTACCCGTAAATTATGCCACGGCACTAAAAATTTCAGCTCAGCCCTAGCTACATAATATAAATTACAGGGTTCTACATGTGCCATTCTTCAACGCCTTCTTTTAAAACATACCGCTATCAGCACCTACAACACCTGTTTTCGAAACACTCAGCCTTGCTCCCATAGGAACAGGTGAACAAAAGAGAGAATGCAAAAACATACAACAGTGAGGATTCGCTGGTGGTCACCCACCCAACTACTAACTCACCGGCGTGTGGCTTAAGTACGGCTGAGCGGACGGGAAGCCCTGTTTTCCACACCCTATGGTCGTATGTACAGGGAGAACAAAAGAAGAGAAATATAATGTGCGATTGATTGAAAAGAATGGGTTGTCCCCAAATGCTATCATAAAATCAACAGGGTGCCTTACATATGTGGTGTGCATCTTCCTATGTAGTTATTTCCTCTTGACCTGATTCCCATCAGTAGACCTTCTTATTGTCGTGCCGATGATAATGCATTCGATAAATATGATGGAGAGCTAGGTGGACTTGGATTATATGCGTATTTGATGCTCTGATCCAGTCGCAAAAAAGTTGATTATACACATCAAAGACGTTATACACATCAAAGACCCTCTTGAAAAGGCTTCGCTATTACTGTATATGTAGATATTGTATTTGGAAAGCCCTGGACCCAGGCAAAACAAAGTCACAATAGGAAGTACCGCGATCTGATTGCGCTTCACCTCCCAGATATACGCGCGAAGGAAGTACAATCTCATAATATCAGACCTCGGTCGTACGAAGCGTCATGCCCGATTAACATTTTGTATTATACTAAATATGTAAGATTCATTTGGACTATATGAGCCACAACATAGACCAACACCACCAAGTCCGATAACAAAATATGCAAGTCCTTCGGTCTCCCAATATACACTCCGCTAGCAGTCAGACAACATCTCGTCCCAATCAAATCAAAATTTGGCAGGCCCGCTTCGAGAAGTGAGATCCATTTATACATGTAGTGAGGTAATTCCATCTATCATCTATCTCTATGTGGTGTTTTTCGCGTAGATATAATCACTCCACCGCGACGCATGCAAAGAAAACGTAAAAGATCGCTCGCAGACGCAGGTGTAACTTTTTTCGACGAAAACAACAGCAATTACTCGACATACTTGGGAAGCGTTTTCAGAACGCCGTCCCGAGTGATGTCTTCCATGGCTCTGGTGATCTCCCGAATGAACCGCTTGTCGTTGCGCAAGTCGTCACCGAAGAGGTTCTTAATGCTGAGCAGCTGAGCGGGGTTGGCACCGCCGGCATGAGCCTTGGCCTGGAGCTCTTCGCGCATGGGGTCGTCGACAGCGAACTTGTTGCCGCTGTCGTCGACACCCTTCAGGTAACAGAACCAAGCGGCCGCGACAAAGCACAGGCGGCGGAACGGACCAGTGACCCAGATAGCCTCGGCAATGGAGGGCATGATGAACTGAGGGATCTTGCCAGAAGCATTGAGACAGATGCGAGGCAGCTGGTCCATTATTGTGGGGTTGGAGAAACGCTCCATAAGCGTCTTGCAGTACTCGTCAATGTTGACGCCCGGAATATCCGGCAGGAGCGGCTTGACCTCGTCCTGCATCATCTGCCACACCAATTTATTGAATAGTGGGTTCTCCATCACCTCGTGAACATATTTGAAGCCTGCCATCTGTCCTGGGTAGCCAATGGCAGAGTGGCTGCCATTGAGCAGACGTAGCTTGTGCTTCTCGAACTGCTCTACGTCGTGCACGTTCTTGACAACCTGCACGCCGACCTTCTCGAATGGTGGGCGGCCATCGGAGAACTGGTCTTCGATAACCCACTGCATGAAGGGCTCCGTGACCACTGGCCATGCGTCCTCGATGCTAAAGTTATCTGCGAGTGCCGTCTTGTCCGCGGCTGAGGTCTGAGGTGTGATACGGTCGACCATGGCGTTGGGGAAAGCGCCCTGCTCGGTGATCCACTTGGCGACCTCTGGGTTGCGGAGGCGCGCAAACGAGTCAAGCATGTGGCGTGTGATCGATCCGTTCTTCTGCATATTATCGCACGACATGACAGTGAAGGGTTTGAGTCCCCGCTGGTGACGCCGGGCCAGAGCAGCATAGAGGAAACCGAATGTGGTCCGCGGCGTCTTCTCGTTGGCTGGGTCGAGGTCGAACTGGATATCTGGGTGCTCGCTTTGTAGCTCGTGTGTGTTTTCGTTATAGTAGTAGCCGCTCTCGGTGATGGTAAGCGACACAATGTGAGTATCGGGGTGCGCCATCTTGGCAATGACAGCTTCGCGGTTATCGGGGGCGAAGAGATAGGAGTTGATGCAGCCAACAACGTGGGCAAAGCTTCCCTTGGCTGAACGCTCAATGACAGTGTAGAGGTGGTCCTGCTTCCTCAGGACGTCACGCATGGTGGCGTCGAAGGGTTGCAGGCCAACGCCGCAAATTGCATAGTCCTTAACACCATGCTTCTGCATCAACTGGTCGACGTAGACAGCCAGATGAGCTCTGTGGAAGCCGCCAACGCCAACATGGACAATTCCCTCCTTGACAGCGCGATCGCGCTTGTAGGTAGGGACCTGGACCTGCCCGTCGCCCGCCGCTGCAATTTGAGATAGGTTCTTGCTGTTTAGCTTGAGAGGTGCCATTATGGTTGAAGAGATTGAGTGAATGGCAAGGGGATTTGAGAAAGATGAAAGTTCTGCGTCCAGATCAGCGTGCTGGGGTCACCGCTGCTTTTGACCGCTGATCCGGGACGTGTTCAGGGAGCATATTACATCATGTGGCCTCCAGCCGCCACCCTTGAATAGTTTCTCCACTCAGACAACTCCTGAAAGCCATTGAGAATCCTTTGCCTCCCTGATTAGCCCTGGTGAAAGTTGTGGAGATCAAATGACTGTCAGGTTTTTTTTTCCAGGGAGAGTTCTGACCGTCTCGCTTAATATACCTTGTAGCTCCAAATATAGTCCTGCGTCAGAGCTGCTTCCGAGCCGAGAACTTTTTTTTTCCCCTTTTGCCTCCGATAGACCGATCACATTCGGGAACCCCTGCATATGTTGTGCTCTGCTTCTCCTTATGATCCAAATCTGCAAAGAGTTTTCTTGTGAAGAGATAGGAACTCAGTGCTCCGAACTACAACCATTTTACCCCGACTCTGAGGTCAGGGAAGCTAAGCTGGGAAAGCCCCACCCGAGGTAATCCGGTCTAGAGTTGCCCTTTTGTTGGTTCTTTCTCTGTTGAAATCTGAAAGGCTTTGATATCCTATAACTCGGTCGCAACCTACATCAATTGGTAAGATGGCCGAGTTGGTCCAAGGCGCCAGGTTAAGGTATACCTTAACTCTACAACTAGCAATAGTTTCCTGGTCTCGAAAGGGGCGTGGGTTCGAATCCCACTCTTATCATTTCTTTTTTGAGCTTTTCTAGGTCCTTTGTTTTTGGCCAAAGATTGTCTTATTGTCTTATACGCATGCATCCAGCGTTCAAATAGCCGGAAACGGTAGCAAATTTATGTATGTTCCTGGGGGAATGCGGAACAAGGGGGTCTTTCCTAAGGCTAGCGCCAAGACACTTCCCAGAGGTTTTCGTGAGAGAATTTCTTTGGCTCAAAAAACAAGAGGATACAATGCGATCAAAAATACGGAGTAGAGATTTGCCAATCTGTACGTGCGAAGAAAATGGACTGTGATTGGCAGTTGTTGGATATCAGCTTAGATGGTTTACGGAGTACTCCGTACTGTCGGATGGCAAACTCCCAATAAATATCAGTTATGCCCATGGCCCAAAAAGGCCATGCGAGGGACAAAGCAATCGGGTGAAGGATGAATACGCCACAGGGATCTTTTCTAATTAATACTTTATGATATACGGACTACTCCGTACATGGCGCATAGCCAAAAACAAGCATGGAAGCCGGGGCCTTAGCGCAGCCTTTAGGGTTTGTATGGCAGGGAATACGGAGTGCGATCAATATACGCTAGTCGATTGCCTATAATCCGTCATCTCGAGGGAAATAATGGTGCTCAATACACTGCTTTTCTGACGTCCAAAGAAGGCTCAATTTGTCAAATGTGTCTGCTTTCTCTTGAAATAACCAATGCCATAGGTCTGGTCCTCAATGCTTACTTTGAAACGGGCTTGTAATGATTTCAATAAATCGGATGGGTTTTATGGCACATTCAGAATCAAATATGGCTACTACGCATTAGGTATCATCAACATTCTCCTACAATGAAGTTCAATCTATAGGACGCAAAGAACACAAAGTATAGCTCTCTATGGGGTCAAAGAAGCGCTCGCGCGATATACTTGAAAAACTCTTTTTTCATATTGCTTGTAGTCTACCGAATATATTTCTCTTCCTTAGTTCTCCCTGTACATACGACCATAGGGTGTGGAAAACAGGGCTTCCCGTCCGCTCAGCCGTACTTAAGCCACACGCCGGTGAGTTAGTAGTTGGGTGGGTGACCACCAGCGAATCCTCACTGTTGTATGTTTTTACTTTTTCGCTACTCTTTTTGATGATTTAGAAGAGCACGCAAATTGCACATAAGAGTTCGATCCAGTGAAAGTAGGTGGTGTGTAAAGCTAGCTAACAATACATTTTGGGACGGCAACCAGCCGATTCTGAGATATGCAGGGCTCAAGTGCAGTATCAGCGGGAGAAAACTCCCATAATAATACAAATAAGAAGTAATGGCCACTCAAAAGAAGCAAAAGACAGGGTCACAATCGAAAGGAAACTACCCGCCTTCTCCACCCGTGATCAAACTTGAACTAAAGATTCGTCTCATCTCGTACGATGTCGGGATCAAAGTGTTTGTGGCAACTGGCACGGCAACTTCGAAATCGACAAGAGTCACAGCCCGGGTCTCTCTTGAATAAAGAACATTGTGCTGACCAGGATCGTCAAGACGAATCGAGATTGCGCGAAGCGCGCGAATGGCCTTTAAACATTCCTCCTCAATATGTGCTCGCTCGGCCGCACTGAGAACTGACCATATATCCGAGAGTCGCTCTCCCGCGCGGTGTTCCAAGATGACCACCCAGCCAGTCGGAAACAGACTTGAGCACATTACTTTCCCTCTTGCGATGCACTTGGCGAAAAGGTACGAGGCAGACGAGTCAGACGATTCCAGGCGCTGATATACTGCGGCTTCAGTTTCGAAACTGAACAAAGGCCATTAGTCAAAGCGAGTAATAACTAGAGCAGGGCGTAACTCACAGTTCGTCCATATCTGGCACCCAGCATTTCAGTACACACCGTACTCCGTTAATTTCCGCCAACCAAACCGACTTTCCCTGAGTATCGCGGAGTGACATTTGCTCCATGCAGTTGACAATCACGGGTGTTGTGGTGCCACATTCAACAATCACGCTGGTTGATGTGATAGTCGGCGGCGTGCTTGGGGGCGGTAGGTCTTGCGGACGAAGGACCCAAAGCCTTTCTGAAGTCCGAGGTCCAGGAATCCCTCTCAACTGTAATATATATTAGCAGCTTGCCGCATATCTTGATTTCATCAAGGCAGGCACTCACTCTTGTCGCCACATCAGGGCCACTTTCGTGATAGTTTGGATCTATTCTCGACAGAAGACAAAACCCAACGAACATTTCTCGCAGCGAGGGGCCTTGACAATCAAACGCCATTGGCCGGGAGAGGAGGTACGAGAAGTCATTGACTCTCTGGACAAATACGGTGACGTTGTAGGTAGTCAGGAAGGCGTACTTGACTTCGGCCATCCGCATTTGGCTTGCGACTTGTCCTAGAAGTGAAAAAAGGTCAGCTAATATTGATTGACAATCTAAATTGGTGATGAGAGTGTACCTATTAGATTTTCCAAACGAAGATCCGGGTTTGGGCGAGTGATGTCCATCTGATGTAATCCCACTGTCCACGGTGTCTTGAACTCGCCGACCATAGAAATGCGGGCAAGGGAATCAAGGGGTTCTGGTTGCGCCACGAGGCCAAAAGCGACATCGGGAATAACTGTGCCATGCACGGTGAGAGCTTGGATATCGGCGAATCGCGTGGAGGACATTTCAGGTAGCGGTATCAAGGCTTCAATCACAGGGTCGCAAAGGTTTCGTACGAATCTGCCAGAGAGACCAAGTTCACTGCCCACAACATAATTCTCAGATTCGTTGTGTACGGGGACTTGATGTGTGATTGCCGCCGCGTGAAACATGGCCATCACGTCTTGCACAAACGAGACCCAGTGACCCATGTATCCCAACGCCACACGGTCAGTGTGTACGGAAGGGTGTAAAGTACCTCCATTGCGTTCCAAGGGGGGCAGGGGACGAGCTAGCTGCGATCGTGCGGGTTCCATGTTGCCATCAAATCAAGATGAGTATGAGGGGTGATGGGTAAGAGTGGAGAAGGTTGGGGCGGCCGAGGCCCAGCGGACTAGGTAGGTAGGTACCTAATGTACCCGAAAGCTTAATTCAGACGGTCAGCGCTGTGACATTATTTGCGGGTAAAGCTCGCCCTAACCTTGTGGCTTGCACCTTTAAATCTCTTCTAAACCTTTGCAATATGATCCTAGCCATCACACCAACAAATACATACGACCATAGGGTGTGGAAAATAGGGCTTCCCGTCCGCTCAGCCGTACTCAAGCCACACGCCGGTGAGTTAGTAGTTGGGTGGGTGACCACCAGCGAATCCTCACTGCTGTATGTTTTTGCTTTTGGTGCAGTGAGTGATGGCAGTGATAACTTGGGTGAAGTGTTTTTGGTTTTATTTTTATTTTTATTTTTATGATGTCTTATTCGTATATACATAGCACATGTTAACGGTAGAGGATAGATTGGAGGATAGATAGCCAGCCAGATGTCTGGGTATATACATCCGTATGTAGTAAACATGCCAACGCTTCGCTGCCAGAAAATGATAGTAGCAGGAACATACCTTGGGTTCCAAGACCCTTTGCACTTGCTCTTACTTACCTACATATATAATAACATCCTGACAAAGGAAGGGTACATGGGTGCATATAACGTATTGAGAAGATGAAATGGCTAATCGGGGGTATTGGAGTTGGCACGACCGGCCTATTACTTCAATTTTTGCATACGGTATGCACATTGGTCTCAGCAGGAAGTATTACCGTATATACATGTGTCGTGTAACCAACCATGTTCCAAGACATCCTGGCTTTTTTTCCCGTGGTATATATCTATCCATACATCTCCAGATGTATGCCGGTTTGAATATCAAAACCAAAGAGGTGCCCTAAGAGCAAATAGAGATATACCACGACGAGGAATCGCTGGTGATCACCATTCAACTAACCCACCAGTGTCGCTCGGGTGGCTCAAGTCTAGTTAAGTAGGCGGGAAGAAGCCTTGTTCCCGGTTTTTCACGGTTGGGCTATATGATAGAATGCATTAGATAGGTGAAACTTTCCAGCAGAACGCAAACAATTATATGGAAGTAATTATGTGCATCTCAGTATGGCGTATCTCAACGAGGTTCTGGCCTTTACTTTTCTTTTTTCATTCCCTGTGCTCTCTCCACCAGTTCTCTCTAGAAAGCCAATAAGCAGTAGTCCGGGTGCCACCATTACCGACAGTACATTTGGAATGTGAAAACGTAAATGGAAACCTTGATCAATCAGATTGAGTCCGAGTGACCATGACACTAGATAAACACTAGTTTTGAACACGCAAGCCTGACCTAGGCTCGGTGAAAGTCGACTCATGGATCATATACGAGATAATTCTGCCCAGGAGGTTAGCATGTCTGTAATGTACCGATTCAGTCGGCGGGTTGCATACGAGTCTGTTTGACGACCACCACCGTATGGCTTATGCAACCCAGGCCCACGGAACACCATCAAGGTAGGGTAGGCAGAAATATCATATTCAGCACATAGATCCTCCTCCCACGTACAGTCCACGTTGACCAGGGGAATATTGTCATTTTTCAGCTCCGTAGCTGCCTCCGCGAAATTAGGAGCCAACATCCGGGAGTAACGACACCATGGCGCATAAAAGTTAGCCAAAACCAAGTCATGCTCCTCCATAAAATCTTCAAAAGTGTCCTCGGTCAGAGACACGACTTCCGAGGCCGCTGGACCGACATAAGCAAAAGAAGCTGTGGTGGCTCCGAGGAGGCCTAGAAGATAAGGGGCGAACGATCGCATATTGGCAGAGTGATGCAGGAACTAGGCAATATCAGAAGATTAGCGATATGCCAGAAGAGTGAATTTGAAAAGAGAGCCCAGACGTGGAACGAGATGTGGAAGATTTACCAAGGCTTCTGATATGAGATTGTGGAGGAAAAAGAGGCTCTAACTGAGCGATAAGAGGGGAAGCTGGTTTTTCTTTTAGCGCCGCATGATCCTGGTTGCTGCCTTGACTGTTCTGCGGAATACTCCGTATGCGTATGCTTCGCCACCTTCTTCGCCCCAATCGAGGTCGGCTGCACGGAGTACTCCGTACGGAGTATGTTATCTGTGGCTTTCCCTTTGTGCTATTGAACCTATCCAAGAAGCCATGCGCGCGTGGGGATTATGAAGCCTCTGGGTGTCAACTAGCGTATTGAAGACCAGCGGGCAGTGGATTGCTAGAGGGACCAGAGGGGTAATTAGTGGGGACCTGGTGCTCGCTGTAGTTAGCCCCCGATCTGGTATTGACCATGCGCTTTACAACATCGTGTTCGCCCCCTTTTCTCCTGGAGAGAAGCCTGAGACTGTGTGTAGGGGCCAAGGAACAGACCTTACAAGTGTTTCAAGTCTAACATGTAATCCAATCATATCACGGTATCATCCGAGGCTGATTCTTGCCCAATTTTCACACTAGCTACGGAGTATTGCGCACTCACATTTCTCGTATAGAGCGAGATTCTGAACATTTAGAAGCCTCTCCTATTTATTAAAAACTACATACGACTATAGGGTATGGAAAATAGGGCTTCCTGTCCGCTTAGCCGTACTTAAGTCACACGCCGGTAAGTTAGTAGTTAGGTGGGTAACCACCAGCGAATCCTCACTGTTGTATGTTTTTGTTTTCCTCCTTGATATCTTACTACGGAAGGGTGAGTGTATTGAAATTACGGTGTTAAAGGCTATTTTTGTTTATAGATGGGGAGGTAGATATGATTTGCGGGTCAGCTTACCCTAATTTGCACCCTATAACCTCTTTTCTACATTTACAATAACACCTTGACCAACGTATCCACAAGCACATACGACCATAGGGTGTGGAAAATAGGGCTTCCCGTCCGCTCAGCCGTACTCAAGCCACACGCCGGTGAGTTAGTAGTTGGGTGGGTGACCACCAGCGAATCCTCACTGTTGTATGTTTTTTGTTCACCCGTTTTTTTTTGATTCGTTCGCAAATCCCCTCTTACCGCCCTACTCTTCAGCCCATTCAGCCCATTCACCTGAATGCCCTGAACACCACTATACTACACCTGAATATCCTGCACGCCCCTTTACTGCTGATGTCTCCTTCCCTTCCCGTACTGATTTTTTCTCACACATGTTGCTTTGATCACAACAGGCTGTTTCTCGAAACGCATAGGTCACAAATATGAATGTGCAAATGCTAAGGGAATCTCTCCTTGACCGGCTAACCCCCGGGCTTCTTGCTCATTGACACCGGGAAGCATATCCCGTGCATATTACTTTACCTCATCAGAGACACGCGGATTACTTATAGCGCTAGACAAGCTCGTTAGTCGCTATCTTTCATGTTTAATATAAAGCCTAGTGAGATAGCAATTTATATAACCGTGACCTCATAACGCGGCGACGAGAGTGATCTCACTACGTACAAGGTTGATCAATACTTAGAGCCTCATGGAGTTTACTCAGGCTAGACACTAGCATATATATGCGATCAGTGGATAAATGGTTTTAACACATCACCAGTTCAACGACACCGTAAAACTTCAATCCAGGGTCGAATATACAAACTATATAATTCCCCCAAATTGACAATCGTTGAAATCATAGTTTGCCACTTAGACGCCAGCTGAAAACGTCATCACTACGTGGCAGGTATTACTCATTTCTAGTGTAAGATAGTGATATAGATAGATTGCTGATATAGAGGTTATGTATAGTCCTCAGGGACAAAAGCCTCTGTGAAACAAACGTAGCTACCGCCTATGTTCGTTCAGAGCTTCTTGCTAGCCTGCACCAGCCCATAGAAGCAGCTGATGTTGCCCGACCACCAAGCGACCGAGCGCAGATAACTCCACGAATTTGACTCAATGTGGGAGTATAGCAGGCTGTATACCAGACGCGAAACCGAATACTAAGCGCCGATGGTATTAATCGTTTCGTTGGGGAGACCAACATATAACGATATGGATCAGTACATATAGTCCTACCAATGCAAGATTGAAGTCATCAACCCGAACCACCCTAGGATCAGTACTTACTCGCCGCAACAAACAAGGGGTATCCCTCCTATGCGCTCGCATGTGCTGACTCCTGTCGCTTCAGCTTCTCCAGGGCGCGACGAGTAATCTTGCCCGACTGCACCGCGGCCTCGCCATACTTGGTCAAGTCCTCCCGGGGATTGGCATTGTGGTCGATCCCCAAACGCGTCTTCGTGCCCCGGGTGCTCATTAAGCAGAAGGCAAAGACCCAGTTCGCGACCAGGAAGCCCGACGCGTGGTTTGCTGGCACCTGGCCGGGAGCAGCGCGGAGGCCGAGGGTTATCAGAAGCGGACTGTGGTGATTAGCTTGAATAATCCGAACCTGACTGACACTCACGAGATATTTATATATACTCTCCAAGGATTTGTTGTATAATGTACAATGTACGGAGGAGTTGTTCTCCTGTGTCGATCGGCACATGGTATCCCCCAACACCGAGAGCCCGAGGGATGAGATCATGTCGATCGTTATGCCTTGTTTTCGCTTTCTCTTTCACTTCGATGCGTTTCAACCGAGAGACCCGAGATCCGATTCCCTTTGATCATCCCCGCGGACATCTAGAGAACAGAGAGCTTCCAGGATCATCACTGCCATTGCTGAGTCTTGTTCTTCTTTTAGCTGCGTTTTGGCACATTAAACCATTTATAAGAGCACATTGCGCAGGTGTATAGCGGCCAGGGGTCAAAAACTAATATTTGTAATGTTGATGCCTTTTGATGCCTTTTGATGCCTTTTGATGTCTGAATCTTTGCCGGCAGAAAATATAAATACCTGAATTGCCATAACAGAGCCCTTGCATTTTTTAATTTTTCCCAAGGTCGACACTATTTGATGAGACCTACGAAGTGGGGCTCAGAAAGGGAGGAGGGAGAGAGTTATATTAGGAAGGAGACTCAGCTCCCGACTATCTAGCTAAGAAGGTGATGCCTGCACATCACGAGACCTCACGGGACTTCTGGTCTCAACACTATTGATGCCTTAGAAAATGGGCATTCAATTTGACGCCGTTCGCACTTATACAAATCCTGGAAGTCACTTCCTCTAGGCGTTGAAACTTCCACTATGTCATCGTCCCCCTCACTGCCCCTTTACCACTCTAACACGCTTACCCGCTAGGGGGTAGCGAAATGGTTGGTACTAGGGTTGTATATGGTTTAAAATTGCTGGGAATATGATCTGAGAGGCTTCAACGCCTAGAAGCGGGAGATTTTGGAGTTTTGTATGGTGGGAATAGCTTCAATATTGCCCGGCTTAGTGGTTCAATACGGGAGTTCATTTACAATACACTGTATAGAGCGGTGTCAAAAGCGGTATATAACCAGGCATCTTTAGGCATCAATATTTCTTGTAACAAGTTTCCGACCCCTAGCTGCTATACACCTTCGCAAGCACACGATATCAACTAGCATCATTGGTCTAGTGGTAGAATTCGTCGTTGCCATCGACGAGGCCCGTGTTCGATTCACGGATGATGCACATTTTTATTTGTTTTTATTCCTGTCCGATTCGTAGGACTAGAAGGAATCTTTTGCCAAAGGCTATCTGATCTATCTGGATTCTGGATTGAAGGATTGAAGGATTGCACGAAGAAATGTAGATGTGGGAAAGGTCCACAGGTCAAATTTCGTCTCCTTTCACTCCTCACTGATCTCCCACGCTACTACTATCGGCTTTTTAAGCCACGTTCGACCAATCCCGCTTTGAGGTTGAGGAGCACAAAAGATGCGGAGGGTACGGAGGGCGAAGAAGGTGCCAGTGAAAGTCACATTGCCACGGAGATTGTGGCTGAGAATCATAAGCTCTTCTTTCAACTCAAGACCTCCTTGAGGACGTGCCTAGGCAACCACATCGACCAACGTGAGCTCAAGAGAGCAACCGGCAAACTGGACAAGAGTAAACAATATAGGGCCGTCCAAATTTCAAAAAAAAAATGAGATTGTAGGTGGAACGATTCCTCCATCTTCAATTCGATGAGGATGATATGGAGATGAAGGACTTGTAGTCGCTCCACCTTCCCCACCTCAGTATGCAACCCAAGATACAGAGTCGAAGGGGCATATAGCTAATTGAATATAGTGGCCACACTGGCTGTCATTGAGAAGACCTGTGGTCGGTCCAGGACAAATGAAGCTAGTGCAAGATGGATTGTCGATTCACTCATTCTTAACGATTACAAAACTGCGACCTCGAACATTCAGAATGCACAGCCATTGAATGTTCAATGCGAGAGAGGTTACTAGTTCGGCCCCCTCACCCTCACCCGAGAGAGAGTGATGCTTTCTGGCAGGCCTGAGTATAGCGTTTGGTATGGGGAGAGGGAGGCCTTATGCCTCAAGGTCCTTATCGTTGAGGCGAAGGGCGGGGCCAGGGGGGATCATATTCCACAACTTCTTGGCTTTTTGGATATATGGGCATGTGTCTCGCTATGTGAACCGTATTTTATCTGAGGAAGCTTAATCGGCTTGCAAGGCTGTATTCACTGCGAGCGTACGGACCAGCAGAGGCGCAACTGCGGTGTATACGGCATGGCCTACACTGATTCCGGTTGGCATTTCTCAAACATCAGTCATGATTCTAAGGTGAGCTGACTTGTATCCGCCAAGGATGCTGTTCTGATATCTAGCAGTGGTCGGAATGGGTTGTCCTCGGTCGTCGAGGCGCTCTCGAGTGGCCGTTCAGCTTGCTCGTGTGGATGCTGCAGAGGGCTGCCGCCATCTCCCCTTTCTTATTTGAGATAGCTCTTATTGTGAGTTCATCATTGCTAGTTGCTTAATTCGCTCATACAACAAACCGTGGAGTCAATGTCCAGTCTGGACAAAATGAAACGTTCTAGAGTCCGTTGCAACCTCACATAATAGACAATTTCCTTTGTTTTCATTCTTGCGATGGTGACAGATGAAACCTTTTAGTTAGCCAATACGTAGTACAAAATTAGAAGTAGCACATTAGACTCACCCATTTATCCTAGTACTTCCGCAGTTGCCTCATCAGACCCCCTAAGCCTCTTACTCTGGGCTACAATGACGTTTGAAGCGGCTTCGCCTTCGTCTCCATACCACAAGCCACAAAGATGGGTATACTGATAAGTTGACAGCCTGGTGCTTGTATCGACCGGGTCCGAATGGCCATCTAGGCTCATTATGAATCTCCAGCAGTCTGTCCTTTTCGGACCCGAGTCCATTGCTATGTTGGATGCAAATAGAAGGAAGTTATTCATCCTCCGGCGCATACTCGCTTCAACGTTCAGTTCGTGCCTCAGAGCACCGTCGGTTATGGCGAGGGTTTTGACTTCATCAAATTAGCAAGACCCCCTTCTGCCATTCCTCTTACTTATTCAACAACTCGGACAGGGCCACCGTAGGGAAATCATTTAACATTACGGTTCATGAATACACCGTAGGCATTATTGATACAGCGATGTGGGACACAATCGACGAGTCTGTGGGCAAAATTGAGAAGACCAGAGTCTGCAGGTTTATGGCAAGGGAACATAGCATTGGGAAAGACCGGCGTTACTAATGATGTTGCTGGCTTGGTTGGATGCCTCGCCAGCAAGGACTCGGATGTACATATGTAGGTTCATGACAAAAGTACGAAGGCTCGATGCGCCACGAATCACCAAAACCCCTCAGTTGTTCCCCTCATCCTTTTGCTTACGACTGGGATCGTATTTGATTTCTTTCTTTCTTAGTTTGTCTTCAGTCGAGCAACCTGGACTCTGTGACGTTTTTATATCTCGATTTGCAGGCAGCCATGGTTCTATAGCTCTACCTTGTACACAACGATTCACTCTTCTTCCAAGTTGTCGCCAAAAGACGCACAAGACACGGTTTATACACTGTTGCACAGAGGTTGGAGTATTCTGTGGCCCTCTATCAAATCCGGTGTTTCCAGCGGACAAGATGGCGGTCAGCTTCGATGCTATCATCGTTGGGGCAGGCTTTGGGGGTATCTACATGTGCAAGAAGCTCGTGGACCAAGGCCTATCGGTCAAGTTGATTGAGGCAGCGCCAGATGTTGGAGGAACTTGGTATTGGAATCGGTACCCAGGGGCGATGTCGGAGTAAGTACTCGAATGTAAAATGAGAAACATTCAGTGACTGAAGATATAAGCACTCCCTCATTTCTTTTTCGTTATTCCTGGGATCTTGACGATCTTCGTCAGTACCCCTGGGCCCGGGAATATCTGAGGCAACCAGAGGTGCTCGCTTATCTGCAGCATGTGGTAAAGCGACATGATCTCCGCCGACATATGCAATTTAACAACGAGATGACAGGGGCTTCATGGGATGCAAGCCTTTCTCGCTGGACAGTTTCACTGTCCCCTGTAGCGGAGAGACCCCTCACCTGCCGCTTCCTCATCAGTGCTCTCGGGCTGCTCTCCAAACAGAATTATCCGGACATCCCCGGCTTGGACTCTTTCAGAGGTGAGATGTACCATAGTGGTAGCTGGCCTGCCTCGTACAATTTCGCGAACAAGAAAGTCGGAATCGTTGGCAGTGGATCCACCGGCGTTCAAATAATCACCGCATTGGCAGACGAGGTTGAACAACTGGTCTCATTCCAACGGCACCCCCAATACGTTGTGCCCGCAGCAGATCGAGAGACATCTGCCGATTCTTGGTGTAGTATTGCATGGGAGCAAACTTGGCAACAGGTGAAAGGCAGCATTTTGGGCTTTGGGTTTGAGGAGAGCGCCATTCCTACTTTCAGTGTCAGTCCCGAGGAGCGCCATAGGATCTTCGAAGAAGCCTGGGCGAAGGGAAACGGCTTCTATTTCATGTTCGGCACTTTTTGTGATATCACCTATAACGAACAAGCCAACAAAGAAGCCCAGGACTTTATGAGGAGCAAAATCCGCGAGAAGGTCAAGGATCCAGCCAAGGCGGAGAAGCTCCTTCCAAAAGACTGGTTTGCCCGTCGACCACTCTGTGATACAGGGTACTATGAGAAGTTCAACAAATCCAATGTGGATGTCGTCGATATCAACGCAAATCCGATATCCGAGATCACTCCCAAGGGCATCCGGACCCAAGATGGTGCCGAATGGGAATTTGATGTTATTATTTTGGCGACCGGGTTTGATGCTGTGGATGGTAACTACAAACATCTATCGATCACCGGTTCCCAGCGAACTCTGGAAGACACTTGGAGAGAAGGGCCAGAGTCATACCTCGGTATCTCGGTCTCCGGTTTCCCAAACCTGTTTATGATCACGGGTCCGAATAGTCCATTTACCAACCTGCCTCCTACAATTGAAACTCAAGTTGAGTTCATCTCCCAACTCATCTTGGAAGCTAATCAGTCCGCTTCAAGTAGCTCTCGGCAACCTTTGGTGGAGGCCGAACCCACGGCAGTTCTGGAATGGACCCGAATATGCGACGAATTAAGCATCAATAGTCTGTTCCGGAAGACGGATTCTTGGATCTTTGGTGCCAATGTTATCGGAAAGAAGCCATCGGTTCTGTTCTACTTTGGTGGTCTTGCAAATTATCGGAGGACTTTGCAGAATGTGATGGAAAATAACAACAGGGGATTCAAGCCCTTTGGGATCTGAATCTGACGAGGTTTTGTTTTGGAACTGCTCTTTGTGGATGCTGGATATTTGGATTCTTGTAATTAGCTTTTGAATTCAACGTGTTTCTATTTCATAGATGCATCTAGAGTAGATACAGCCCGTGGATGGAGTATGGAGTAGTGTAATATGGAGTAGACATGCGGCGGATGCCCAAAGGCGGTGTGTTGTCATCCCTCAGGAGGAACTATTATCGGACACCGCCCTTGAGCTTACGCTTACCCACTTAGGGTTAGTGCCTGAACTCTGATTGGCTTGTTGCTGACTAAGATCCGTTGTTCTTCCGTCTGCACTAAGCCCCTTTGGGCATGCGAGATGCTCCGCCAATCAAACGATGGCCCCTCGAGTCCTCGTCGACGCTTTGTTTGCGCAACACCGATCCATACAGTAGGGCAGACTCTGATCCTGCCGGAGTCCAATTAGAATGGCTCATGTCATCAGGAAGACAGAGCCAGATGGACCATTGGCAGAAGGCTTGTTTCCTTTCATATAGCCCCCTCATTCTCCTAATGAGCATACTGATGCCCAGATCAGATAGAAAAGCAGAACTAGGCTTTACAGCCCATATTCTTCATCCTGAACCCCCATGCCTTTGCAACATCATATTTCTAGAATGAACTGAGTGTAGATATCATACCCTTCAACAAGAGGATCATGAAGCAAGGTTTCAAATTTGACTTCTATATATGCAATCATGATCATATTGACATCCTAAAGAGAAGATTCAGAGAATGAAGTCAAGCAGAAATAGATAGACTGAGAACCTATGTTTCAATTGCTGCTGGCAAAATTTTAGATAGAGTTTTCCTCGTGATCATGATGTTTGAAGACATAGAAAGGGAAATGTTAAGTACCAAAACCATAAGAATAAGTCAGTGTCTGTAAGCCTTTTAATAGATAGCTTTTCATCCCCTTCGGTCAAGTACAATGAGACACACGTGCCCGTTGACATATATTCAACATCTACACAATTCGTTGATCTAAGAGTTCTTGATTACCTTCATACTCGTCCAGGATCAATTGGCCACCTTTATTCATCTACTACAAATTATTTCTCTCATTCTTCAACATAGCAAAGCAAAAGCCTTAACTAGTATGAGAACGAGCATGTTTGGTAAGCTTGTCCCAATATTTGTAAGACTTTCCACACTCCTCAACATGACCCCCTTCTTTCCAGGCACAGCGCGAGGGAGCAGCGAAGCAGAGTGAGACTCAATGCTTGTCTTGACATCCCTCTCTGCCAGGTGCGCGTAGGGGCATGCCGCCAGGCATACCGAGGGACCCAAGAGGGCCAGAAGGGAGAAAAAGAACATAATGTTCTGTACCGGGACCAATGCTTGGAAGTCTGAGTGAATCGAGTATGTCCCCCGGCCGATCACTCTTTATGTATTCCCCGACTGTAGACAAAAGATTGCTTTGAGCCAAAAACCGTGGAAATTGATTCGGATTCGAGTTTTATTTTGACAATTTAGTGATTGGATAGACTGACATGACGATCGGCATGTTTCAAGCTGCTGAGTGGCTTAATGGAAGAATGTGCCACAATGCCCAGGCGCCATGTGTATGATCGACACCACGTACCACCGAGTTTGGATTGCTGTCCTCTAGAAACGGACTTTCAACGGGGTGAAGAAGGCATAAAATGCCAAGGATCGGGTTTATAGTGCAAGCCTTTCAATGTTCGTCAATCATACTGTTTATGGGAAACAAAACCGAGATTCAGTCTCATGGACCCGCGAATTGCCCTGTTTATCAGATCGACACCGGAGTTACCCTTATCAGATCAACCGCCCTTTTATCTGATCCGCTATGTCTAATTCTTTCTTTCCGAAAAGTGCCGCCAAGTGTTTTTATATATTAATAGGTTCTGTTTTCCGTCTTCCAAATTCTGTTTTTCTTCATTTGAGCTAATCAGAGCAAGAGAATGTACGAATCACAAACAGTGTAAATTGTTGAAGCGGATGTGATTTGTGGAATCGTCCAAGTCCCACTTCTGCACACGACCACAAAGCGGATATCAATCTTCAATAATTGCACGGTCTACGCCTCGCAAACTGATTTTTCGGGGAAGGAATCTCACACGCGCTTTCCGGAAGGGGGATCTGGTCACACAGGGAAACGCGCCACAGCTTCAAAAATGATGAAGTGCATCTTTCCTCGAATTTGTTCTGCTAACAGATTGATCGTGTCATGTTGGACAAATACCCACTGACACGCTTTTCTCCCAGATGGCAGACACATCACATGGTCCTCATTGATAGAACTTTGGACGTCTTCTCGGCGGATACGGATTATTTCTTTACTGCTGGTAGAAATAGGGCCGCGAACAATATCGGCGCGCCCAGGTTTCCACAGATAGTCGAATTTTGGGTCAGGCATTATTCCTTTCCTGCATGTCCATATGTAATCTTTCCAGTTGGGCGAATACCACAGATTTTCCAAGCGCAGACTACTCACAAATGACTGCGGAATCTGAATGTGAACAATGCAAGTATTGGCTGTGGGACTTCTCCTTGCTGCAAATAGGCGGTACTCTTCTGCCGTTTCCTTTTCAGGTGTCCAGTAGTAAGCATTAGACCACCAGTTAAAATCTCCGCTGGGGTGTGTTCTAAGTGCACTCAAATTGACTGTCCCATCACTTCCAATTATGTCAACCGTTTGGTTCAATTCAAGGTATGACTTTCCCTTGAAAAGGGATATATGGTTCTCGAGAATTTCTATATCTGTCTGTATAGTGACGTACGACTCAGGGAGGTTGAAATCTTTCGGTGTCACATTTATCGTTGCAGTCACGGATTGCTGAGGCTCATGCTTAGGTCGTTTGTGCTCTTTGTTGTGAGCTATGCGCTGATTGGCATGACTTTGAAGTAGTTGCTGTTGACCACGAAGAGCGGCATAGTTTGTTTCAACAGTATCAATGGCCCAGTGAAGCAGGGTTTCAGTACCGGAGATGTGTGAAAATCGTGGGTCCGTAATCGCATCTTGAATTTGACGAGTAAGACCGACACGAGAGAGTGCTGTTTTAGGTTCTATATTATCGAACTGTGGCAAGTTGAGTGAGACGAGGTGACCGGAGACATACGCCATAAGGTCGTCTGGGGTTTGGCTTGGCTTTGGGCGATTAGAATATCGGTCATAGATCACTCTAGCAATATCTGGGATGAAGCCAATATATTCTAGCACTTCAATGCTTTCTTCGGCTATTGGGATATCAAAAGTTTGTATGACATCAGGTTGGAATCCACGCGTGCTGATGGATACGGAAGATGAAACTGAAGAAGTTGATGAACTGGAGACAGCACGGGGTGCACTGAATGCCGCAGAAACCTTTCTCTTGCCACCTTTATTTGTCGACAAATCTGTGGTTATTTGAGGTAGAAAGATATCTGCTTCCTCAAGGCATCTGATTTGTTCTTGGCTGAAAGCTATCGGACCAGGGGGGGCTGAGTGACTTTCATCTAGTGCTGGTAAAGACATATTGATGAAAAGAGAAGTGAGAAGTAAGTGTTTGATGAAATGAGGATTGATTTGTGTCAGGACGATGGTAATCAGGAGATAGAGAGAGGAGAAAGGATGAAAGATGGGAAAACCTGGGATTCATATACTTTAGGTACATAGGTACCTAGGACGTCCAAGGGTAGATCCATGTAGACTCCGCTTCCTAATCCAGTTAACCAATCATATTGATGTAACATGTAACTACGGCGGACGATAGGTCGCAAGACGACACATGAAGTTTTTTGCCGGGCAGAACATTAGTCATCTGTAATATTTTCAACAAGAGAGATACTATTTGCACACCTGTTTAAACCTTTCTAGGTAAGGTGCTTCTTGGCAACTGATTTCCCTCTGATTTTGTATTTAACACTGTATCCGCGTAGCACTCTCTGCGCCCCATATACGATATCGACGCCCCCTAGCCACATCATATTTCATACCATATCATGATATCGCTATTGTAAAAAATGAAGCTATTCCCAGTTACTGATCCCGTACAAAAAGGGCTGATTCGATCGGGGTTTATATAGTGAATCTAGATCAAAGGAGAAAAGTGAGTCATTTAGTGTATCTCTACCGGTGATTACGGAGCTACCTCATCTTATCCCGATTCGGCGGCGGAAGCGAATTACACTTCTATAGCCTTTTTCACCGAATCTTTTCTCACTTGCCCCCCTTCTCCTCTTTCACAACTTCGAAGATCTATCCTACGCTACCATACCCTTTATCAGCGCTCTTTCAAAGTTACAATGCCGTTCCCGTCTATCGCTTCGATCTACCAGCCGTTAAAAAGAGGCTTGGTGTTTATGGCCACAGATTGGCACTTCTTCGTTCGATCTACGATAGGGTTTCTCACCATAGCAACTTGGGCGGATCAACAAATCTTGCTTAGAGTGGAAAAAAGAGTCTCACGCCTCGAGAGCAATTCGGCCAAATCCTCGCAACGAGAGGAAACAGAGGAAACAGACTAAAGGCTGTGGACAAGTGATCAGATGATATCCGATGGCAGTCAAGGTGGCTTTGGATGGCGGCACCTAGTGGATTGCTTTGCTTTCGCTTTGGCAAACAACAGTTGAGCCTGGCGTCTAATACATTATGCTTGGTGGGTTAGCCTTCAGACAGCAGCTATCTCAAAGCTCCTCTTGGGTTGGAATATTTTATATGATGTGAGAGATCAAAATTGAGTCAAACTGACAGTTTCCACCTAAGAGGTTCTTCCCGCATAGATGTATCTACCGTGTCATGTAAATGTTATGTATGTTGGGGGATGAAGGGATATGAAATGGTCGCGCCTTCCCTATATTGACAAGGCCGCACTTGCCCTTCCAGTCCATCAGGGAAAGAAAAGTTCGCATCGACCGTCCCTGGAGACTTTCCTTCCTTCTCCCCCCCTCCGTCAGAAATCTATTTATTCGATCTTGACAACATGTTTTCCCGTTTTTATACTTTTGTGGTGCAGAAGTGCGTGCCCGTCACAGGCAACGGCTCACAAATCGTGGGTGCGGTCTGCAGTGTACTCGGAGTGGTGGTTTACAGTTCTAAGAACAAGGAACCTCCATCCCATGGAGTTAAGTAATCTTGCTCGTCATGATTGCTGGGCGCATTGCTAGGTGGACAACTCTAGCGGTTTGCTTGCTGTTGAAGGCGGTTGGAATGTCCATTGGACCTCTCTCCGGCGGATATAGCTCCTCCATCGGTCGATGAAGGGCGGTTGCTGGGAGCCGTAGGGGCCCACTTCCGGCTGGATTCCGGATTCGTTACTCATGTCTCTGTAGACTGATAGTGGTTTTGTTGAGCATTGCTTGCAACTCCAGTTGAAGTCTGGGCCGGACTTGGTTGATGAAGGGCGGTTGTTGGGAGCCATAGGGGCCCACCTCTGGCTGGATTCTGGAGATATCTCCTGTCTCTGCAGACTGACAGTGGTTTTGTTGAGCATTGCTCGCAACTCCAGTTGAAGTCTGGGCCAAGGACTGCCGCACACTCCGTTGTCCTGCACCTCAGACCCCTTCGCTAAGGGGTATATATACCGGTCCATATGGTTGGGTGGTTGGGTTGGGCCTGGGAAAATATCATGTCAATATCTTGAAGGTGAGTAATTCTGGTGACTTCGAATGGTCCCTCGAGAGCATATACTGACCAATAGTAGCATTATGGGGACAAGAAAACACTGTTCGCTGTTCAAAATTTTGGCCCTCATAGTTGAGATTCCGAGTGCGATAAAATTTGGCCAGTGCCGGTGAAGTGCCAACCTTAGAAGGATTCCGACACTGCTGACAGCTTTAGCATCGTTGAGCATCACGTCGCGGCTTGATCCAATACCTCACGCCTCATGCGATGGCACAGCAGTTGTTTCGCCCCCTCATTCCAGTGATATGCTCGGTATAACAGCCAACGGCAGAGCCAAGCCTGGTCCATGTGCTGGGCTAGATGTTAAGGAAGAAATTCTATGCTGTTGATGTTTTCAAGGTGAGAGTGTCTTGAGTGACTTTGGAAATCTGACTAGCTGGATATTGACTCACGAGGGATAGAACCATGAATGCGATACTTCAAAGTTGCCAGCGCCCTAGAGAGCTCCCAGTGGTACGGAATTTGGATGATACTACATAGGTCACAAGCAGCGAAATGACCCGGACCATTCTGGCTATTGCGGCTATCGATAATGTCATCCGTGATTCATTCAGTAAGTCCCTCTATCAGACATAAGTATAAGCGTCTTAATTTCCGTTTTCTAAGACCAATAAAGGTAGATCGGCGCCACCACAAACGCCAGCTTCTCTTCCACGAGCTTGGATATGGGACACTCCATGCGATGAATACGCCACACGTAAGCCTTTGAACCAAGTTTTTACTCAATTTCTATCGAGATTCACATCTGACATTGCTACTGGTGACTTAGATGGCATTTTATATTATCAACATGACGCGGTTCTGTTTGCTCGACGAAAATTGGGTGGCAATGAGGCCTCAGACTATCTGCAGCTTAAGAGACCTGATACGAAGCTCCCCTAGGACTTTGTTGGAATAAATGCCTAGTAACTCTTGGGATGCCTTTGCGCTATGAGCCAGTTGTGAGTACCTAGGAGTTTGATGCACACGGCTGTTTTCTAGGCGCTCTAAAACTAATCAATCACTCGCAGCTGCGATGTGCCACTTGCGCAACGGGGGTGACGGCGCGTGTAAGATTCTGTGGAGAATCGAGTGCAATGTTCCTACTCGAAACTCTGTTTATACCAAAACTTTTGTGAATGGGGCATTTGCATCATTCGGGGGGTTCGTGAATAACCAACTAATCGTTAGAAATCGTCGGGTCTTTCCCAGTCAACCGCATCAGTGACGAGTTTATGTTAATCTTTATATCTACAGATGTAACTTCATCTCTGGATTCTGAAAAGAAGTCTTCATTGTGGATGTTACTTTGGAATAACGTGTGTAACGAGTTCAACCACTCAATGCTGAACTCCCCTCTCAAGCCGTTCAAGATTTCTGGTAGTCACAATCTGCTCGAATTCGCGCGATGACACCTTTGTTAACTCTTGCCTCCGCGAGTCACTAGTACTATTCTCCCCACTACTACAGAGCATAATCCTGTCTGCTCTCCCACGATACAGACCACTATGAGCAGAATGGGATTTTCTACTCGAGACATAAGAGAAGCGGTTGTTCAGTATTATAGAATGACCGCGACGATCTACCACACTATTATTTGGAATAGGTTCGGCCTCCGAGAGAAGAACGAGTTTGACTAGGTGGTCGCGAATGGTAGGAACCCTAAACAATTTATATAGGCAGTTCAAGTACAAAGAGCACTAGGGCATTATAAAGTGCCCGAAGAAATTCCAACACTCCATCTTTATTCCCCGTCTGGGATCACAAAAATTAGATTCACCCAAACTCATCCCTCTAACCGCTCAACATGCCAGGGGGCAAACGCGTTAGAGATATGTCGCCGGGAGAACGCCATCTTTGGACGCTCGCCAGTGGCTTTCACCAGGTTGCTGATAAAACCGCCCGATTCTATCAGGAATTAGGCATTCAAGACAGCTCTGATGATCAGAATGTTCTGATCAATGTCCTCAAACACATTTATTCCGGCCTTGTCAGCAACATTCCGCCGGAAAAAAGATTGAGTATGCTCAGGTCCAACACCCGTCGCGCGGAGTTAAGAGCAGAACTTCAGGCTCAACTTCACTTAATGCCAGTGCCAGTTCAGAATTATACGTCCAATTGAACAAATGTGGTAGAAGCCCTTTACGCTCTATTTGCCGTTCTGCATGCTGGTTTTGCTGATCTACTCTCCCAAGGTCAACTGTTCGCACAGCCTGGGGACCAGCCTCAACCAAAGGACCAGCCTCAACCGAAGATGCAGCCGCAGCCCAAGAAGCTCCCTCAGCCCGAGCAACAAAATCCTCCTTTCACAGCAACTGGCCTAGGGATTTAAGATATTCCTCGTCCAAAGCGAGAGAGAGAGGATGAAGAAGATGTCTCTGATGCTGAAAGAATCAAAATGACTCAAAACCGGCCCACTCTCCTATGTGAGTAAACCGATCGAGACTGACTATCCTCCTGTGAAGAATCTGACTTCAGCGGTTCCGGATGAATCCGAATAAAAGAAAAGCTCACAGAACCGGCCCCTAGAAGCTGAGGGTTTGTGGATTGTGCGGTCCAAGATTTTAAACACTGATGAAGATTTATCAAGAAAATATCTAGTTTACTCCCTAGAGACGACTCTCAACACTTGATAGATATATGCTGTATTTTGATCATTTCGCGATATGCTGCTAATTAGATTTCAAGATATCTACAGTTCAGAGAGAAAGAGGCTTCTCGGGGTGTCATTTTTGAAGTATTCTGAGATCTCCTTTTACAGCAACATAAATAGAATCCCCGATCACGATCAACAACGATGGTGTTCTAAACTTAATAACAATCTCTAGCGGTCTTTGAGTAGTAAACTAGTAGTGATCTAGGGTGCCCATTGCAACTCTCGATCAATAAAACAGATGGTTTCAAAATTAGTACAAGACACAGAAATCCCAAGCCAAATTCTCCAGAATTCCATACCTCAATAGAAAATGCCAGTAGCATTACAGGGGTTGTGCTTAAGTATAACGCCCTTGGTCCTAACTTTTGAGACAGTGGCGCATTAACAAAGAGCTCCCCCGATTCACTTTGGCCTTCCCTTTCTCCTCGGTCTCTAAAGCCCAATGACACTTCTCTTTGTCCCTCAAACTGGCTCTGGTCACCTTGCGTTTTCTGTTTGAGGCTTTTGGCTTTTGGTGGCTCAATTTTGCCCTCCTAGGCACAGCTAAGATTGCTTTGTCTGAGTCTTTGTCGGTATTGAAGGAAATTGCTTTTGAACTCGAATCTATTTATATGTCAGATCAACCCGAAATGCATATTTGCGCAAACAAAACCTCTCCATATCTTGCATGCTCTGCATATCAATTTGCCAATTTTTCAATGCCCACCACTCGCCAGAAAGCCGCAGATACAGGCTCGGAAGTTCTCCACGGCCTCGTTGAAGAGAAACGTGTTCGAAAACCGAGGTCTGCTGGCTCCAGTAGTGCTCCTAAGACTCGTCTAAAGAAAGGTGCAAAGAAGGTATTCTGCCTCATTTCTCAGTTCTAACCCATTCAATGGGATCTAGACATGAAGAGCTGCAAAGCTAACAGGGTGAGCATCGAATAGGGCAAAGGCAGGCTTGATCCGAATCTGCCTCATATTGCGGTTGCAAACTTGCTTTATGAGCGTGGAAATAATACTCAGTTCCCTGAGAAGTCTCCACAGCTGAACCCCAATCAGCAAAAACCAAGGACATGGAGCACCGATAAAGCACCCATCACCGATCCCTCCCAGTTGCCCGAAGGATGGAGTGTCAACGAGCTAGATCTCGATCCATCGTAAGGGTGTATGGTTTGCCATGCAACGTCCTTTTTTGCTAACGTTAGTTGAAAGTGATACCGATGCTCAGATTGCAAGATGCCAGAAGCGCATTGCGGAAGGGATCATGCCTCAGATCTTTGAAGATAGATTGAAAAAATTCTCAAAAATCAAGGAGGAGAAAATGTAAGAAGATACTGCATATCTGACCGCGTTGCACTATGCTAATATCAGTGGTGTTGATCCTTTGGTAGGGCGATGGTCAAGTCTGAGCCCGACGGACTTAGCTGGGAAGTTGTCCAACGCCTCGATTGTTTGAAAAAGATCCAAGATAGCCTTGAGCAAGAAGACCCCGGTAACAATCTTCCGAACGTGAGAGGCATTATCGCTGCCTATAGGACTCAGCAATTGACCTGGAATGAAAACTTCGTGACTTATTGGTCCAATGGAAACCTCCTTGCAGGTCCTCGACAGTTGGACATGAAAGAGCTCTATGGTCTCAGTGCGAAGCACGGTCCGAAGGGATTTTGGGTGGAGGGAGTAAGTTCGACTTCACATGGGAGTGATATTCATGCTGAGATCCTCCAGATTGACGGCTACAAACCGGCCCCGATGAATGCGTTCTTCCCGGCAGCCATTTCTCACAGAGCACTGGCCATCCATAGCGTACTATATCCTCCGAGAGGCTTTGCAGACAAAGGCTGACGTTGATCAGATTAGAATTGCAATTCGGAATCCTGCTACCGCGCACTCAAATACAATGGCGATGACCGTCGAACATGACTTCCTCTTGGATACTGGGTCTTCATCAATGCGTCTTTTCCCGCAAGACATCGCTGAAATTGAGACTCTGTCTGGAGCAGTGGTCCCCGGTATTGGAAACTCCATGAATCAGACTGCAGCCGGATTGATGAATGTTCAGAATGTGGTCCTGCAAGCCATGATTTACGTCCAGGGTGAAGCCCTTCTTCCCGGTTGGGTCAACATTAAAGCCTGTGTGAGCAGTTCCGGTGGTGCAGGAGCAGAACGGCTGTCGGGTGTATGGTTATTCAATCTCTTGTTCATCCTGTCCATGCCAGACAACCAACGAGGTCTATTCATTGGCACTGATGTGGGCGAGATGCTGGCCACCCTGCCTATTCCGGACTATAGAAACGCGATACCTGCACCGATCATTTACTGAACCGATCTCTCACTTGGACTTACCTGAGAGCTGTTTACTATGAGCCGTTCTCTTATTACATCGATCACATACGACCATAGGGTGTGGAAAACAGGGCTTCCCGTCCGCTCAGCCGTACTTAAGCCACACGCCGGTGAGTTAGTAGTTGGGTGGGTGACCACCAGCGAATCCTCACTGTTGTATGTTTTTTACTTTTAGTTTTGTTACTTTGGTCAAGTTTATTGCGTACATAGTACCTCATCATGCACAAATATTCCGCCGCATGATACTTAGATTGTATTGGGCTCGGAATATAAGGGAGGTGATATTCAATCTTGAGAATCTTGATAGATATATCCTTTTTTTAGATAGAATGGTGTACCGCAAAATACAATGTAAGAGATGCAAAAAGACATATATAGTCTTTGACGCTAAAGCAGGTACCCGTGATAGATGCTCGAGGATGATCTTATACCTACGATTCATGCATCAAGTATATAACCCAAGAACCTATGGCCCTTTGGGTGGGAGCGGGGGGGGGGGGTATCCGATTTGATTGACGGGTGTGTACGGTGGGAGTAAGGACCATATCCCTGGGAGCAAAACACAAGAATATACAGCAGTGAGGATTCGCTGGTCACTACGCAGGCAACTGCTAACTCGCAGGTATGTGCCATGGGAGTGTTCATCCAGCCAGGTCCAGCGTAGGCGCCGCTTTTTGAGATAGCTTTCAGGTTCTAATCTAGAAATATATTGTAATACATGATGCGACTCGCTGGATCGATAATCCGATACGCGGTAAGCCGGTATGGCGCTTTGTGGGCGGGCTGACGAAACCAAGTCAGAGAAAGTGGTAGCAGTCCTAGGCTAGTAAAGAGGGCTTATAACCTTGAATGAAGCTAGATAGCAAGCATATGGGCTTCTCTCATATGATGACTATCTAGCTAAAGGTTGGACCAGAAGGACGAAGGAAGAGGGCAGTAGAGAGGAGTCAATTACATCAGGTGCTATCTGCCTGAAGTAGTAACATTTCTTTGTTTGAGGGGAATCGGTAATGACGGTCCTGATGGCATAGAGCAGCGGTTGATGTTTGACCTAACTCGAATTATCGTGTTTTATTGCAGTTGATTGCAGTTGATTTCGTATATCTGACCGAGTGGCCCGATCTCTGGGCACTTCCCCCACATCGCCATATTGTCTTTGAGTCATTCAATCGTGGTACGATTGGGTCCTGTAACTGCGTAGAGGTGCCCAGGTGTGCGCGGTTCAAACCAAGTCATGTGGCCCATTGTCCAATCATCATGCCACTTCACATCGACCGGTCAAATCCCACAGCCTCAGGTGATGCGATTCAGATGAGCTGATAGGCAGAGAATCCACACAAAGACCAGACTCTTCGGTTCAGATAGATCATTGGACAATGGCGTTGGCGGTCGTACCATTCGGGGCCAATCCGTGACGGGGAGAGAAATCAATTACATCACCATCAGCATTCCCCGCATTCTGGGGTAATATACAAAGAGCTGACGATTCCTCACTGCACTTCAGGAGTTTCACTTCTGTCTACAATTTTCCATCAATTATCACACACAATTCATCAATTTTCCATTATGGACTTGAACAAGTACAATTCTCAGTGGGTCGAGTTCCACATTCGGGACCATATCAAAGATGGCGAGATCCTGGTGCAGAACACTGTCATTGAAGGGTATCTATAACTCAAGAGATTCATCAGTTCTGAACTAACATCCGAAAGTGGCGAGTTCATCGACCCCAATAACCGTCGCAAGTCGCTCACAGAAGAGGAGATTGATGAGATCAAGATCTCCTCCGACGGCGTTGGTGAGATCAAAGCTGGCAGCCGTCGCGGTAGCGAGGGCCGCCTGGACTTATTTCATGACAATGACAAGATTTGCGAGCTTCACTGGGAAAACCGTGGCGGAGACTACGTCAACTTGGTTGAGGTCTTGGACAAGAGCGACAAGTACACCATCCGGCACGGAGGATGGAGCACTGAGTCCGGACCCCTGGGACATGTCTTTGTCGATGTCATGGAGAAGAAGGAATAAATACGCTCCACAGGCTGCATCAACCCCATACTTGGGCGTTGAAGAGCAAAGAGCGTTGCGGTCCGTGGAGCATGAGTCCCAATATCCGGTGGGGAAAATTGGATGTATTTTAAATATCATAAAAAACACCAAAAAAACAATGCAAAACTCCGAAAATCAGAGGTTCAATCCGCTCGCATGCCATTATTCATTCTATGACCATTAGAGATTCGAGCTAGTGTTATAAAATTTATCGCAATTTGTGAAGCGTGGGATGTTTCACTAGAATAGTTAATAAGGTCAAAACATCATTCACCCCTCCATCCTTATTCGGTCTAAAATTGAATCAATCCTTTTCAATGTAATTAACTCTACTCATGAATTCCAATCGAGTAGGCATGCTGGATTTATTGATCATCAAGCGCTCAAATACTAGGAGGAACAGAACACTGCCTGGACAATTTGACCACTTACACATTTGTCAACCTCCATAGTAGTTAGTGCCTTGGCTACTCCCCGTAGACTAGATGCCGGGAAAGATATCCTTCCAATATCAACAACTCCTGGTTACTTCACTTTGGCTCTCTACATGGCGTTTATAGTGACAAGAAACAAAAAGAGAAAGCAAAAACATATAACAGCATGTCTAAGGGAGTGGTCACCTAGCACCCACGGTTTAGGCGTGGGCGGCTCGCCGCTCTATTCAGGGCATTCAGGGTAGATATTCACCCACCTGAATATTCCTCACCCAAATATTCAGCCCGTACAGTAAAAGGTACATTTCCTATCATGACCAAAATGGCTACAAGTACCTTTCTTTTCCCCTCTATGTTCATCTCTCTAGTCTCATTTTCTCACTATAACCTCGCTTTATCACGAGCAAAATGCGTACCAAGCATGACCTAACGTTAAAAAATAAGGCAAATATTATAGATTTTAGGCAGCATAATAACAATTAAATCGAGCGCGCAGTACTACTACGAATAGAATCTAGTTATAATCATAAGTTACTTATTTTCGACGAGTAAGTCTTAGCCCTAGGAGTAGAGAAGCAGATCGCTAATTATACCTCTATCCCTAGTTTTATCAAGTTATATCTATAGGCCGTCATTCCGCTAGATATCAGAACCTATAGGGCTTTTCTTAGGTGGGTCACAAGAGGGATAGACGGTCGAATCGAAGAAAGGCCCACAATCGAGATAATTTAGGGATTTTTTAGAAAATTTACCACTGGTATAAAGCGGAAAAGAAACTTTGAATTCCTACCAGCCACTAGGACTACAATCAATGAGGTCTATATCAGCGTCATTTCAAATAAATCAGGGCTAATCCGGATAGTATATCGTGGGAGAACTAAATACCAAGATCCCTCTCTCAACTGAGCAAATGAATAAAGATGGTGGTGTATCCCCAAATGATTTGACTATCTTAATGACTTAACTATGGTGTCGAGATCACCATGAGTATCGCGGAAACCCTGCCGATCGGGCCAGAGTTCAGCTAAGTCCCGCAATGTTATAACCCAACGTACGGAGTACGAATACGGTGCGTATATCTCGTAGCACATATCGGGTATTTGGGTTGGTAACCTGACATGACGACCAGTTGGTCGTCATAGTGGCTCTTTTGGTAAATGCTCTACCTTAAAACCCAACCTAAGTTGGGTTAGGTCCGGGTTGGGTTGGGTCTTTTCTGGGTTCTGCGGAAGTCTACTCTATATCAAGCGAGAGCTAGGGTCTAGATTTAACCCTACGATAAACTCTATAAATTAAAAGCAAATGAATCTGAGAGAGGTCATATACTCTTTGTGTTAAACTGGCCATGCTAGATAATCCGTCCTCGCTTGGCCCCGGACATTTGTGCTTCGCGCCGAGGCCTCTTCAATGATTTTGAACGGTCTGTAGCAGGTCGATAATCTAGCTCGCATCGGTGAAAGTCAATAATCAAAGCTCGTCCTAGCTCAGCATTCCATAGGATATTATCAGGCCGAAGGTCCAAGTGTCGTACCCCCAAAGCGCGTATCTTTTGTTTCGAGCTTTTGATCTCCCGGCGAAGCTCTATGGTTTGTTCGAGCTTTGCTGTGCTCGTACCGGCCCAGCCCATGACGAGCATATGCCGAATTTGTCCAGCTCCATGCAGAAAGTAAGTCTTTGCTAGATCTATCTTGCCGAGGAAAACTGGGACAGCAGACCCTTGCGCTCTTCGCAAAATATGGTATATCTCAACTTCGCGAGAGACGTGTTGTTGCCAGAGACCGGACGTCGTCCCCTTTCCCACAACAGTATACCCATGAGAAGAACATGTTAGCTTAAACGGGGCGCCGTATGATCCGCAAGTCCCAAATGGGATGCATCGGTCGATATTCTCATCCATCTGCTTTTTAAGGTATGACATCAATTTGGCAGCATTGACAGGATGCCTAATTCCGTCTCCGCTTTGCCGGTGAATATGAACATTTGGGCAGGAACCATCCAGAGCGTCGCCATTTTGCACCCCCAAAAGACAACGCTGAGTACAGAACTGTGCACGTTGTCGTTGGGAGATATCCCTTTGATTGTCACGCTCATTTTGGCGAGAGAGTCGCTGTGAAGGCGAAGCTTCGACTTGACTGAACCCTCGCTTTCGTCCTGATGTTGCAAAATCTGACTCGGACCCTGATGAGTCTAGAGACCCCGTCTGGTCTCCAAGGTTTGATGGTGCGCAGCTACCTTGAGATCGTGTGGGTACTCTGCGAGCTGGTCCTCTGGGCGACTCGGCTGGAGATGACGACTCCTGAAACTCTGGGCTAGTGGTAGGCGAAATAGGGCTTACATAGCTTGTATCATCGGATTGTAGCTCGCGAGAGCGAACACTTTCATGCAAATCATCAAACTGTGTCGTCCAAACCTTCAGATCACGACAATACTTATTTCGCCACTCTTGGTTGCGTGGCTGTGAGCAAAAGCTCATCAGGCATAGACAGAGAACCCTTGCAATAGCTGTGTTGGGGTATTGGAGATCTCCATCTCCATGATCCACCTCCTGGTTGGGCTCACAAAAATAGTAATACAAAATGTTTGGCTTGTCGTATGGAACTCGGAGAAGAACGAGGGCCAACCCAGTCGTCAAGTAAGAATATTCCAATCCTTCTTGAATCATGACATGGTATTCTTGAACAATTGCCGAGCACACAAGCCGCTGCGAATTGTACACTAATGACTCAGCTTCGCCATTAGGCGTCTTGTTTGACCAAACCATCTCTTTCCACAAGTCCATATCCCGAAGACCTCTACGGATGTCCTCTAAAGGAAGCTTATGTGGAGGCTTGTATTCGGCAGTTGTGAGAAGGGTGGTGGTTGTGTCATCAACACGATGAATGAAGAGTTGATCCGGCTTTCCACGGGGGTTGGCTGATGCTTCTTTGGTATCTGTTTCGACGATTTCGGTATCATTCAAAACATTAGAATGGCTATCAAAGAGAACCCCATCACCAAGCCCAAACTCTTCCCGGGCGGCGGGGATTTTACACAGTTCCGAAAAAATATAACGGGTATGGTCTTCCACTGCAAGTCTCTCATAAGTCTGCAGATCGTATTCAGCACCCATCGACCCCTTAAAGTGTTCACCGAGTCCTTCCAGCACAATCCGCGGCGGAAAGACGCGTGGCGCATTTTCTTCTGGCTGGAGGTAGCGACGCACGGCGTTGTAAACGTGTTGCTGCTGGGTTGAACAGTCAACCCATCGCTCTAGTCGTGTTGGACAGTGCTTTCCTTTGGGGATGGGGATTTCCCCTGTAGTCGAGTCGGAACTTGCGCGAACTCGTAACGGTCGTGATAATACACTGTGACAACAGCGGAGAAATTCTACCAGAGTTGTATTTCGGTTTCGCTCTTTTTCCTGTAGAAAAAGCGCCTTGTAATCTATGGAGCTGTTTGTATCCATCTTTGAAGAGGTCCTCAGGAGGTCGAGGGTAACCGTAGGTCACGCGTTGCATTTCCGAGTATCAGAGCTTCGGCGAGACTATTAACCCGAGGTTTCATTCATCATCTCCTCAGACTTACAAGGTGGCGGATCATAGAATGACACTCACTAGGTCAAGGCGGGGGTTTAATTGACTAGTGGTGCCCTTTTCTGTAATTCTCTCCCACAGGACTTCTTTCCTTCTCCCCAGCCTCCTACACTTCCGTGGTAGCTAGTGATCATTTTGCCTGATTATTCCGAACAAGAGAAGACGGCCGCATATGCGGTGTCCACGGCAGAAAAAGGCGGGGAAAACATGCTCTGTGCAAGCGGATTTTCTATGCAGCATCTCATCTCACCTACATAGGGGTTATTGGTCAAGAAAAGATTGTCATTTTGCGACCCACGCGGTACAGGCAGGCTATTTTGATCAAAAAAACAAGCAAGGGAAAAAATCAGTACAGGAGGGGAAGGACACGTCAGCAGTTCAGGGGCGTGCAGGATGTTCAGGTGTAGTATAGTGATGTTCAGGGCATTCAGGTGAACAGGCTGAATGGACTGGAGAGTATATAGCGCGGCAAGAGGGGATTTCCTAACGAATCAAAAAAAAGCAGCAAAACAAAAACATACAACAGTGAGGATTCGCTGGTGGTCACCCACCCAACTACTAACTCACCGGCGTGTGGCTTAAGTACGGCTGAGCGGACGGGAAGCCCTGTTTTCCACACCCTATGGTCGTATGTATTGGCTATAGTAAGCAAGAGGAATATATCCCATGGTCAAAATGTACATTATTCTCAAAAATATCATGCCCGGAATTAGGGGATGTTCCATCCTCTGAAAACCCGGAATTCTTTTGGTTCAAGTCTACGACCTAGGCAGATACAAAGATAATTAGTCCGTGTAGGACACAGCCCTGGAGTCCAGGGATGCGATGTGATCTTGTATAGTACCTACATCCTAGGAAGTTCGTCATGATGTTTCGTTGCTAGAAACATAAAATTCATACTTATGTACTTGAGATGGATTGAACTATACAATGGTACTAGGATGATCACTCCAGGACGATTGTTGAGTTATCAGCCTGCTTCAGAGAAAGAAGGGGACCTAGATATAGTAGATCGTCACAATCATACGTCGTAATACTTAACCTTGTAGAGTGACCCATCCTACGGGTAGAAGCTACATTATCGTGACACTCCTGTATCGCATATGGGAACACAATCATCTATCTAGTACATGGATCAAGTGTATAGCAGAAATTTGCAGCTATGCCCCTACTAACCGCTCACCCTCCTCGCTAGAACCGAGACTCGCAAATTGAATCTTGCGGATAGCATGTCCTTTCCACATCAGCAACATGACAAACATGAACGAGAACACCGCAAAGAAGGCCATCATGCCATAAACCCACCCCACATCAACAGCCTCAACCCAAGGATTAATATAGAAGCTAATAGTCAAACCGTAGATAATCCGATAAGCACCAATAACAATACCCGCCTCAGCCGGATATCGCGTGAAGCACTCAACGACGTAGTTCACGGTGACAGGAACGCTAGCCAGTGACCCGACAGTCACGATAAAAACAGCAAGCGCCAGTACCATATAGTGCAGATGATACTGCAAAGCAGCTCCAAAGATACCCAGGCCAATTGGGTTGATCACAAGACTGGGAAGCCACAGCACATGCAGTCGATATTCAGGCTTCCAAACGCCGCCATTGTACCGCCGTGCCAATGCAAGTGGTAGCCGATCATTCAGATAGTGACCGTAGAGCTGCACTACGATGATACCGATCCAATGGCAAAATGTGAATGCCGCATTTTGCTCAAGTGAGAATCCATAGCCGCCTTCTGAAACCGGTTTCTGGAGCCACACCGGCGTGAGCGCATTGACGCCGACGTAAAATCCAAAGGATATTAGGGTGAATATGCCCATGATCAATGTCACCGGACACATGCCGATCATAAACGGTGTGATTCCAACTTTGGCCTAAATTGATGTTAGATCGCGGTTTGTTCTGATGCGTTTCCCGTACATACCGTTTCCTTCCAGGTAGTCGGCAAGACCACCCCCTGACCGAAGAAGAAAGTGGCGAACCTATTAGCCATAATTCCATTTGGGATATCCGGATTCCTATCAGTGTGTTCACGATCAAACCCAGTTTCCTCGAGAAAACAGAAACAACAGATGAGCGTAAATCCCAAGAGACCGACTGTCCACCAGAACTCGACTGGAAAGAACGAGTGTGCAGAGACAAATCCCGAAAATGTTGGACCAGCAATCGTGCCAAACAGAAATGCCATATGCAGAACAGTGAATGCACGACCACGCTGATGCAAGAAAAACAAGTCGGTCAGAATACGTGGGCCTAGCACTGTCGGTACAGCACCGAAGAAACCGGCGAATAGCCGGGAGATCACGTATGCGATATAGTCATTAGGGTCGGTCATGACGGCGCCCCAGATTTGACATACTAGTGTGAACAGTACACACCAGAAAATCACAGAACTGCGACCGAGCATGTGAGATACTGGCGCGAAGAAGAATGGGCCAGCGGCCATGCCCGCTAGGGCGGCTGAATTCTGCAAGACATGTTAGATCAATTTTCGACTTGATCTTTTCGGTCAAACTTGATTTATAGGCATACTGCGTAGGATTCCTCTAGCTTTGTTTTGTGATAGAGTCTTTCCTGGTCAGCTAGGTTGAGCTGTCCTGATAAAGGCGCGATTGCACCGGAGAAGGATGCGAGGCATAGTACGGCTAGGATTAGATATTTGCGACTCAATTTCCAATTCTTGAAAATTGTGTCAGTTCATAAACAGAGAGAGAGAAGTTTTTAAGGCCAAACTGCCGTACCAGAGGATCCCGTGGATGGGCTGTAGGGTGAGGGACGAGCACAAGCTGAATTGTACGATGCTTCTGCACTGGAGACAGAGAGGAAGAAGATAGTTCAACATCCTGTACTTCTTTGTGATCCATATCTCATCACCAGGCGTTGTTGAAGTCTTGTCCAGCCATTCAGTCGAAGTGTGTCTTTGCGCTATCCCTTGCATTGAAGTCTCCCCTTTTGTTTCAGCCCTGGGATATCCGATATCTTGGCAGACAGAATTGAAAGCTTTATTTCCATCAAGCTCTTTTGCAGAGCTTTTTGTGCACAGGAAAAGTTTAGATGGTCAGCTTGACCGTTGGGCTTGTTTGTACGGTGCTCAATGCCATGTGATTCGTTTCCTCTCGGAAGATTCTTTGAGATGGCCAGGAAACCATTCCCGGAAGTTTAGAGCCATATGTATCTGGAACTAGTGCGTCATACTAGGAAGTCTGTCTTGAAAAGGGTTGGCTGTCAGGGGTCAAATTGATAAGCGGAGCGGATTCAGAATGGCGCCTGATATTCCCAGCACGCCAGACCTGAAATAGTACATGAGCTTCAACCTCACCAGACGATCATCGAGAGCAGCTCGTTGCGAAGTTTTGGCAATAATTTCTCCCTGCGAAGCAGTCGGGCACCCATACCGATCGGCCTGTCAAGATCCACATCGGGGGAAAAGCGCTCCACGCGAAAAACCAGGCTTCGGCAACAGTCTCAACACGCCGAGAGGTCGTTGATACAAAATGTCTTCCCTGCCAGGTTCGTTCCCTGTGTGTACATCATTTCAGTCTCCTAGACATGCGAAAGCCATCATCTGAGTTTTATTTTCAACAACACAACTTTTAATTCCATTCCATCATGGAGTCCGGACCAGATATTGAATCGCAAAAACCCATCCCACAGGTCGAGTCTCCTCATGACTCGGAACAAGAAGATGACTTGGCCCTCAAACCCCAGCCGTCAAATGCCTATGGTATTCCAACATGGCGGAAATGCCTCATTCTCTTCGTTGTCAGCTGGATGACGCTGGCTGTCACTTTCTCCAGCACTTCTCTATTACCTGCAACACCCGAGATCGCTATCGAGTTTTCTACCACATCGGAAATTCTCAATGTCACCAATTCCGGTGTTCTAATTGCAATGGGATTTTCGTCTTTTATTTGGGGACCTATTAGCAACCTATTTGGGCGGCGCAATGCTTATAACGCAGCCATTCTAATACTTTGTGCATGCTCGGCGGGTACCGCGGCGGCGATCAATTTGCATATGTTTATCGCAATGCGTATTTTGGGAGGCTTTACGGGTACCTTCTTTATGGTTGCTGGACAAACCATTCTTGCAGATATTTTTGAACCGGTATGTTACCTGCTAGTTCCATTCGAGGTGTCTTAGTGTTGCTGACGATTGTGCAGACTGTACGTGGTACGGCTGTGGGCTGCTTTATGGTTGGATCTGTCAGCGGGCCTGCAATTGGTAAGTTTAGACAATCATTACATCTAAGTATGTCAATGAAAGTGAAGGTAACTGACTCGTTGATTAGGACCGTGTATCGGCGGCATCATCGTCACATTTGCCCAGTGGCGCATTATCTACTGGCTGCAGTTCGGAATGACTTTACTCGGCCTTGCCTTATCTCTTCTTTTCGTGCCGAGCATTCAAGAAAAGAAGCGCGCCATTGACTTCAGCAAGCCCTGGAAGATCCGCACCCTTCTAAGCATGTTCAATCCGCTGCGCATCTTTCGTCAGTTCGTATATCCCAACATTTTTCTTGCAGTAAGTGTATATCTTTCCGCTGAAGATCGGCCATGTTGGATAACTGATTAAAAAAAAAGTTCCTCACATGTGGTCTTCTCTCTACATTCCAATACGCCCTTCTCACATCAGCCCGCTCAATTTTCAACCCTCGTTTCAATTTAACATCGCCTCTCATCAGTGGTCTCTTTTACCTTTCTCCGGGAATAGGCTTCCTGGTGGGCAGCGTCGTTGGCGGAAAATTATCCGATCGCGCTGTGAAGAAATGGATTATCAAGCGAAATGGAGTGCGTCTGCCTCAGGATCGACTGAACAGTGGCCTTGCCACACTTTTCGGTGTTCTCCCCACTGCAACTTTAATCTACTGTTGGACCTTGGAGGAGGAAGTGGGTGGGATGGTTGTGCCCATAATTGCTGCGTTCTTTGCGGGCGTTGGCCTTTTGGGTGCTTTCAATGGACTCAACACGTACTCCGCCGGTGAGTATTGATCGTCTGCTTTGAACATTACACCGCTTCCCAGCTGACAAGATATCTGCAGAGGTTATGCCGCATGTTCGCTCGGAGGTCATCAGTGGGAAATACTTTGTGCAATACATTTTTGCTGCCATGGCGACCGCGGTTGTCGAGCCATTGATTAGTGCCATTGGAGTAGGATGGACATTCACAATCTGTAAGCTTTCTCTGTGACCGCTTCATTAGGACAGGACTCACTATCTTTTCAGGTGTTTTCTTCGCCATCACAAGCGGATTCCTTGTTCTCGCCATCACAAAATGGGGCATGGACATGCAGCGATGGTCCGAGAGGAAGCTCGGCCTCGATGCGAAATCTTGAACATGATTAGATGACTTAGTGTTTTTTTTCCATTTGCATTTGCGTCTTTGCATGTTTGGCGTTATGAAATGCCTGCTTTGATAGAGTTAGTTTATAGACCATAGATGATTTACGACCCTGTGAGATACCTACAATATACATACAAGTTTAAGACAGAAGTATTCATTCCCAATCAGGCGCCTGGAGGATGCACCGTAGATATCCGTCTTCGAGCTAAATCCTTTCGGGATGGGTTTATAACTCTCAAAAGAAATAACTCTCAAAAGAAATTGATCGTCAGAAGAAATTAACTCTCAAAAGAAGATCCCGGATATCAGGTACTTTTGATATGGTAGTGCCATATAAAAGATACCTTGTATAAGATATCTTAAAGCTTGAGATTTCTCAGCCCTTAAACTGGCTAGAGGGGAAACAAAACTATAGATATAAACTAACAGTGCGCTTTAATTAATATATCAGTTTATTTTATAAGAGACTAAGAGGGTTCGTCTTGAACAATGTTGCTATCGATAAAATTCATATGGAAATTTCAAATGTCGAATATATCTTTATCAACTCATGATATTATACTACAGTTAATCTAAATCAAGTAAACTCATATTTAACCAGGCAATACGGATAATATCCTAAGTTATCGTACGGAGCCAGAGAACCTCAGAGATACGATATCCAATACTAAGGTACCTTTTGTGCAGCACTACCATATTAAAAGTACCTGATATCCGGGATCTTCTTTTGAGAGTTAATTTCTTTTGAGAGTTAATTTCTTTTGAGAGTTAATTTCTTTTGAGAGTTAATTTCTTTTGAGAGTTAATTTCTTTTGAGAGTTAATTTCTTCTGACAATTGATTTCTTCTGACAGTTAATTTCTTCTGACAGTTGATTTCTTTTGGGAGTGATAGACCCTTTGACTCGAAGACGGATAGATGTTAGAAATACCAATGATAGTCAATATGTCCAACCGAACCTCCCGCCTTCAATTGGCGACCTAAATGTTTTCGATTTCCGGACTGTGTATTAAAATTAGGGGATTGATAATAAAACATCCCTCCCCTGCTAATCAAACATCCCTTTGGCTAATCAAACATCCCTTTGGCTAATCAAACATCCCTTTGGCTAATCAAACATCCCTTTGGCTAATCAAACATCCCTTTGGCTAATCAAACATCCCTTTCGCTAATTAAACATCCCCCTACCTGATTTCTACCTAATTGCTGCCTAAAGATGCCTAAAGATGCCTGATAAAATGACACCCCCCTAATATCATATGACCTTTTCTGTTAAGGTAACTGTTTGTCAAGGCAGTACTTGTTGACTAGGTGAATAATGATACGAGAGGGATACGTAGTTAGAACGAAGGGTATTCGATTCTATATTGGTTGTAAGACTGAATCTTGCCTTCCCTTTTCCTATAGGTGTCTTCCTTTTATGATTTGGGTTCCCCGCTTCTCGGGACCGGATTATATTAGTTCTATCCCGATATCGTGGGGTATTCGGAGGGGTCTCCTCCGTCTAGGAAAAGGGAGCCTAAGGCAAAATAGTATAATAAAGAAATACCGTAATAACTATCCCCCCTTCTCTATAAAACCCGTCCCGGGGTTTTAGGTTAAATAAAGGGAAGTATAAGTTATAAGGTAAGAAGGGTTCCTATCGAGTTTGTTCCTTTCTTTATTTTATAGAGCCTCGTTAGTATAGCCGTAGTAGTAGCTAATAGGCGGGATACTAACGATCTAGTACCGGAACTAGAACTAGTCTAGTGCCTAGGCTGCTTACGTTCTGACTTAAAGTCCTTTAATACTACCGAAGGGGAGGTTTTCTCTATCTCTTATCGGTATAATACGATCGCGTCTATCCTTTATAAGCGATATTATATAGATAAGAAGACTTATAATATAGTATATTTTCGGGCTTTTATCGTAATAGATCCGTACTTATCCCGTATAGGTACCTATTAGTATAATAAGGGATACTTAGGATTTTTCTACTATCTTAAAATTTTTAAAGGTTCTCTTAGATAATAAAATAGAGTTATTAGGGTTCTAATCCGCGCATAACGGATTTTGGGGCTTGGCATAACATTAGATAATCATTTTTTTAGATAATTAACAATTTCGGGGAAAACAGGGTAAATATCATATGATTGTCGACCTTATCTATTAATCTGATCATATATAAAAGTATATAACAAAAATAACCTTATAATTTCCGTATTAGGCAGCCCCGAAACGTATGACCGCCCTCTCCGCACTATGAGCACCTACTTAGAGCCTTCCGCTTCCTCTTTAGACCTTCCTCCTTCCTAATTAGGCTATTTCCACCCCTTTTTAGCTTCTCTAGTATTATCGGAGGGAGAATTAGGACTAATTAGGCACTAGAAATAGGTTTAAGATACTAAAAAGGGTTAATTTCATCTAATAGGATTAGCTGGTTTAACCTAATAAGATTAGCTAGCCTATGTTTATAAGGGAGCCCTATTGATCTTATAAAATAGCCCGTATATTACCTAATTGGGGTATTTGCTAGGGCTAATTCACGTTAATTATAGATTAATTTGATTATATATATACCGATATATAATCGAATAGTCCCGTAAAGTGTAATATAGGCTATTTTTAGGGTTAAGATCTTATTAGATCTAGCCTAGATCCGGATCTTAGCGAGTTATTAGGTAATTACGGTATTAATTGTAGTAAAAACTGTTAGAATGTCCCCGTTTAGCGTATTAAGCTGCCGTTTTAGCTATATATAGGTCCCTTTAGATCGTGATGATACTAAATTGCCGAAATAGGTAACATTTATAATCTAAAATCGGATAAATTTCTATTTATAAATTAGCTAAGTATTAAAAAGGTAAGAGATTAAAAGAGGATAGGATTTAAACTAGGATTTAAGGTTATTTAACCTTAAATTATACTTATCTAGTATATAAGACTAGTATAAATTACGCTATTACCGTATAAAATCCTAAAATTGAGCGTTTTTTGGATTATCTAAGTATAGATCTATAACTATAGTAAGAAGGGTTTTAGCCCTTACTAATATAGCCTTATTAATATACTAAATATATAGTAAATGTAGTAAACTAGGAAAGAGGGAGTTAATAGTACCCGAAAAAGTAAGATCTCGGTTAGTAACTAGCACTATATTTAGAAGTAAATATACCTATTTTTAGAATAAAATCTCTATCGCCTAGTAATAACCCTCTATTTACTTATAACGTATAAAATAAGTAGCAAATAGGAAGGTTTGATTAGTTAGTGTAATACTAACTACTTCTAAAAGCGGTATTTCGTACTTATTCGTCTTATATATATAATCTAATATAAAAATCCTATTATATTTATTAGCTAGTGCAATTATATTAGGGTAGGCTAGTGCGAGAAACTCGATCTGATTAGTAGATAAGAGTTTATACTTATATTTATACCCCTTTTTATTTATTTTATCGATCAAAAACTCGATTTTAGATCGAAGACCCCTCTCTTAGCGTTTAAACTAGGAGATCTAATTATAAATATTACGATCTTTGATTAGTTAGGGCGTAGAAGATTATATTATCTAGATAATCTTTATTAGGGGTATAGCTTGATTAGATAACTCTTTAATCTAATTAAGCTAATCTAGGGTAAACTTCCGAGATTAATAGTAGCCTATAATATTATTAGCGGTATAGTTATAGGTAGGGTTCTTAATCTATAGATACTAACTACCACTTTTAGTAGTTATATAGAGCCTAAAAGGGTAATCTTACCGTTTTAAGCTAGTATTTCGAGGTTTTTTCCTAATCGGGGGTTTTATAGACCATTTCAGATCACCCGATCTAATATATTATATAGTCACGTTTTTGCCTATAGTACTAGCTCTAATAGTAGTACAATAACCCTAGGAAAGGGTATATTTTTATACTATTTCGACTAGCTCCTCGCGGGTATTATATATCGCTTCCGGGGGGGGGAGTAGTTATACTATTTATTACCTAATTAGTATAAATTGATACTAAAGTAAGATCAAACTAAGAGAGATCTAGGGTAGATCTAAGATCTTAGTATATCTAGAAACTGAGGGAGATCTAGGGTAGATCTAGGAATAAGCTTACTAGTAGACTTAGTAATAGGGCTAGCGGTGGGGGTGGTATCAGTTATTTTAATAATAATGATTGGAATATTGATAAAAATCAGAGATATAGGGTATAGAGAGAGAGATTAAGATCTAGGGTGCGGGGGAGAGAGAGAGAGAGAGAGAGATCTAGGGGGGGAGAGGGTTTAAATAGATCTTATAAATAATGGGTTGCTATAGAGATCGATATCAGATTGATAGATGAGGTCGACAATCATGTGATATTTACCCTATTTTCCCCGAAATTGTTAATTATCTAAAAAAATGATTATCTAATATTGTGCTAAGCCCCAAAATCCGTTGTGCGCGGATCAGAACCCGAGTTATTAGAGTAGATCTATACGGAAGTCGCTAAGAGTTCGTATAATTTAGCCTAGGTATTTAACGCGGTAGTTATTAGTTACTATTCGTATTAGAATTTAGTAGATATAAAGAAAATATAAACTATAAGTATTTCGTAGCCGTTTCGTTAACGATTCGTCTTCTAATAATAGTCTAGCTATTTTAAGCGAATTATAACGAGTTTACGAATAGTTATTAGGCTAATATATAGACTATACTTAATAGTTATAGTTTAACTCTATTAGATTAGGGTAGACTTTTAAGTCTACTTCTTAGAAATATAGGATATACTTATTAGACTATTACGAAATAGAGGTATTTAGAGTCCGTTTCTAATACTTTTATAGCTATATTCGGGGAAGCTATAGGAACGATCCTACTTAATACTTTCGGGATTAACGAGTATAGAAGGTTTATAACTTATTCTCCTCGATAAAAGGGAAGGTACTATATATATAGTTCCTTCCTTATAATAAAGGTAGTCTAGAATAAAAGAGGAATTTATTTTAATTTTCTAACTATAATCTTTTCTTTCTTTACGTT